TAACTATAAGGAGATTCTTTAGTATTAGCACTTTAATCCTCTATACTACGAGGTAGATAGTAAGCCTACGAGAGAGAAACTTTAACGAAAAATTCTCTATAATGCGTAGCGCTATTATATAGCTATAGATACGTACTAAGTCCGGCAACTCGAAGAAGAATTAAGATAGCGTATTAGCGACCGAGGAAGAGATCGATAGTATACTAGTAGAGTCGAGGTCTTATAAGCGAAGTATAAGATAATATAGGCTCTTAGTCGTATAGAGTAACGTACTATATAAATAACTAGGCGTACTACTCTTATTTACTTACGACCTATATCCTAGGATACTCTTCTCGTACTTTTTATACTCTTTTCTAATACCTTACCTATAATCGCTCCGCGACAACCGAGTAAATATAAGCTATAGGATTTCCGCTCGGTACCTTAGCCTTCGAGATACGGCGGAGTTGATTCTCTATAATACGTAGCGCTATTATATAGCTATAGATGCGTACTAAGTCCGGTAACTCGAAGAAGAATTAAGATAGCGTATTAGCGACCGAGGAGGAGATCGATAGTATACTAGTAGAGTCGAGGTCTTATAAGCGAAGTATAAGATAATATAGGCTCTTAGTCGTATAGAGTAACGTACTATATAAATAACTAGGCGTACTACTCTTATTTACTTACGACCTATATCCTAGGATACTCTTCTCGTACTTTTTATACTCTTTTCTAATACCTTACCTATAAGCGCTCCGCGACAACCGAGTAAATATAAGCTATAGGGTTTCCGCTCGGTACCTTAGCCTCCGAGATAGGGCAGAGTTGAATTTAGAGCGATAGCCGGCACTCGTAGCCGGTATATAGAGACGGTAGTAGGCCTTTTCCTACTAAATAACTAGCTTGTTTAGTATAGCCTACCTAATATTTCTTATATTTACTAGTAATAGGCCTAGGTTACTTATAAGATTACTATAGCTAGTAAAGGCATTACTAAAGAATATCTATACTATAGTAGGATACTATTATTACGCCGGCTATTTATTAAAAGGACTTAAAGGAGGCTTTCGCCTATTACTATACCGGCTATATATGCCGGCTATATTTTAAAGTCTACCGTACCTACCTTTTTTAGCCGTACCTGCCTTTTTTAGCTATACCTGCCTTCTTTCCTTGCTCTAACGTTACTATAATATAGGCTTGCGCGAAGCTTACTCTATTGCCTAGCGATACCGCGATACTACCGCTATATTTAACCTTCGTATCGATACCTATACCTCTACGCTCTATATCTACTACCTCCGTAATACCCTCGCTCCGCGCGCGCCTTCGTATACCTTCGTAACGCACTTTTTTCCTTAATTCGACGACTTTTATAATAGCGAGTCTACTTAACTAAGTTACGACGCCTCGTAAGAAGGGACCTAGTGCTTCTACGGGTCGCAATAAGACCGGAAATAGTAGAACGAGTATAGTATATTAACGTAAGAGGGCTACTACTACTACCGCTAGCTCCGGTACTAGAAAGGGCGTCGCGAGCAAGGCTCTACGTAAGACAACGGCGGGTAAGGCTCTACGTAAGACGACAACTAGCGCTTCTACTACTAGTAGCAATCGTACGAAGCGTCGATAGCGCCTAGGAAGTAAGTCCTATTTATAGCCGGTAGCGTAGCCGGTAGCGTAGCCGGCAGCGTAGCCGGCATTCTTACTATCTTTTTACTAATCCTTCTTTAGCCGTAGCCCTCCGTTAGATTCGGTAGTATTAGAAGAGTTCTAAGCTCCTAATCCGTAAAGCTCCTTTCTAACGACTTATTCGCGAAATTGCCTAGGATTATAGAACGGACCTTCGCTTCTAAGCCTCCGCGATAGGCGCCCTTTAAGAGGCTATAGAAGCCTACCTAGTTCGTATCTTCGAATGTATGTTTCTCTTCTACCTCTTTTCGGACTATACTAATACTATTTTAGCGGTTAACCTTATAGCTATCTACGCGAAGCGTATAACGATTATAGATAAGGATTTTAAAGCACTCGATTAGATTCTAAAAGGCTAGAATGTCTATATTCGAGATAGTACTAGGTAGGATAGATATTCTAGTAGGAAGGATATTCGTAGTATTATCTATAAGCTTTTCTATATACGAAATAAGCTGCTGTTATACGGCGCTATATACCGCGCTCTAAATACTCTCTAAGCATATATATATAGTATAGTATGCTTTATTAGCCGTACGGAATAGAAGTCTCCTAAAATCCCGTTAGTACTAAGGAGTTAAAAGGCCGGCTACGCTACCGGCTACGCTACCGGCTACGCTGCTAGGTCTTACAAAAAACTAAAAGAAGATAGACATTCTAGTTAATTTGTATTAGTTTGGATTTTTAGAAAAAGAAAACAAGGAAAAAAGGAAGAAGATTAAAGAACCTAATACTTATAGTTATAGGTATTATCCCTATTCTCTAGACTATATTATATACCTGCTTTCGCAACTCTACCTAATACTCCTACTAAATATCCTTATACTCTACCTACTAGAAATTTAACTAGGTACCTAGACCTGTAGCTGCCTCTATATCTTTTACTATCTTCTATAGGTTAAAGGACTCCTCTATAGTAGCCTCTACTTCCTTATACAATACGAAGTTACTACCTACCCTATCCTTAATATCTACTAAATAACCTAGAGTTCTAAGGAACGAACTAGCATTCGGCTATAGTATAGCGAGTAACTAGTAGAACGCCCTATAGAGCTACCTTATAGCTGTTTCGTATATAGTGCCGATATCGAGGGAGGAGCTATCCTAGTACTTAATATTAGAGTATAGTTTAGTAGGAAAGTATATAAACTTCTTATAGAGAGCTTCGACGGAAATCGATAAGTTCTATCTAGATCTAGATAAAGACATTCTACTAAGCAGTTAGGGAATTGAACCGTAAACGAAAGGATAAAATTTATACCTAAGGAGTGCAGTTTCCGAACTAAACTATAATGCCTTATATATATATATATATATGCTTTTGATTAGTTAGTGCCCTTAGCTAATTGTCTATAGATTTGAGGTTATATAAGTACCTTTATACAACTACGTAGCCTAAGTAGGATTCGAAAATTCTATAAGTACTAAGGACTAAAAATGCCGGCTACGCTGCCGGCTACACTGCTAAGTCTTACAAAGGGCTTGCTTAAAGCTACGTATACATTCGTATACTTCTTAAAAACCGATAAATTATATAGTTCGAACTAGCTACTTATATAGTTGCTTAGCAAACCAACCTAAACTAAACTAGAGTTTCGGCTTAGCAAACTAAACTAAACTAACCCGAACTACTACGGGGTCTACCCGAGAAGTAGTACCTATAGGTTTAGCGGCTATTCTCCTACGCGATTTACTACGCCCGTAGCGACGTAGAAGTTATCGAGACTATCGACGAAATAGTAGCGGAATTACGTAAGAAACACGCTTCGGACAAACAGGTACAATACCTTCTTAATAACTAGCGCGAGAAGTCGTATTTATAGGCGACCTAGGTACGGCTAGAAAGCCCTCTTTTAATACAGGTACAGACAACGTCGCCTCTTAAGAGCTATTATAACGCTATTAAATACGATAAGAAGAAGGAGATAGTCTAGCTATCTATATATAGCATAATAGTCGAGCTAATAACGGTTAACGCTCGATAATTATAGAAGGCAGACCTCTAATTATATAGAGTTAGGAAAACTACTAACTTCTAGAAGATTAAAGAGCTGCCTTTATTCGAGCGGCTTCAACCTTTAGCGGCTTAGGACCTTATTAGAAAGCAGCTATCGATTATAGAAGAGTATAAAGCAAAGGGCCTTCCGACTTACTATAGCCTTATACTATATAATAGATAGAAGCCGGCTTACTATAACTGCCTTCTATAGTTTTAGACATACCTGCCTTATTACTATATCCTTAGATTCTACCTGTTTATTACGCCTTTAATACTCTAGCAATAACAGGTATACGTCAATTAATATACCGGCTTCAATTCTATATAGATTAGTCTATATTAGAAGTAGCGAGATAGCAATTAACTATAGCTAGAAGGATACGAAGACACACGGAAGCTATAGACTATAGGCGACCTATATCTTCGTAATTTAAGGTTATACTATAACGAGGCTATAGAAGGCCTTTCTTAGTACTTCTATCGTATACGCGACGATAAGACCGTTAATCTAGTAGTACGCGATAGCTATATACGCGGCTTCCTTCGTAAGGTTAAGGATACGCTATATAGCGTTACTAACTACTCGATTACTAATTACTACGAGAGCGGCGCCCCTAAGGTTACCTTTATAAGTAAGCGGCCGCGGTAGTAGACCTTATACTTTCTAGCGTAGCTAACGACTCTAACTCGATCGATAACCTTAACCCTCCGAGCGCTAGCTATAGCGCGGCCGCTGCGATAGCGATAACAATAGCGTATTAATTAGGCTCTATTATCGTTACCTACGCGCCCTCACTTCGAGCCGCTACGTCGCGAGTCGCTACTAGATATATAGTCGGTATAGCCTATAGATATTAACTTAGTTAAAGAGATAGATTTAATAGGCGATACGCCTCGAGCGTCGAATACGTCCTTTATCGACCTTATAACGCCTTAGCGGCCGTTACGAGTTATAGACCTTAGATTAGAGGCATTAGTAGCTTCTTAATACGACTAGATAAATAACGACGATATAATATATAAGATAAAAAGTAAGAGAAGGACTTCTAATCGATACGGCGATAGTAATAAGAGGTAGAGATAACATAGCGATAGCAACAAGAGGTAGAGTTGATATAGCGATAGCAACGTCGTTAAAATAGCTTCTATATATAGGCCTATAGTACTAGTAATACGTATTAATATTAGAGTTAACCCCTGTCTATCTAGTTAACTAGTTAGGCAAGCCGTCGTGCTAAGAACACCCTCCTTCTTAACCCCAATCGTTACCTTAGCTAAGGCCATTTTAATCCGGAACAGGTTATACCACTATATCGGGACTCTGTCAGCAAACTTTGGTGGCTGCAGCCCAGAAGAGTGGTACACTAAAATCTTTGGACAATCGCCTCCATCTGTTTCTCAATGGGCGAAGCCATGAAATCGCAGCGGAAGGACTCAACCTCGACGACTTTCCATCGTATCTAGTTGATCTCCAACCACCAAGCTTCGATAGCAGCACTGGAATGCTTCGCATGGCGACAGTAACCAGATCTTAGCAACAGTTCTCGAGAGTCTCAACATGATGGGAAGTGGTCCAGTCTGAGGCACTGTCCAATCAGTCGCTACCTCGGCCAATGCAGTCTTGATTCCTTGAGCCGTAGCTAAGCTGTACGTCGTGTACCATCGAACTTTCACATACCATCTCTTGCCAAGGTGCTTTGCGATAATACAAGCACCCTCTCTCCTTTCACCATGTCATCCTCCGCCATCCTCCGCCGTACCTTGGCCACATCCAGCAAAATGTCGCCCTCAGCACCATCTCAAAGATTACAGCAGGTACAGAGACATTTCTCAAGCTCCACTCGTCGACCGAAAGAAATCCAGGATGCATATATCGTTTCTGCCGTACGGACGCCCTGTGCGGTCTTCAATGGCTCCTTTTCTTCTGTATCAGCACCAGAACTCGGCGCCACGGCTATCCGTGAAGCAATAAAACGGAGCGAAGTGCCAAAGGACAAATTCACACATGTGTACATGGGAAACGTGATGCAAGCTTCTGTGGGTCAAGCACCAGCTCGTCAAGCCACAATCTTTGCCGGATTAGATGCCTCAGTTGAAGCGACGACGATAAACAAAGTATGCGCGAGCGGAATGAAAGCTGTAGCAATCGCGGCACAACAGGTAGAGCTGGGACAAGAGCAGGCGCTGGTAGCAGGTGGAATGGAGAACATGAGTCGGGTGCCATATTATACTCCTCGCGGACCGCAACTACCTGCTTTCGGAAACATCACGGCTGAAGACGGACTCATCAAGGATGGACTTTGGGATGTGTACAACAAGATACACATGGGCAACTGCGCCGAAAGCACGGCGAAGAAGTACGACATCAGTAGAGAGGAGCAGGATGCATATGCGATTCAGAGCTTCAAAAGAGCACAAGATGCTTGGAAGAATGGATTATTCAAGGAGGAGATTGTGCCTGTCACAATCAAAGGCAAGAAAGGCGAGACTGTGGTCGCTGAAGACGAGGGCTACGGCAGACTGAAGCTCGACAAAGTGTCTACTTTGAAGCCGGCCTTCGATCGTTCTGGAAAAGGCACTGTCACAGCAGCAAACAGCTCGAGTATGAACGATGGTGCTTCAGCACTAGTGATCACAAACAAGGAGTTGGCGAAACAATACGGAAAGGGCAAGAGAGTACTGGCAAAGATTGTAGCATATGCGGACGCTGCCGTCGATCCGATTGATTTCCCGGTTGCACCGGCCAAGGTCGTACCGCTTGTGCTTGAGAGAGCGGGTATTTCGGCGGATCAGGTCAAGGTTTGGGAGTTTAACGAGGCGTTTGCCGCTGTGATCAAGGCCAATGCGAAGGTAAGTAAGCAATCTTCTCGAAGCCACCATTGCTGCAATGTAGAGAGGCTTCTTGGGCTCGTTTCGCCAGCCGAAGCAAGATTTGAAGCTGCCAGGCTAACGTTCATACCAGATTCTCGGACTCGAAAAGGCGGCGGTCAACCCGCGAGGCGGTGCGATATCCCTTGGGCACGCACTGGGAAGCTCGGGAAGCCGAATATTGGTTACGTTGCTCCATCAACTGGAGAAGGGCGAATATGGGTGTGCTGCGATTTGCAATGGTGGTGGTGCGGCGAGTGGAATGGTCGTTCAGATGGTTGATGCTGATGAGCTATGAGAAGAACACTGTATCAGTAAAAGCATGTAGATATGGATAATGAAGGAGGAGCACGTGAAAGCACGGTCGTGACCTGAAACTGGGCCGCATGAAAGCAGGGTCCTTGTTGTAGGTACTGTAGTGGATGGAGTTCGTACGGAAAGTGGTCTTCTCTGGTGACAGATGAGTGCCGAAGGTGAACGTCTGACTCCAACTTTCTGTTTCCTGCCTGAAACTTGATTGCTTGAGGATAGCGTGAAGGCGTGAAGGCAGCGAGCACGGCGATGATGGCATGTTGCGGGTGTCAGAGGCGCAACGGTAGTTCTTAATGCAGGTCACTTGTTAGCGTGTTTTCGGTGGCAGAACGGACACTCGAACTCCTGTTCACAGCCAGCAACTTCTACATCGGCGTCGCTGCGCCTGCTCGCCTGCCAGACACCACATCCTCACTTCTTGGACCGCCAAGTCCCCGTTTGCCCTTCACGCAGGCAGCCGGGGCGTGTGTGACTGGAGTGCAGTGCTGTCCAGGCACCGCTGGTTCTATCGACAAGTCCAAGCCCAGGAGATCGCGTCCTCCGTCTCCGTCCCGCACGGAGTCCTGAAAACAACACGACAACCACATATCGCCACCACCACCTAGAAACACCCGATACATCCAGCGCAGCCATATCGCTAAACGCGCCTGGGGCGCCCCACATCGCCCAATATGTCGACCGCCAACACAATCAAGGTCGTCGCTCGTTTCCGACCCCAAAACAAAGTCGAAGCCGCAGCTGGGAGCGAGCCTATCGTCGACTTTATCAGCGACGACACCTGTAGCATCAGCAGCAAAGAAGCCAGCGGCAGCTTCACCTTCGATCGCGTATTCCCCACCAACACCCAGCAGCATGATGTGTTCGACTACTCCATCCGTAGCACCGTCGACGATGTCCTGGCAGGCTACAATGGCACAGTCTTCGCCTACGGACAGACTGGATCCGGAAAGACATACACCATGATGGGCGCCGACATCAACGACGACGCCGCCAAAGGTATCATTCCTCGCATTGTCGAGCAGATTTTCACCACCATCATGCGAAGTGACCAGAACATTGAATTCATGGTCAAAGTCAGCTACATGGAAATCTATATGGAAAAGATCAGAGATTTGCTCATACCGCAGAATGACAATCTGGCTGTGCATGAAGACAAGCAGCGAGGCGTGTACGTGAAAGGCTTGGGAGAGTTCTACGTAGGATCCGCGGGAGAAGTTTACACCATCCTGGAAAGGGGAGGTCAAGCAAGAGCTGTCGCATCTACAAACATGAATCAGGAATCCTCGCGATCGCACTCAATCTTCGTCATTGAGGTCACGCAGAAGAACGTCGAGACTGGCTCTGCTCGGTCGGGTCGCCTGTTCTTGGTCGACTTGGCAGGTTCAGAAAAGGTCGGCAAGACTGGTGCGAGTGGTCAGACTCTCGAAGAGGCGAAAAAGATCAACAAGTCGCTCTCCGCCCTCGGCATGGTCATCAACGCCCTGTCGGATGGCAAGAGCAACCACATCCCTTATCGAGACTCGAAGCTCACCCGTATCCTGCAAGAATCGCTCGGTGGTAACTCGCGGACCACGCTCATTATCAACTGTTCTCCTATGTCATACAACGATGCCGAGACACTCTCCACACTGCGATTCGGCGAACGTGCAAAGACGATCAAACAGAAGGCCAAGATCAACGAGGAGCTCTCGCCTGCTCAGCTAAAGCAGCTTCTCAAGAAAGCGCAAGGACAGCTTACGACTTTCGAGTCATATATATCTTCGCTGGAAGGCGAAGTTGGGCAGTGGCGAAAGGGCGAGTCAGTGTCGAAAGAGAGATGGGTACCGGCTCTCAAAGAATACAAAGCACCAACAGACGCACCACCGAGAGCCCAGACGCCAACGAGCAGAGTCAAGGCTCAAGATGGGGCTGGAACTCCGGGACCAGACAGCAGACAAGACTTGGAGAGAGTGGCTACGCCTAGTCTCCCTCTCGAAAAAGACGAAAAGGAGGAATTTCTCAAGAGGGAGAATGAGTTGCAGGACCAGCTTGCGGAGAAGGAACGCAGCCTAGAAGCTGCCGAGCAGGCTCTCCAGGCCGCACGCACCGAACTCAAGGATTTGCGAGAATCACATGCCACGATCATGCACGCGAAGGAGGCCTTGCAGAGTCAGACCGAGTCTCTCAAGATGCAGGTCGAGAAGATAGAATTTGAGACCAAAGAGGCTGCCATCACGATGGACTCTCTGAAGGAAGCCAATGCCGAACTTACACAAGAGCTTGACGACGTGAAAAACCAATTGCTAGATGCCAAGATGTCGGCAAAGGAGTCTTCTGCGATGCTCGACGAAAAGGAAAGATTGAAGAAAGAGCGCATGGCGGCGATGATGGCTGGTTTCGACCTAGGAGACGGCATGATGTCGCAGAGCGAAATTCAGGTCAGGGAGATGATCCAACAAGTGCAGAGCCTGTTGGAGATCGCAGATAGCGGAGAATCAGTGGCGCCGGACGAGCTGCACGCGCTCAAGGACAGATTGATTGAAGTGCAGGGTCTGGTCAGACAAGCTGACATTAGCGCCAATGGCCATGCCGACAGTGCGCAGACTGCTATTCTGGAGCAGAAGCTCAGCCAAGCCCAGCGGGAATACCAGGAATTGCTTGAGAAGAACCTTTCCGAAGCTGATGTGGAAGAGGTCAAGCGAAGTCTCTTTGAGTCTATGTCTGCACAGCAAAACGGCAATGGCCACTCTGCTGACTTCGAGGATGCGCTGAAGCGGCAACAAGAAGAAAACGGCCGTATTCGAAGCGAGCTCGAGGCTCTTCGGAAGCAAGCAGTGAACGGAGCTAATGGTGGCACACTCAGCAAGCAGCTTTCAGATTTCGATGCGATCAAGAAGTCACTTATGCGCGACCTCCAAAACCGATGCGAGCGCGTCGTCGAACTCGAGATCAGTCTCGACAGCACCCGGGAACAGTACAACTCGATCCTCCGAAGCAGCAACTCCAAGCAACAGCAGAAGAAGCTCGCCTTCCTCGAGCGCAATCTCGAACAGCTTACCCTTGTGCAAAAACAGCTTGTCGAGCAAAATGCACAGCTCAAGAAGGAAGTCGCCATCGCCGAACGCAAGCTGGTGGCGCGAGGCGAGCGCATCCGCGGTCTTGAGGGTCTTGTGCAAGAAAGCCAAGAGAAACTCATGCTTGCTAACCATAAGTATGAACACGATACAGTTCTTCTACACGATCATATTGCTGACTCCAGTACTAGATTCGAAAGCCAGCTTATGGCTGTCAAAGAGCGTCTCGAGGCTGCCAAAACCGGATCTACTCGGGGACTGCCTAATTCCCCTGCACCGAACACATTTGGCAACAATCCTTTCGGTAGGATAGCGAAGCCACTGCGAGGTGGTGGGGGCGGCGACCAACCTGCCGTGCCAACGCTTGCAGGACTGCAGAACCAAGAGGGCGGTAGCAAGCGCAGCTCATGGTTCTTCCAGCAGCGGTCTTAGGGAACGCGCTTGAAAGATCGGTGCCGGAAATGGCTTTCTAAAGGTAGGCCGGGTGGAACATTGTCATGATATGGCCATAGATGGTGATGAGTGTGAGCATGCTTTATTGTTGCCTGCTGTTTCGACAGCACACGATACCCCAGCGCTTTTTTGGATGTTTTTGGACGACTGACGGTGAGAGGCGCATGGGATGGATGGATCAATGGATGCATTATGGCATGTTGTGCGTCTGAGTCTTTTATCTATACTACTATGCTCATGGATTAGAGTCAAGAGGAATAGGATTTGCATCGCATCGCTGACAATATGGTGGTATATGGTCCCTCCCTGTCGTCTTGCCATGTGCCTGTTCGTGTTCGTGTTTGTTCGTACGCACATGGCACGTGTTTTCCCATCCTGGTCCTGGTCGTGTGTGCGAGCTCCACCTCGGCTCTTGTTCGCAATCTCTTCCACAACACACATCCCAATGTCAGCTCCATACGTCTGCACAGGCTGCCGACGCAGTCTCCTAAATTTTCAATTGAAGAACGGCGCATACCGGAAATATGCGACGCGACCTTCCTTCGCACCAAAACCCGTCCTCGACCTAAAACACATTCGACAAGCTCCAGGTCTCTACGAACAGAACTGCGAAGATCGAAATTACAAGGCTTTCTCGAAAAACAGCTGGAAGATCCTTGAACTGCATGAAAAGACTGCGCAGTTACAGAAAGAGGCGGTTGGGTTGCGGCAGAGGAGTAATGCTATTGGTAAAGAGAGACAGCAGAAGCACGATGGGGATGGAGGAGAGGGATGGAGGGGGGAAGCGAAAGAGATTAAGAAGAAGTTGCAAGACTTTGAGGCGCGGGAAAAAGAGATGAAGGAAGAGATGGAGAAATTGGCATTAGAGTTGCCGAATTTGAGTTCTGTTTACACGCCTGTTGGGGAGGAGCCGACGGTGAGAGAAGAGATTGGAACCAGAAGACCGGAGAAGAGCTCGGGTAAAAGTCATGTCGAAATCGGGAAAGAGCTGGATATTCTTGACTTTGAAGCATCAGCTACGACGAGTGGCTGGGGATGGTACTTCCTCAAAAATGAGGGTGCCTTGCTCGAACAAGCACTCATTCAATATGCTCTATCTGTCGCTATGAAAAGAGGCTGGAAAGTATTGACGCCTCCGAGTTTGGTATACGAGCATATCGCACATGCGTGCGGCTTCATGCCCAGGGATCAAAACGGTGAGACTCAGATTTATGAGATCTCCGGAGAGGAAGGTCACGATAAGCCGAAACTTGTCCTCGCTGGCACGGCGGAGATACCTTTTGCTGGATCTCAGGCGAACAAAACGCTCAGTGCCAGTGACTTGCCACTCAAAGTGATTGGACCTAGCAGATGTTATCGCGCGGAAGCTGGGGCTAGGGGAGTCGATACCAAGGGTTTGTATCGTGTTCATGAGTTTACGAAGGTTGAGATGTTTGCTTGGACTGCGCCTCCTCCTTCGCCTGATGAGGATCGGTTTGGTATGGAAGAGGAACGAGATCAGAGTGAGCAGGTTTTCGAGGAGATGCTTGAGATGCAGAAAGAAATTTTGTCTTCTCTTGGCCTCCATGCTAAGGTTCTGGAAATGCCTACCTCCGACCTCGGAGCTTCTGCAACTAGGAAGGTTGATATCGAGGCCTACTTCCCTTCTCGACGAAGTATCAATGATGGGTATGGCGAGGTTACGAGTGTGAGTATTTGTACCGACTACCAAAGTCGAAGACTAGCTACGCGATTCAAAGGTCAAGCAGCGAAATTGGGGTACCCACACACGGTGAATGGGACTGCTATGGCTGTTCCGAGAGTTCTGGCTTGTTTGATTGAGAATCATTATGATGAGGTCGAGAGGGCTGTGAAGGTTCCGAATGTGCTGAGGAGGTTTTTGCCTGGGGGGATGGAGGTCATTGGTGGCGTGGAGCAGGAGAAGGTCGCGACTTTGATTGGGCCTGAGGGACTGCATGCTGGGTATACGAAGGAGCATTTTCATGGTAGGCCAGGGCTTGAGGATGGCGTTGCTAGAGAGAGGGGGGAGTGAAGTGATGACAAAAAGTTTCCCTTCGTGCTGTCTCCCGCCAAACTTCACCAACATCATAGGCGAGGCGACTGCAACGATGAAGTCTCAGCGCTACGAAGGCACTAGTTACCGGCCGAGACAATCGTCAATATTTGGGGGGTATTTGATAAGCGATGGCTTGCTGTCGTTGCGCGCCATCTGCCGCGAGTTCTGTCAAAAGGTGGAGGATACCTTCCTGACGCGCTTCTTCACGCACCGGCCCCAACTCATCTCGGAATCTTCGCTCCAACAGTTCCTCGACATCTTCCCCCGTCCCTGCGAAACCTCAAGCATACCGGCATGATTCCAGCGCTACTCGTCTCTGGAGATCTTTGGTTCAATATCGACGGCTTCAGCCAGAAGGGAATCATCAGAGATGTGGACACCAAGCCTCAAGATGCTGGCTTCAGGCTTCAATCTCGCCTCCATCAATATCTGCCTCGAACAAGGTCTTCGCATGATTGGAGGCACCCATGTGCGCGATGACGGTGCAGTAGTGCAGCTTGGTTTCACAAAGTTGATTGAGGAAGCTGGGTTGAAGTCATCACCAGACTACGCGAGTGTCACCGGGCTTGACCATGAGGAGGATGAGGATTATGAAGATGAAGATCGTGCTGACGAAGACTACTATGCTCCTGGAGGCGATGACAATGGGGAGTGCTGCTGCGGGACCGTGCATCCTTGATCAGCTATTGGATTGCGATTGGAAACAGACCTTCCCAGGTCGAGATGAGCTGGTAGAGTATTTTCAACATGTCGATAAGGTCTGGGACCTGAGTAAAGATGTGAGATACGATACGCGTGTGACGAGTATGAAGTGGGATGAGGAGAGGAAGGGGTGGAGGGTGAGCATCAATGATGGGGAAGCTGAGCTTACGGCTTGGAATGTTGTGCTTTGTACTGGGTTTGCGAGTAAAAGGTATACGCCACCTTTCAAGAATTTGGAGTTGTATAAGGGCGAGATTCATCATACGGAAATGGCGAGAGCATTGCCAAGAAATGGGAGCATGGCACGTATAGCAATATGTCGTTGCTTCCTCAGGCCGACAGTTGGTGGCTTCCGGAGTATAGGAAGGAAGATGTTGTGGGATGAGTGTGCCAATCAAGGCTACAGGGGGTTTGTGCTTTCGAAGTGAAAGTCGTCATCACATCAAGTCCGGTAGCTTTACAGACCATCCGTCGTACGTAGTTGCACTCTGCACAGAACAAGCGTGCTTGTCCCATTGCTAGTATGCACCTTCCTTCGCATCATCTCTTTCATCACTTCAGGCAGGTGCAGACCGGCACTTGCCTTCTCCAACGATGGCAGCCTGACCACTGCCGATTGCCTATATCCGCACCCCCACCCGCACCCGCACCCGCACCCGCACCCGCACCCGCACCCGCACCCGCACCACCACTCCCATCCACACATTCAATGACCACCGGCCTTGCCTGCTCGTGTGGCGTGAAGGCCAACTCATGCCAGCTTCTTCCGCAGCGTGCCTTTGTTGATGAGGCGGAACCCGGACCTTTCTCCGACGCAACCGGCCACTCGGCAACGCGTCCGAGACCTGGTCAGTACGGTACACGTGATCGCCCACGTCTTGTCAACACTGCCACTGCCACTGCTGAGCTTCCGCCGGCGCCGGCATCAGCACAGGGATGTCACGGGCGCGGCGCGCTCAGCATGTGACGGCGGAGAACTCTGTGTCTTCACCTGCTGAGCACGCTTTGACATCGTCACGGCCCAAGCTCGGCAATCTCCTCTTCAACTGCTCCAGGCCAACATTGAAGCCTTCGAGAACAGCGACCTACCAGGCGCCAGAATGGACCGCAACTACCAGCTGGCGTCCAACGCGCGCACGGACAATGTGTCAGCGGGCCACAGTGCCGGGCCGCCTGTAGAGATGCAATCCATGGCGGACTTCGAGAAGGCCAATCCATATAACCCTCCACCACGAAAGCTCATTCCTCGCAAGGCTGCCACTCAAAATGGAGAGTACGCCAGTCTCTTTAACATCACTTGCCAAGACCGCGGCTTGACGCCAGACTTCCAGTACAGAGAGGTAGCCCAAGGTTGTTTCGACGTCACGCTTACCATTGACGGCCAGAAGGTCGATACAATTGGCCAATATGACTCGAAGAAAGGTGCCAAAGAAGAGATCTGCAAGCTTGCAATGACCAAGATCGATTCTTTTGGCAACCGCAAGAAGCGGAACGCTTCAGTCTTCGACTCGGATAATTTGACTTCTTTGCCCGCCGATCTGCACGAAGAGCGTTGGATCAATATTGTCTACGGCGAGTATCTCTTTCCTAGTATTGCGGCATGGAAGCTGACGTATCGCATCGCAGAGTACATACAGAAAGCCAAGCTTGGGCCGCCTGCATTTGAAGAGAGAGGCGTGCACCCAAGCACTGGACCGTTCACTTGTACTCTTCGTCTCCCAAATGGACCTCTCATACCGTTCGGCTCTGACCTTGGCACATTCAAGAAGAAATCGGATGCCAAGCTGGCGGCTGCTCAGCAAGCTACAAAGTGGCTTCGATCCCAAGGTCTCGTCGCGCAGTCGACGGCCAAGCGTCGCAGATCGTCAACAGAAGCACAACTCGCTTCCGATAGCATACCTGTAGCCCTCGGCGAGACGGGCTTGACACAGGCGCTCACACGTCAACTGGGTATGGACCATACAGCGGAGCAGGGAACGCTTCCAGAGCGCTGCACCAAGCTGATTGTTGAGCTCGGCTTTAGCCAGCCAACTTTCGAGTTTGAGCCCTTGGAAGGAGCATTCTACAACGTCCATGCAACATTCAATTCGAGAGACGAGAATGTTGAGCCACGCCTTTCTGGAAAGATTGGCAGGGTTGAGGCTGTGTACGGCAAGAAGCAAGCAAAAGAGCAGTGCTGGCGGGAGATCTCCAAAGTGCTCGAAGCCATTCGGGTCGACAGGATGGCGATGATGTCGCATATGGCATTATGAATCAACGCAATTTCGCACTAGACCTTTGTCTCGAGCTCATTCGAGAATCGGCTGGTATTACACAGACCTGTTGTGGCGCCCGGCAGCGACTGACAGAAGCGTATGTAGCGGTAACCAGGCCATGACTTTTGATGACACTGACTTTGAGCGTGGTGTCTCCTTTATGAGGCTAGCTAGGATGGCTTTGTGCATAAAATGCCATTTCCGGCGTGCAGGTGCAATGCCGTCTCCAACTGAGTTGCGCAAATAAAGAACAACGAAATCGTCTCAACCCGACTAATCTTGAATTTCAACGCGAGTTTGCTTTGCTAACACAGTTCGCAGAGCAGGATGGCGCCCCAAAAGCGGAAGCGGAAATTCGAGGACTTCGATGATCAGAACGTCTACATAGAGTACCGCAAGAAGAGGCAAGGTGTGGACGGAAGGAGTAGAGATGGTAAAAAGGTGATTTCGGCGGCTACCAGGACCTGGGAAGGTCTGTCAGCCGAGCAGCGATCAACAGAAGCGAATAGGATTAGAGCTGCGGTGGCCGAGGGCAAGAAATTGGCGGACATTGAGGATGTGGAATTCTCCAATGCAGATGGCGCTGCTAGCCCAACAGGCAAGCGAACAGACGATGGAGCGGCCCTAGAAAGCACAGATGAAATGCTACAAGCAGTTCCTGCAGTGCCAGGAGGTATAGAGAATGGCTCCGCTGGCAACAACCAGCCCTCCGACCCTACAGTTTCCCAAAGCTTTGATACAAGTCAGCCTCCCATAGCTCAAAACACAACCGCAATCGTCAACAACGCCGTCTCCGGCGAGACACAGGAAGCTCAGCAGCTACGGGCACCTCTTACATTCATCTCACTGAAGAATCGTTGGACGGATATTGCGAAAGACGACGCTGTTACCACAAATAAGCCTGGGAACGCAGGGAAGGAGCCCAGGAGAAAAGTTGCTGCAGCCAATCCTCCAGTCTCAGATGATCGCACATGGGTCGGGCAGAGGTATCTAGGCGGTGGTGGTTACGGGACGGCTCATGCATACTTTGCTTTGGACAACAACGGGAACATCATGGCACGGATTGTGGTGAAGGACAGTTGGATCACGTCTTCGCATTGGTCGAGTTTTTGGTTCTGGCACAAAGATCCAGAAAACTCTGACGACCGTATTCCAGTCGAAGTCCAGGCGATGCTCAACATGAAAGACAAGGCAGGAAGCGATGGCGTGGTGCAACACCTTTTCCATGAGGTCTACCGCGAAAGAATGGCGTATCGCGTCATCATGAGTTATTGTGGCCATGGAAACTTGTTCGAGAGTACATGTCATTACGCCGACTCCAAAATTAAGCCTAAACCCTTCCCGCCAGAACCATTTGTCTGGGCTGTCTTTGATGCCTTGGCCGATGTCTGTCTCCTTTTGGAGTTCGGCAGTACCGATGAGGCCAAGGCAGTAGAGAACTGGAAGCAAATCGTGCATCGCGGTACGTTTACCCTCTTTCTTTTATTTGAATGCCAGCTGACTCCAGTGTGATCAGACTTCAAGACCGAGAATGTCTTCCTGGATAGCCCAAGTGATAAGGCATTCGTCATGTATCCCAAACCTGTTCTAGGCGACTTTGGTTTATGTATTCTCACGCATGCAGAGAATGATCGCGAAAATCCATTGTCGTACAGCGATGCACAAGGAACAGAAGGCTGGCAAGCTCCAGAGCAGCTGCCAATGATGTCGACAACAACGTTCGAACCACGTCGAGTTGGCAAACTTCTCTCCTGGACGAATGTATGGGCTGCTGGTGCCATCGTCGCGCGTCTCATGGATAGAGTGAAGGATCCCTCGACTCCGAAGTACACCAAAGGCAAGGATAGCCAATTCGAATGGTTGAAGAAAGCTACGAGAGACCACTACTCGCAAGAGCTTCAGAATCTTATGAAGCGATGTGTGGCATACGAGCCTGGAGAGAGGATCACGGCGAGAGAGCTGAAGAAGGAGATCTTGAAGTACACCAGCGGTGGTGAAGAGGATCGCGCTAAAGAATATCGCAACACCTCCCCTGGGACCTTCCCAACAGAGGATCAGTTGATGTACGAGAAAGACCAATATGCCATAGGCCTGTCATTGCCCAAATGAAGCACATATAACTGCTTTAGCTCCTCTGCGATGCTGAAGGCTCTGCTTAACAGGTCAGAATTCTGGCTATGGCTTTGTCACAGGGAGTGCGCTTTGTGCACGACAAGGATAGATCACTCGGTCGGTTCTGACCTGGGTAACAAAGACAGCATTGCCATTTCCGCTTCCGTCGAGTCCATCTCTCGAGCAGATTTATAGAGACCATCTTGCAAAATTCTGACGCCAAACACGAGAAAGCGGCGAACGAATACATCTCCAATGGCGTCACCAAAGAAAAGGCCTAGACTCGACGATGTCAGTGGCGATGAAGACGATAAGCCAGAACCTCTACCGATCGGCGAGTTGTTCAAAAGGCATCGAAAGGCTCGTATCAGAAGGGCTGGAGATCGGCGGGACGCGCGTGTGCATCAAGCTATTTTAAATGCTCAGTGGGACAGTCTCTCGCCAGAAGCCCAGCAGCAGGAGACTGACAGGATACAAGGGCACTTGGATGAAGGTCGGGATAAAGGTCGGACATTGAGCGATGTGTCGGATATACCTGGCGCCGAACCTCCTGAATTCACAGAACAGGACTTGACGGATAGTGAGGGCGGGGAGAAACCATTCGATGAGGATGAGGATAGTAGCTCAGAGGAACGTGAGGATGAGGATAAGGATGAGGATGAGGATGAGGATGAGGATGAGGATGAGGATGAGGATGAGGATGAGGATGAGGATGAGGATGAGGATGAGGATGAGGATGAGGATGAGGATGAGGAGGATGAGGATGAGGATGGGGATGAGGATGAGGATGAGGATTGGGATGCCTTTCGAAATGTAATCACACAGGAAAAGCGTACTCGAAACGATACTCAAAGTGCCCTGGAAACATTTGCCAAAGACAATCCTCCGCGCTACAAGCAAGGCAAGACATGGGTTAGCCCGGGACAAGTCGGTACCGGGTCAGGTGGAAACATAACACTGTGGGTGGCATACAACGAAACTCACTCCAAGATCGTTGATCGAATTGCCGTCAAAGACCAGTTCCACAACGTCGATGAATGGTCGAGTATCCGCCTTTGGTACGGTGATCCTCGCAATTGGGGAACAAGAGAGATCATGGAAGTAAAAGCAATGAGAAATCTCAACAAAGCCGCTGGCGATGGCCCAGGAAGTCATGGGCTCATCAAGCTGCTTGACTCTCGAGTATACATGAAACGCATGGCTTCCCGGATTATCATGAGCTACTGTGGCCATGGTGACATCGATGGCATCATTAGGAGATATCAAGAAGCCGGCCAGAAGATCCCGGAAGCCTTCATCTGGGTAAGTAGACTCGAAATGACCGTTGAGTTGCGAACTAACTCCCTCCCTCATAGACAGTATTCAACGCTCTTGCAGAGGCATGTGTGCTCATGAAGTACGGCAACATTCAGAGCAAAAAGGACGAGACTTGGCAACAAATTGTGCATCAAGGTGAGCAAGAACACATAGGTGACAGCAAGCACAAAACCTCGCAAGAAACTTACACTACTACGCAGACATCAATCCAAGGAACATCTTCCTCGACCCAGCAATTCCCTATACCACCGCTACTACTGAGCCACCTCCCCGCCCATTCCCCAGCTATCAACAACCAGTCCTTGGCGATTTCGGCAACAGCATCATCACCTCCCGCTACGACGATCTCAATCCATATGCTTACGCCGCGCAGCATGGCACCCCAGGATTCCGAGCAGGAGAACAAATCCCTTGGATGGAAGACGATACTTTCTTACCAGTGTACGACGACAAGCTCCTGTCACCAACCAACATCTATCAAGTCGGGATCACCATCGCAGCCATGATGCATTGCAAATCAGTCCAAGGCTGGGACGATGACAAGCTTTGGGATGGTCCGGTCGATACGGAACCTGGTGAGAAGCAGAATAAAGAGTTTGAGTGGGAGCCGGACGATGTGGTACAGACGTATTCGGAATCGCTACGAAAACTGATGAAGAAATGTGTGAAATGGAATCCAAGAGACAGGATCAAAGCTACGCATCTTAAGAGGAAGATTTTGAAGCATACTGGAGGCAGAGCTGGTACTACGGATCGAGCACAAGGTATGAGGACTGGGTGGCCGACGACACAAGCTCAAGCCAATCTGGTTATGCCTGCGAATCTCCTGAAGACGGACGATTATGTAGTTGGCCTTTCTCCGTGGTTCATACACGAAGATGGAGATCAACAAATATGAATTGACATTCTACGGCCTTGGACTGCCAAGAAGGACGCTGCGCTCCTTCATACATTATTTGCGGAGACGTGCGGAGTATTATTATTTTTGAGGGAAGTTCATCTGAAGATCTGCAGTGCCTTCTTGTTCCTCCTCAGAGCCGACTTCTTCCAAAACCGGCCTCTTTTGACCTGGAGAATGTATGTTGACATCGTGGCGTCTGGCTGTCATCAAAACACTTTTTCCCCGTCTGCGCGATCGATTCAGACGTGGAGAGGGCGGCTGAAGAACAACTTTTGTCTCATTGCATGCCAGCGTGCTATCTATGTCTTGCTATACCGCTGCATTCGTGCAAATGTTCGACTCTGTGAACTCATTGCACCATGTGGGACGTCTACCAGCGACGTCCGCCCTCATCGCCGTAGCCCGAGGAGCCACCATAGCCACCACCGCTGCCGTAACCCTCATTGCCGAATCCGCCAGGCATGTCATCGCGTCGTCCGTACTCGTTATCATCATCATTGCGACGTCCGAATCCTCCGCCACTGCCAAACTCTTCACGTCGGCCGTACTCGCTCTGACCGAGGCCACCATCGCCCAATTCTTCGCGCGGCGGGGGGCGACCATATTCTCCGCCAGAGAATGAGTCTCCAGCGTAGCTCTGTTGCTGGCGTCCGTAGCTGTCGCCTCCGCCATAGTTTTGCTGTTGGTAGCTTGAGGATTCGTACCTGCTCTCAGAGTGAGAGCTATACTCTTGACGCCCGTAACCGCTCGACGATTGAGAATACTCCTCGCGACGCTCAGACTGGTAGCCTCCATGACCTCCACCAGAGCGGCGCTCATACTCGTCTGAGTCGTGTCGCTTTCTGGAACCCGAGCGGCGACGCTCGCGGCTGCCGCTGTTTCGACGGCCATACTGACGTTCCTCTTCCTCTTCACGCTCTTTCTTGCGGCGCTTCTCTTCCTTCTTGCGCTGCTTCTTCATCTTCTTTTCGTAATCATCATCGTCATTACTGTCATCATCATCATCGCTGTCTTTCTGGTTATGACCATACCGTGTCTCAGAATGTTGGCCATACTGTTGACCAGAGCTAGTGAAGCGCTGCTCGGAGGTCTCTTGGATGTAGGAGCCACCTGGCTGTTCGTAGCGACGCTCAGTACGTTGCTCGTAGCCACCGCCGTAGCTCGGCTGAACTTCGGTGCGCTGCTCAAATCCGTAGCCAGTACTGCCAGAGGGGCCGTCTTGCTCGTACCGCTGGTAACGCTCCTCGTGTCCACCAGACGAATACTGCGTCTGCGACATTTGGGCTTGGCCATAGCGCTCGCCTTGTCCACCATATCCTCCCGGAACATGGCCCGTCTCAGTGACTTGAGACGTGTACGAATCGCCTTCGTTATTGTAGCCACCACTCGAGTATCTCTTCTTTTCGGCCTTCTCGCCGCTGAAGGCGCCACCGAGCAATCCACCTCCAACCGCGCCAGCGAGTCCACCGACAATGGAGCCGAGAGCCCCGCCGCCAACAGCATCACCGACTGTGTCGCTAATATGGCTTTGCATCTCGTTTGGTAGGCCACCTGACGAGCTACCTCCGCCGAGGGCCTGTTGCAGGCCTCCAAAGGAGCCACCGATGGCACCGGAGCTTTGGCTTGTCTTCATGTTTGGCAGGCCCAGAGGCTTGCCACAACCATGTCCATGATCTTGTACGCCTTCCTTGTGGTTCCAGCCTTGCTCAACGCCATCTCTTGAAAGCTTGTCGCGAAGATCATCACGCTCGCGGTCGGACTTCTCGCTCCACCAGCGCTCAACGACTTGAAACATCAAATGACGACCATCAGTCGCACCGTCCTCACCATAGTCGCGGAGCGCTGGATGGTGAAATACTCCGTTGATGATGCGGTCATTCGTGCGGCGAATGTCGATGTTATCGTCATCCCAGCAAGCAACGATCTGCAGGAAGCGTTAGTCAAGATCACCCACTAATTTCAGAGGGAAGACTGCACATACCTGCGGCACAACCCACTTCAATACCTGGCTAGCAACCTTACCAGCCGGCTCGTTGAGGATGTTGGAAAAGTGATCCTTGGAAAGCATACTGTGGGTTGGATCGGTGCAGCTGTCGTCCTGGAAAACGTTATGCTGCTGAGCCTTGCTGGATTGGATGATCTCTGAGCTTCCGGTTCGTAGTTCATTCTTCACCTGATTGACGATCGGAACCACGAATGGAGCCATGAGAGAGAATACGAAGATTGAAACCTGGTCCTGCAGCTGCTCTATCAGGTCTGGCAGAACCGGAATCTTGTCGATAGCTTCGTTGATGCTCTTCATCAGGTTATCATGGAACTCGAAAAGGGGATAGATCTGTGTCTGAATCTCCTCGACCTGTTGGGTGAAGGCTTCTGGCTCCTTTGGCGTGATGTGCATGTTCTGCAGTTGTTCTGCCTGAGCGTTGACTTTGAGCTGCTCCGCTTTGCCTTTCTGATCGCTGTCTCCGAGAATGCCAGGTGGGAGCTTGTCAAGCAGATCTTGCAAGAGCGAAGTATCGGCGTTCTGAGATTGGACCAGAGTGCCCTCCAGCTCGTCCAATTCATACTGGGTCGCCTTGTCGGTGAATTCGCCCATGACAGAGTGCAAAAAGTCGACGCCACCGAAAGTGCCAGTGATGATTGGGTAGACTGGATGACGAGCGCCTCTGAGCTCAATCTGGGTGCGACGGCCGACGTGCGGGAAGACATCACGCTCGCCAAGCTCAATGAGAGCCAATTCGGTGTAGTTGGAGTGGGCAGAATAGTCTTCCAGACAGTGACAAGCAGTTCCGAGCAGGCGGAGAGCTTCATAGTAATCGCGTTGATCGTTGTTGTGCTTGTAGCGGCGACCAAGCTCGATGCATTTGCGGAACAAAGTGCGGACCATGCCAGCAGATGTAGTGATGCCTTGATCCTCACTAGCAATGTAGTGTTTCAAGCCAGTGCGTTCGTCAATGCTGAGCTCGCGACGCTCATCGACAGGACCGCGCAAACGGCGGTCGTACTGCCTCGCATCAAGATTGTCGGCGTAGTCCTTCGGGTTGTCAATATGCTCTTCTGGACGATAGCAACCCAGCCTCTCCGTGGTAACCTCAAACTCTTGAGTGCCATAGCCGAAGGATAAAAAGCCGAGGATCCAAAGCAGAAGGCGAATTGCTTCAGCAGAAACGTACTTGACAGTGCCTACGTCTACGGCCTGGCTGTAATCGCGGAGCCTATCGCGACAAGTCAGCCAGCAATCTCAAGACCACTCCACCAAGGACTGACCAGTTCCCGAAGTAGATTCGCTTAACATCGAGTTTGCTAAACTTGCGGCCGCCCATGGCGCGTGCCGTGAGGATGGTGAGGAGTGTATCTTCGATATCGCCATGGCGCCAGTTTTGGCCTTCAATCTTGCTGGTGCTTCCGATGTTTCCTGAAGGGCGGTATCGTCAGCTCCTGCTCACCGCGAGACAGCTGGGTAGTCAAACTCACCAGCACCGAATGCGTTTGCCTGGCCTGCATAGAGCAAGACCAGCACGGCGATGACAGGCAGCCAGCTGCCGTACTTGAGTGCCATTGTTGTGAGATTGTTGTGATCCAAGCTGCTGTGTGCGTGGAGGTGTTGACGCTCAAAAGTCAAGCGTGCTTTCTTTCCCGCGTCTCCCGTCCTTTCCTCGGCGCGTGCGCGTCTGCAGCTGCTGCGTCGACTTGAAACAGTGTGGGGCGTCCTCCGACGTCACTGCCAAGAGATGACCCGAGGCGTCGTTCGATCTCTGACATGAACATTCACTTCACTTCGCTTCACGCTATTATTATTGTCACATGCAATTCCGAATTGCAAACCTTATTATTAGAAATGCACATTAACAACCTGAAGCAACCTTGAACCCTTGACCACTTCCCTGAGCCCCATTTAAGCCACCGAGCCCTAGCTCCCCGTCAAATTTTGACTCTCTCTGTTCAAGTCGGAATCAACAGCTTCAGTCTGAATAACGCCTCGAAGGACACGTTCTGTATATTTTAAAAGGCAAGGAGCCGACGTACCGGCGCAGGAGGCTTGCCCTACAGCACAACCTGACACCTCCAGTATTGTGACTTCTTGGCGTGAAATTGAGTTCTGCTCCCCGTTCTCCGTCCGTGGAAGCTTCATCCTGGCAATGCTGCCGGTGCTGGCATCTGATTGCTCCTTCCGCTGTCTATCCTCGATTCCTGCGTCCAAATGCCGATGCACGCGTGCGGCGTACCATGTATACCACCACGTCTACGTCCAAGATAAGTACTACTGACTCCAGGTCATCTTCTAAGGTAGCCCAATTCTCAGCTATGCAACTCCCTCACAGGCCGAAAGCCATGCCTCCTTCACAACAATGTAATGTGTGCTCCAGGACGAACATCCCCCTTCGAGCTTGCACGCGCTGCAGAACAACTTCATACTGCTCAAAAGACTGTCAAATCAATGACTGGTCGTCTCACAAGTCCAGTTGCAGACGACCAAACTTCTTGCTCAAGTTCCATATTTCCCCCGAACACCTTCTACATCCTCCGGTCTGGCGAGTCCTGTCCGTTCCTGTTACCACTTCCTTTGCTGACCTCCATCGCGCGCTCCAAGTCGCTTTCGGCTGGAAGTCAGTACACAGCTATGAGTTCGGCGTCCATGACCCTGAGTACGAACCGATTGCCGGTGGAGACGAGCGTGTCTTGCAAGTGATGAAGAAGATCCAGACACTGACAAAAAGGGTCGACGATTCACGCAAGTATCTTCTACGAATTCTCGACGACGCAAAGTATGGAACCAGAAGCGTCGGACCTGAGCCAAGTGATAGGGCTCGCAAAAGTGCATGGGAGCACCCAAGAACTCCCGAGAAGAACGCTAGCCAGATCAATGTATGCGAAGTGTTAGATCGAGCACAGCCGAAAGGTATTGAGACTTATCTCCTTGTCTCTCCTTGATGGCCTGGCAAAGACTAACTTGAGCTCAGGTCTACATATGTCGTACACCTACGACTACGCCAACAAATGGGTACACGATATATCCATCGTTGGCATTGCTCCTGCGACGAATGCCATTCAGTGCATCGAGGGAGAAGGTCATGGTATAATTGAAGATTGTGGTGGTATACAAGGGTGGCAAGCATTGCTTGATGCTTATAACACCTTGACGCCAACGAAGAAGCAGTGGGAGAGGAGGAAATGGCTTGAAAAGCAGGCTCTCAATGCAGATCCCCAAGGTCTCTCGAATGGAGGAGACAGAAGGTGGGATCTAGACGAAGTGAATGCAAGGCTTGGTCGGATGGTCTGAAAGACGCCGCAATGCCTTGCCGCATGGAAGTCACTCTTGGGCTACCAATTTCACGTGAAAAGTCGAACGCGCCAAAGACGTAGCTTCCTGAAACTCGGACGTTCCTCGAGGATTTGGGAACAAACGCTGCTCGCTTACAAGATCGAGGCCTTTTAAAAGGGTTTCGCAACTCTTCTAGCAGGCCGCTCCAGGCCCAAGAAGGAAATGGTCCAAATATTAGACGCCTTGACGCGTACACTAGTCATTCATAACACCTCACAACTTGCACGGTTGCTGTGCTAGGCCCTGGCGCTAGAGCGGCCTCAACTAAGTGACAGACAAGTGTGTTATGCACGGCGTATGCAGAGCTAGGCCTTTTGTCGCCTCTGAGTGGCAGAATATGCCGCTCCACCGCTGGAGCTGCCTGTTCCACCATTCAAACAGGAAGCCAAGACTACTGCTTTCGGTCGTGGACTATGCTCGGCTGAATCGGTGTCCTCAGAATCTGCAAAACCCTTCAAATTAATTCGTCGCAGCTCAACCCTGCTTAAATTCCACAATTGACTCGATCTCTGCAATTCGTCCGAACCTAGGGTACATACGGCTGCCATGGGTCGGAAGAAGATTGACATCTGGGCGACACCAGCCGACCCACAAATAACCTGTAGACTACTCGGCCTCTCACCAGAACTTCGCAACATAACCTGGGAGTTCACAGTCAGCGTTGAGCCAGACTCGGACTTTACGGTTAGCTTCACAAAGCCAAGTTACGTCCCATCAGGACATAGTACGTGGGATTCAGCATCTGAGTACCTAGTCGATGTGCAGAAGGTGTATGCATCCAGAGTTCTCCTCTACACCCGCTCTCAAATGTAGCAAGAGCGTCGAAGCTCTTTGATGCGCAAGCGCCTCAAAGTAAGTAACAACCTCATCTTCGGAATACGAAATGCAGGGCAGCAAGTGACTTCGAACATCACACTTGAGAAAGTCGCGAAAATCGATTGTGCTTCGGTGACGCAAGAAATGTCTTCGGCGGTGCATGGAGAAATGACACGGCATGCAGTATCTGACCGGTTTGAATATAGCAAGCACTGTGATGAAAGATTGCTTGTTCGCGAATGTCAGACAAGATTCTGGTTGAAACATTGGCAGTCTCAGGTGGTTTTCGGGACTTTTTTGTAGAGATAGTGACCCTTTGGAGCTTCGAATCGGGCTGCACCAAGAATTTTCATCCGCTTCTCTCGCATTCACGTCTGTGCTCAGCAGCATAGTTGTTGATTGTTGATTGGATTAATCACATAATCACTCACAATCACAGTGATTGTGGTTATGATTCCCGGCAAAATAATTGTGATTATAATCACGCAATCACTTCCTCCGACGAGGATGTGTCTTTCTAGGCTATATTAGCCTTCTAAACAAGGCGATAAGCTCGCTGTATATTGGCATCCTTAATATATAAGTTCTTCTAGGTATAAAGTATATTTATTGCCTACCTAGGTAGAAATAGTACGTCGCTCCTTTACTAAAGTAGGTCTAAATTATGCTTACTTAGCCTTAGGCAGGCTGCTTGCCCTAGCTTACCCTAATCTTGTAATTATAATTATAATTATATAATTAATTACTTACAATTAGTTGTAATTATAATATTTAGTATGTAATTGTAATTAATTAACAATTAACAACTATGCTTAGTAGTCCTATCTTAGATCTGCCTGTAAAAGCTTAGCATTTATAACAACCCGGACTTTACTCCTAATATAATCTCTAGTAGTACAGTTAGAAAGACAGGTTAAACCGTTATGCACCTTCCGGTAGACTATAGCCTTAGGGCGGTGCTAGGGCAAACTCTATCCTATCTCCGTTTTAGCCCCTTACTATTTAAGCGCAAGGAGGTTTTTAGTATAGTAGGTAGTAGGCTCTTTCTAACTACTACCTTTACTACCTTCTACCTTCTACCTTCTACCTTCTACCTTCTACCTTCTACCTCTAACTATTCTATATCGGACTACTACGCGACTAGACCTATATACCTATATACTAAACTATACTAACCTCCTTACGCTAGCAAGGGTCTAAGGACAAATGTGCTAAATCTATAGTATTATCCTTATAAAAATAAAAGATTACTAACTAGCGTAGAATACTATAATTTGATATATATATATTATAGCCCTGCTATTTCTAAGTTATTCTATATATATAATATTTAAATACGACGTATAGTTATAAAGAAAACAAGCAATCCTTACTACGGGTAGATATACGTATACGACGGATTGTTATAGAGCGCTGCTACCTAATATCTAATATAGGAAATATACATATCTATAACTAGGAGGTTGTAGACCGGCTATTCCTAAGTACTGTTTATATAAGCCATATATCGAGAAAATATATGCCTGCTATCTGCTAGCTCTTAAGCGGAGCTAAGCTAGGTACTCGTAATAAGACCTTCGGATCTCGATAAGTAATAACTCGGAGGTTCTAGAATAGCTAATTCTTAATTACTTTAATATAAGCTATATTTGTATAAAGCGTAGTATTGTTATATTGTATCTAAGTAGCGGAGGTTATTTAGCTAGCTCGAGGCTAGCATAAAAAGCTAGTATAAAAAGCTAGTACCGAAAGCTAGCACTAGTATATTGTCTACTAATATTCTCGGTTATATACTAAGCTATAGAAGATCCTGCGTATAGGCGGCCTTCTATAGTCGGCCTTCTATAGAAGGCTTCTTGCAGTCGACTTCCTATAGGCTATCGTTTGCCGCGCTTAGATAAGCAAGCTCCTAAAACACAGTCTTATTCGGCTTCGGATACGGGTTAAGGCAGACTTACTCTATATATCGTATATCGTATATCGTGTGTCGTATGTCGTATATCGTGTATCGTATATCGTGTGTCGTATGTCGCTATTAGTAATTTAAAAAAAGGCCTCGTTTATACGCTCTTTATTTAAGTAGGCCTAAAGGCAATAGGGCTTTGCCGTTTTAAGCTACGGGTATAATATCGGGCTGCCGCCCTTCTTCTTCTTCTTCTTCTTCTTCTTCTTCTTCTTCTTCTTCTTCTTCTTTATTAGGGCTAAAGAGGCTATACGTGATTGGCATGTAACTAGACTAAGTAAAGCTAGGGTCTTAGTGCCTTAGGCAGGGCTTAGTGCTTAGCAATAGGCTAACTTGCCTACCTTCCTCCCTCTCCTCCTAGCTCCTTATCGAATACTACCTGTACCTACTACTACCCTATCTACCTGCTAACAGACCCTTCTTATACAGTATTCGATCTACCCTTTAAGGGTAGCAGCTAGATAGTCCTTATTTTAAGCTTTTAGCGGTATAGCTACGAACAAGACTAATCTAACTATATTACGCCCGAAGAACGGGACCTATACGTACTATTCTATCGAAGTAACCGTACCAATTATTAAGCAAGGCCTTCTATACGGCCTATTACACTGAGTTAATTATACTAGACTAATATCTACTAATTCCGCTATATCCGTATCTTAGGGGCTAATAATACATTATTAGTATTACCCCTTATTATAATAGCCGGCTCGTTACGAAACAATAACCGTACTGCCGCTAGTAGCGCTAGCAACGACAATACTAGTAGCACAGTGCCTACTAAAGTGCCTACTAGAGCACCTACTAAAGTGCCTCCTACCGAAGAGCCTACTATAGGACCTGCTAAAGAAGAACCTACAATTCTAGGTAACGACCTAGAATTGCCTGTCGACGACATTCTTAACAATATTGTTAACCGTCGATATAGCTAGCTAGCCTTTAGTCCCTAACTAGTAGCGAGACTTTAAGAAGCTACCTAAAACAGGCTTACTGCCTTGCGTTAAGAACAATAGCTAAAGGATAATCTTCTCGAGATTCGCTGCCTCTAGGAATCTCTAACAACTACTGCTAAGCCAATAGCAGGACCTTCTTTACTACCTATCTAAAAGAAGGATGCTAAACTCAAGGACTGCACTGTATTTAATAGCTCTAGTCGGAAGCAGTATAACGACTACATTCGTAACTATAAACTTAACTAGCGCAACGCACTAAGAGCGCTACTAGACGACTATTCCTTAGTCGTATACGCTATATAGTACATCAATAGCGACCTAAAGCGTATATAGGATAACTATTTCGACTCCCTTAATAACTAGACTGCTGTTTAGTAGCAAACCTACAAAACTATTATACTAGACACCCTTAGAAACCCTATACTAAGGCAACAATACGCTTAGGACCTGTATCTTCGAGCTAAATAGAAGACTAATCAATCGGCTCGCTTATTTAAAGCCTATTTAAAAACCCTTAAAGACGACCTTCCGCCTAAGACTAATTCTATATAGATCTCCGAGATACGCCTAAAACTTAGATAGGAGCTTATCCTCGAATTGGACCGTCGCCGTGTGTTCGAATAAGCTAATCTAACACGCATCTAATTCATAGTCGAAGTAGAAACAGCCGAACGGGCTATTTAGCTCTAATAACGACTAGAATCGAGGATCCGACTAGCTAGTACTAACCGTAGCAACCGTAGCCGCGGAGGAAACTAAGGTTCCTACTAGGACAACAATGCTAACAATAGGAATAGTAACGATCGTAGAAGAGGCCGTAGCCGCTAGCTATATAGAGGAGGCCGCGATAGGGGCCGTAGAAGGGGCTCGTATCCCTATAATGCTAACCGCTCGACTAATAATAGCAGTAATAACAGCTACGGCAATAATCTCCCGACCGGATTGAAGTGCTTTAATTGTAATAGTACTAGCTATCTACTAGGCTAATGCGACAAACCTAAGGACTAGGCCCGAATTAACCGTGCTTCCGCTAAGTATAGGAAACACCTTTTAGCCGCTAATGCTATCCTAGTCGGCTCTTTTAATAGTCGAAAAAAGAGTAAGCGCCGCACTAACTATTAGCCTTGTGCGGCGTAAGACTATCGACATTGTACTAGCTATAATACGCTCCTGCCTTATATAGGATACGAAGGGCACTACCTATTAAACTAAGGTTATACTAGATCTAGGAAATTCAGTTAGTGCCCTTATTAGCTATTGCCTAGCTAAGCAATTAGACCTTCGATAACTGCCGAAGACTAACCTACTAACCCTTGCTTGGTTTAATAACGCTCGGCACTTGACCTATAGGGCCTACTATATTCCTATAGCTCTAAAGGACGACCTCGGAAATGAACGCCTACTAGACTTCACTGCCTACGTAGTAGATATAGACAACCTATATAGGGGAGCTACTATTGTTATTAGCAACCCTATTCTTAAGTACTACGCTATAGCTATAGACTTAGGCATTTAGAAGTAGCGATTTGGAATCGCTAGGAAAGAGGATATTAAACATATTAATATTAGCGAGTGCCCTAACGATATTAGGGTCCTGTTTATTAGCAACCTAATACTAGCCTCCGCCTTAGCTAATCCGACTGCCGATTTGCTCGGTAGTAATAACGATAAACCTGTGCCCCCTAATAATCCTAATTAGCTTGCTTATATACTAGAGCCTATCCGAGAGACCTATATTAATGTATTTAAACACTACCTAGCATCGACATTGCCTATATTTAAAGAGACGGATTATAAGATTGATATTATAGAGGGTAAAGAGGTCCCTTTTAGACCCCTCTATAACCTTAGTAAGCGAGAGCTTGCTATATTACGTAAGTACCTAGAGGAAAACCTAGCTAATAGCAGGATACAGTATAGTAACAGCCCTACTAGTGCCCCTATCCTGTTCGTACTAAAGAAGGATAGTAGCCTACGCCTCTATATCGATTATCGTAGGCTTAATGCTATTACTATTAAAGATCGCTATCTACTTCCTCTTATTAATAAGACCCTCGATCGCCTTTCTAGTACCTACTACTATACTATATTAGACATTAAGGACGCCTATTACCGCATTCGTATTCGTAAGGGCGATAAATAGAAGACAGCCTTTCGCACTCGCTATAGCTATTTCGAGTACTTAGTTATACTATTTAGGCTAGCTAATGCCCCTACTACATTCTAGTCCTATATTAATCGGGCCCTATTAGGCCTATTAGATCACCTCTATATAGTTTACCTAGATAACATCCTAGTTTATATACACTTACCTAATATTGTAGAACACTAGGCCGTAGTGCGCAAGGTCCTCGACCGCCTATAAGCCTATAGACTATATTGCAAACCTTCTAAATGCACCTTTGCTACTAAGGAGGTATTATTCCTTAGCTTCCTCGTATTAACCGAGGGTATTAAGGCTGATCCTAATCGGATTAAAACAATTACTAAATAGCCTATTCCTACGTCTATTAAGGAGCTTTAATTGTTCCTCGGCTTCGCTAATTTCTACCGCCGCTTTATTAAGGGCTATTTACGGTATATAATGCCCCTAACTAAGCTTACTAAAACCAAGGCCAACCCGTCTAGAGAGTTCAAATAGACTAACAAGATATAAGCCGCTTTTAACGGTCTAAAGAAGCGGTTTACTAAAGTCCCCTTACTATACTATTTTATACTAAGCAAGCAGATCCGTATTAAGACTAACGCTTTACAGTTCGCTATATCGGCTATTATGTTATAGCAATTAGATAAGGACTATTACTAGCACCTAATTGCCTTCTTTTTACAAAAGATAATCGATATAGAGCGTCGCTACGAGACCTACGAGCAAGAGCTCCTAGCTATTATCGAGGCCTTTAAGTATTAGAGGCACTATCTCGATAGTGCATAGCACACTATTTAGGTCTATATAGACTATAACAACCTCCGTAGCATTACTAAGGTTACTAGGGTTATAGGTCGACAGGCTAGATAGGCCGTCTACCTCGCCGGGTTTGATTTTAATATATTATATCGGCTAGGCGTAAGTAACCCTACTAATAGCCTATCGAGGCGACCTAATTACGATAGCGAAACTTAGTACATTAATTTATTGTTTCTAACCCTGCAGTATAAGATTGCTATAGCCCGTATTGTTAATAAGTAAGCGTAGGATAAGCGGACTTCCGGACCCCGCAGCGGCAACAAATACTATAGCGAAGTTGTCGTTCTTCTAGTGCACGTTAAGAAGGACGTAGATCGCTCGAGCTATAATAACTCGATTAAAGATATTGCTATCTATAGCGATAGCACTGCAGAAGAGGTTGTAGTAGTTCCGGCTGCTAGTACTATTAGATGCATATAATACGTACCTCGTTTAATAGCAAGGGTGCTGTTAAATAACCTTGCAAATAGGGATAGTTAATTGTTTATAGGTAAGCTGTTACGTGCTTAGTAGAGGGACGCCTTTGCTGTCGAGCGTATTAATAAGCTTATAAGTAGGCGGGCGACTCGATCTAGTAAGAGTAACAATAATTAGTCGATCGACGATAAGGGTTACTTAAAGTTTAAGGGCAGATACTATGTCCCCGCTAAACAATCGATTAGACAAGAGCTTTTAAAGAGGCACTATAATAGTAAGCTCGCTAGTTACTATAGCATAGAGAGGTCGTACGAGTTACTATCGCGCATATACTACTAGCCAAATAGTAAGCGGCATATAAAGGAGTATATACAGACCTATATAGTATACTAGCGAGTCAAAGCACTAAAGCACTTACTATTCGGCGAGTTGTCTTTACTCCCTGTTCTAAAGAAGCCTTTTGCAGAGCTTATAATAGACTTTATTACAGGTCTTCCCCCTACTAAGCGAAGAGGAAGCAAAGACGTCTTTAACGCTATACTAGTCGTTATAGACCGATTTATTAAGGGTGCTCGCTACATTCCTACTCGCAAGGATTAGACTGCTATTAATATAGTAGAGGCGCTATAGACTAACATCTTCTATACCTATTAGGGAACCCCTAAGGGGATCGTATCCGATCGTAGATCGATACTAACATCTTACTATTAGAGCGAGATTTGCTTGTAGCTAAGACTGAAGCATCGGCTATTAATAGCCTTCTATCTATAGACTAACGGTCAAACAGAGAGGCAGAATGCTACCCTATAGCAGTACCTGCGCAGTTACATTAATAAGAACCCCGAGGACTAGGTCAACCTCCTACAACTAGCTGAATTCGTATACAATAACAGTGTCTACTTATCTACTAAGGTCTCCCCTTATTTTGCTATAATAGGCTAGAACGCTGCCTTACTACAAGACCTATTTACCTCGCTCGAGGCCGAGCGTAAGGAAAGGGAAGCGCGTTAAGTACCCGAAATACTAGCGGCTATTAAGAGGGTTTAGAAGATGCGAGAAATCTATGCTAAGATAGCCGAGAAGTTAATAAAGGCTTAAGAGTACTAAAAGACCTACTACGATAAGCGCTATATACTAATAACCTTTAAGCAAGGCGATATGGTTATGCTTAGTATAAAGAACCTCCGCATCCGTAAACATCTATTACCTAATAGCAAAACAAGGCCCAAGCTCGCACTAAGATATATTAGCCTATTCCGTATTCGAGAGGCTAAGGGCATACAGGCCTATTAGTTGTAGCTCCTACCTTATTATACTATCTATAACACCTTCTATATATCCCTCCTTAAGCCGTACTACCTACGCGAAGGGGATAAAGCCCCTATAGAACACGAAGACATACTAGCGGATAGTAAGGAGCTATAGTCTATAGAACGTATCCTATAGTACCGGACTAGGAAAGGCAAGAAGGAGTACCTATTAAGATAGCAAGGCTATTCACCTAAATAGGACTTATAGGAAGCTAAAGGTTCCTTTAAGGACATAACCGAGTTGTTAGATAAGTATTAGACTAGCGTAAAGAACAAGAAGAAGGCTAAAAGCTTATAATGTTACTATTAAGGCCTAGGATTAATGCTACCCCTAGGGTGCTATTAGCTAACTAATTAGAGGCAAGCAATTGTTAGCAACAAGAGACAATGAGACTACACTACTATAGTGAACGCGTACCGAGTGTTAACAAGCGCGCTACGACGCGTTAATTAGTTACTGCTCTTTTAAAGACTCTACCTCTTATTCCTTTATTCTACCGAGGCCTCGAGGCCTAGGTAATCGACGAGAATACGCGCGCGCGTACGAATAACGGTATATTAGAAGATAGCTGGCGCGGCTATATTAGTAACGGTGTTGCGGAGTGTATTGCTATTTAAGAAAGGAAAGATACCGCTATATTAGTAACGGTGTTGCCGAGTTGTTATTAGTTAAAGAAGGAAATTAGAAGAAGGTAAAGTTGGCGCTAAGACGACTAGCGCCGCTATTATTAACATCACTTGCTACTATTACTGCACCTACGGACACAACCTTACCTACACTACGAGCCTAAGGCACCTTTAATTAAAACTTTAATCAAAACTTTAATTAAAACTTTAAGCCGCTTAAAAGATTAAGCGACTAATAGACTAACTAACTAAGGGCAAAACTATAGAGCTAAGCTAGCCGGGGTCGATCTTGCGGATAATAGGTTACTCCTCGATCTATCTAACCCTTTAAGCGAGGCGAACCTCTACTACTATACTTATAATAGCCTTTACCTATAGAAACTAGAAGAACTAAGTTTTTTAAAAAGATATAATTAGTTAACACTTAAAGGCTGCCAAACCTAACTAATTAGGGCTAGTAAAACCACGACAGTAAATAATAGCCCTCGTAATAATAAGAACAAACCCTCGGAAGCGGACAACTCTCGGAAGCGGACATTGCTAGGTCTTTTAAGAGTAGACGCAAAGAACTCGATACGATATTACTTAGAACGGAGGCAGTGCTATAATACCTCGTACGTCTACCTATTATAGTAGGGAAGACGCGCTCGTATTATAATTAGTCGAAGGCCTTTAATTCTTATAGATATATATTACTTTATAGTTTATTATATATAGAGATAGCGCAGTTAGAGTTGTATATTGTGTTGTTTAGAGGTAAGGTTTAATATAGTTACATAATTAGGTAGTTAAGTGTTTAATTTAGCGCGGGCTAAGCAGCTTATTAGACTCGCTAAGTTAGCGGCAATAGAGGTCGTAAAACATAGGTAGGCTACGAGGGCGCGGCCTTTAGAAAGGAAGCGTATGTTAGGGCTAAAGAGGCTACACGTAATTGGCATGTAACTAGACTAAGTGAAGCTAGGGTCTTAGTGCCTTAGGCAGGGCTTAGTGCTTAGCAATAGGCTAACTTGCCTACCTTCCTCCCTCTCCTCCTAGCTCCTTATCGAATACTACCTATACCTACTACTACCCTATCTACCTACTAACAGACCCTTCTTACATTCTTCTTGCTCTTAGCTTCTTCCGCCTCGTATCTAGTACTTATATTTAGTACTCGCATTTAGTACTCGCATTTAGTACTCGTATTTAGCACTCGCGTCTACCGCTAATATATCCGACGTCGACCTACTAGACTCCGACCTACTAGACCTACTAAGTGCGCTTTCTAGCCTACCGCTAAATCTATACCCGAATAAGTTGTCTAAGCTATTATCTAAATTAAACCTAGATTCCGAGGCAGATGCTAGTATATAAGCCGCGCTTAATATAGACTAGCAACGTATCGAGGTAGACCGCTAGATAGCTACTAATAAGGAGGCTACTAGCGACGAAGAGGTACGTAGAGCGGCTCTATTCTAGGCGGTCGCTAATAAGGATATATATAAGGCGGAAACATATAAGTAGGAGGATCTTAGCGATAATAATATTGTATTAGAAGAGGCGGAAGAGGCTCCTATCGAAGAAGATAAGGCTATCGATCCGTTTAGTAATATAGAGAAGGATAATAGCGATAAACTCGTAGATAAGGAAAATGCGGAGGATACTAGCGTAGTAGCTCCGCGCCGCTAGACTTGATAACAAACTCGACTCGTAGAAGAAGCTACTACTACTATAGGTTGTCGACGCGGCGGACGTTTCTAGCAAAACCGGACGACTCGAGGCACCTACCGCATTCGTAGTTAGCGTCGTACCCGCGAGTAGAAATATACTAATATCTTCGGAGAGATAAAGCGTACTAAGCTGCTACCTAAGCAGTAGATAATAATATTTAATAGCTATAGCGAGAAGCTAAATAGGACCTATCGCAACTATATCCGCTAGTCTATAGCTACTCTTAAACATTTAATAGCTATAGCGAGAAGCTAAATAGGACCTATCGTAACTATATCCGCTAGTCTATAGCTGCTCTTAAATATAAGTATGTCTTCTCGGCTCGAGTTATTCGTAATAAGCTAAAGAAGCTCGTTAGTAAGCAATTCTTTAACTAGTACAATCCGGAAGATTCGATAAAGGATATTAACCTACTAGAGATATATAGTATTATCGAAGAGACTACGCCGACCTAGGTTGATCTTCTATATAAGCTGCTTCTAAACAAGAAGATTCTAATCGGCAAGGAGGATAGTCTGCTATATAAGCAGGATCGCCTCCGTAAGCGTATTATAGTAATAATATAGATAGCTGTCCGCTCGATCTCCCTAAAGAAGGCCTCGATTTTCGGCAAGCAATTCGGACTATACCTAGTTACTAGCGGCGTACTATACTACGTTATTAGTGTTATTAACAATATAGGCCTTTCTAGTGCCGCTCGGACGATTTAAGTGTTAATGCGGAAGATAGAGGCGGTCTAGGATTAGCGTATCGTTGTAATAGCTCGAGATAAGCGGAGTTTTACGGTATACGACAACCTCGTAAAGCAGAAGAACCGCTAGGGCGTCTAGAAGTAGGGTAACCGTACGGAGATGCTAAATATAACTACCTCCTATATCGGTATTAACGAGCGTATTCTAGTAGAAGGTTTAACTAAGGATATAATTAATTTAAACTCGGAGCTTAGCTATAAACACATCCTAGAGAACCTTGCCTAGAACGCGAAGAATAGAACCCGAAAGCACCTCTCGTTATACTATATCGACTAGGCTTTAGGTATTATATTTAGACTAGAGCTAAAGGGTATGTTCGAGGATTACGATTTCGAGGCACGATATTAGTCGACTATTACGGAGAGTGTTAATGTAGCGATAGGAATTAGTACTTAGTATATCCGCCTAGGTACTAAAACCGAGCGCTTAGTATAGCTATTAATCGATATTATAGATCCGGAAGAAGCTACCGACCTCGTACTAATAAAGCTATTAATAAACGATAAGGTATCGATTGCTAGATCTAAGGAGGTTCTAAAGGATATCTTTATCTATAATATATAGCTCGACGAGGATAAGGACTTCGGCGATCGGGATTAGAATCGAGATAGGAAGGCTCGTTTGTATCTAATTGTCGGAGACTAGATAATATATGCCCGCTTTAATAGCTACTAGGCAGAAGGCGTCGAGTTAGGGCGCCTATACGACTAGTACGATTAGAGCGTTATCGTACCTAGCTAGCTATATATCTATATAAATAAAGTATACGGCATCGTTAAGACGCACTTCGATAAGAACTCCGAGGAGGTATAGCTTGCCTATTATTTAGCTACCGATGCTTTATTCTATACGATAAAGGGTATTAGTAAGAAGAACCCTAAATACTTCCTTATCTTAAATCTCCTATATCGTATATTCCGTAGCCGTATTACTATATACTTCTAGTATAAGATAGACCTATAGGGTTTATTAGACTATATAGTAGATAAGTCGAAGAGTCGTATCGAGGTGCTAAGAGCCGCTATCTCTAACCTCGAGCCGGAGCAGTACCTAGAGATTGTCGAGAATATCTAGAAGAAGGCATTTACTAAGGAGGCATAGTAGAATAAGTATATTAGCGAGGATAAGGTCCTTATTAAAGATGCTAATTATACTACTATATATCGATTACTTATATAGATCGAGGAGCTTATAACTATACGCACCGCTATCTATAAGATAGACGTTAGTTATTTATAGCGTATAGTCGACTACCTTATCGTTCTATTCCTTAGAACGAACTAGACTAATTATGCGAAGCATATGCTAGAATTCCGCTAGTTGCTAGAATAGGAATAGCTATTACGCCGAGTATTAATAGCTATTTCTATCGTTAACCCCTCTAGTAAGCAAGGCAAAGGTATCGCCGTAGATAAAGAGATTAAGCTTATTAATAACGACCTAACTCTAGATCTAAACTACTTTAGCAACTCGACCTATAATATAGCCGCTATCGCTCGTAAGAAGGCTAGTAATTGCCGCGTAGCTCGAGTACTAAAGAAGATGTTTATATCCGCGATCGGTATTAAGGGTACTAATTACTATACTAATAAGAACGCCGTAACCGATATACTAAGTATAGCCGACAAGCTGTTCCGAGATAGCTTCGTAGAGCGATAGCTAGTTAGCAAGGATACTAATAATAACTGTACCCTTTCGGATAACATTTAGTAGATTAGGATTAGCAAGCTAGTACTAGCTATTAAGGCTCTAAACGAGGCATATAGTGCCCGCTCTCGAGGCGTAACCTTAAGCACGAGCGAGGTAGGTAATAATAGCGTCGATAGTATCGATAACGCGGATACTCGTAGCTATAGCCCTAACGGATATAGCGGAGATTATAGTCTACTTAGTGCTAGAGCTATTAATTAGGCAGATAAGCTATATATAGATACTAATAGCTTTACTTAGCTAGGCGACGGTCTACTACTAGCAGGATATGTCCGAGTAGTATTAGGCAGAGACGACGATAAAAATAGCGATAGTAGTAGTAGCAATCTCGGCTTCTTTACTATAGCTAGCGGTATACTATACGGGGCAATACTCGCAGATCTAGATATACTATAGTCTAACGATACTAATCGTAACCTAGTTTACGATACTAGTAATGCTAGCGCTAGTAGAATAGACGATTGCGACGACCTAATACTTATATATAGTGCTATCTAAGAGACCGCTGCTACTACTAGCCGTTTCGATTATACCGAGTATTAGGATCTAGACTAAGATTATAATAAGGCTATTATAATAGCTATAGCTATAGACTAGGGTGTTATAGCGATTAGGGATTAAATAAAAATAGCTTTTATATTCGGCATATTCGGTGCCTAAGTATATCTAATCTAATATATTTATTATTTAGCTCTCGTTAATAGCTTCTAGTCGCTAGCCTAGCTTCTAGTCGCTAGCCTAGCTTCTAGTCGCTAGCCTAGCTTCTAGTCGCTAGCCTAGTATATAGCCTTAGGCACTAAACTAGTAGCGGGCGGCTATTGCGTTAAAAGTGCGGTTAGCGGCGAAGTAGTAGCGGTAGACTAGAGTGCGCGCCTAGCGGCGAAGTAGTAGCGGTAGACTAGAGTACGTACCTCGTCGGGGGTACTTATAAAGTCGAAGGGTTTAGCTAGGCGTACGATAATAGCTTAATAGCTAGCTAGGCTAGGCGTACGATAATAGTTTAATAGCTAGCTAGGCTAGGCGTACGATAATAGTTTAATAGCTAGCTAGGCTAGGCGTACGATAATAGTTTAATAGCTAGCTAGGCTAGGCGTACGATAATAGTTTAATAGCTAGCTAGGCTAGGCGTACGATAATAGCTTAATAGCTAGGCGTACGATAATCGTTTAATAGCTAGCTAGGCTAGGCGTACGATAATCGCTTAATAACTAGCGTTACTCTAACTAGCGGTTAGCGGCGAAGTAGTAGCGGTAGACTAGAGAGCTGCGTCGGCTAACGAGCGTAGAGTACATTCTATTATCGTACCGAAGAGCTTTTTAAACTAGCTATAGCCTAATACGAAGTCCTTACCTATGCCTCTAGTCGCTAGCAATTCTAGCCTTAGGTATTAACTAGCAGTAGTTAGCGGCTATTGCGTTAAAAGTGCGATAATATATAGCTGTTATTGTTGCCTTGCTATTGTAGCGTAAATAGCGCAATCCTATTAGTAGAGGCAAACCTTACCTACGATACGCTAATATAGACCTACGCTTCCTAGTTTAACTTCTTCTTCTTCTTCTTCTATATATACTAATATACTAATATACTAACACCCCTAGCAATATACTAGCTATCGGCGTATATAATAGTGTCGATACCTCTTTGTCGTATATAGGTAGCTCTATAGCAATTAACACTATTCCTTACTAGTTCTACGGCTTGCTACCGATAGAGCCGCTTATCTAATAGTTAAGGTTCCTCGGCAGGTAGTTTATTTAGTCCTTCTTTTAAGGTCTCCGATAGGCTTTACCGACGTAAGACGTTGCGAAGGCGACTCTCCTAGCGAGTAGGTGCTCCTAGCGAGTAGGTATACTATAGCTTTAGTAGGCGTCGACTGCGCATTTAACCGAAAGAGCATAGTTTTATTAGAATATCGCAGTCTTAGTGCAAACTATAGAGGTCTTAGATAGATTAGCGGAGGTAAAAACTCTTTAGTAAGGTATACCTATAATGCGGCTAACGGTCTAACTCGGTAAAAACTCTTTAGTAAGGTATACCTTAAGTAGCGGCTCGATAGCGACTCTCCTACTAAGTAGGTTAATAGGTTCGTAGTATTGCTATAGGTCTAACTCGGTAAAAACTCTTTAGTAAGGTATACCTTAAGTAGCGGCTATAGGCTTCCTACGTTCGGATTCTTTATAGGATAATATACGCGTATCTAGTTAAGTCGACGTAACGCCTTCGTTAGGACTATTAGTTATAATAACCTTAGTCGTTGCGTAAGGGCCTCTAGTATACTTAAGCCCGAAGGCGCTTAGTCTTAGTCTTAGTCTTTACTACTATACGACTGTAGTACTACTATACGACTACAGCCCTTTACGTATTAAGACTACTATTCGACTATAGTGCGTACCGATCCGAAAGCGTATTAAGACTGTTATTCGACTATAGTACGCCTCCTTTTCTATTCTAGTAAGCGTATTAATATTGCTATACGACTATAACGCGCTCGACAACCTTTTTTTTCGCGGTGTCTCTAACACTTAGGGCGCGGTTATACTCTATTATTGTCTAGGTACTAATAAGTGTCGCTTTAGCAATCGCTATCGTATTTCGCTTAATAAGTCCCGTCCTATATACCTTGTCTTCGGTTATACGTACTATAGTTAGTAATAGAATGCGTTAATTATTACGTATTACGCGTAGCATATAGGCTATATATAATGCTAGTATACTTCGGAGTGTGTGCTTCTACAGCCGCTTAGTGCCGCTAGTTAATTAGATCCTCGGACGCTACTGTTCGTTTTCTCTGCCTTGTATAGTAACTAGTTATCGGAATAATCGTTCTAGGGAGAGTCTAAGCAATAGAGGGCGTTAACGTAAGAGGGCTGTCGTAGCTTCTCGAAGGGTGCTTTTATAAGCGCTCGATATATGTTATCGCCCTATATATCTATCCTTGCTATATATATTATAGTGTAACAGTGTCTGTAAGAGTATATAGTACAATAAGTATAGTGCTAGTCTCGCTAGTCTAGCTAGTAACTTCTCGCTAGTAACTTCTCGCTAGTAACTTCTCGCTAGTATTAGTAACTTCTCGGGTTTCGGAGGCAGTTCTTAGTGCCTAAGGCGGCCGTCGTTATCGTATTAGATACTTTTGTTAGCGCTATTTACTAGAAATGCGCGCAATCGGCGTATCTCGCTATATTAGTAATATACTATTATAAAAGTCGTAAAAGTCGTAAAGTCGGTATTGTAAATGCGCGGAAGGAAGCAGCTTTAACGTTTAATCCTACTAATTAAGCGCTCTACTATACTAAATCCGGGGTCTTAGCGGGACTCGGCATCCTTATCGCTTCCTCGAATTTACGCTTCTCGCCTAGCTCTTATATACTATCGATACCTACGACTATCTATAAACCCTCGTCGCAAAGAATATAATAGAAAAGCCTACTTAGCGAGCTTATAAGGACACGATAGAAGAGCCTGCTTAGCGAGCTTATAAGGATATAATAGAAGAGCCTGCTTAGCGAGCTTATAAGGATATAATAGAAGGGTAGTAAGGAAGGACCTTATTAAATGCTAATTCTAGTGCTAATTCTAGCGCTAGTACTAATTCTAGTATAGGCTATAGCTGGTTTATTATACGCTAGCTCTCGTAGAAGCAACTTAACTAGGCATTATACGCTAGCTCTCGTAGAAGCAACTTAACTAGGTATTATACGCTAGCTCTCGTAGAAGTAGCTTAACTAGGTATTATACGCTAGCTCTCGTAGAAGCAGCTTAACTAGGTATTATACGCTAGCTCTCGTAGAAGCAGCTTAACTAGGCATTATACGCTAGCTCTTATAGAAGTAACGCGATCGAGCGTAGTATTACGGCTTACTTTTCCGGAGATAGGATAAGGACTTAGCGAGCTTATAAGGATATAATAGAAGGGTAGTAAGGAAGGACCTTATTAAATGCCAATTCTAGCGCTAATTCTAGTGCTAATTCTAGCGCTAATTCTAGTACCAATTCTAGTACTAATTCTAGTACTATTTCTAGCGCCAATTCTAGCGCCAATTCTAGCGCCAATTCTAGCGCTAATTCTAGTGCTATTCTAGTGCTATTCTAGTACTATTCTAGCGCTATTCTAGCGCTAATTCTAGCTTAGGCATCTATCTCTTCTTACGACGAGTTAGGCTCTCCTCGAGTAGGTTCTCCGGTAGGATGTCTACGCTAATAAGAGCAAGGTTCTCTCGTGCCTTTAGAGTAAGCGATAGTATACGACGCGGGCGATTACTGCTTATAGCCTTACGAAGAGCAGACTTAGCGACCGATATTAGAGTGCTATAATTACTATCCTCGTCCTCTTATTAGCGCCGGCAGCGTAGTGTCCGCTATATTAGTATACGAGTAGATAAGGCCGTAGTACTATTATCCTAGATTAGATCTCCTATACGCTTGCCTTTCGCCTTTAGTTAAGACTAAGACTGCTTCCCCTAAGTCTTAGCCTTCCGATTGCCTACGATAGCCTTCTTTACTAGCGATATATTAGCGTCGCGAGACTTATTAGAATCCTGTTATAGCTAGCGAAGACGATTCTAGGCTATAGGCGGAGGCTAAGTTAGTAGGTCGCCGGAATTGCTATTATCTACTTCTATCGTATCCTCTAAGGCCTTCTTTCGCTCGGCCTACTTACGCTTCCGCTCCTCGTAGTACTCCTACTAGTCCGTAAAGGCCTAGCGAAAGCTATAGTTAATACACCGAAGGACGTTACCGAGCTTTAGCTTACTACGAAGGTTATCGCCGCTAGCCTAATACTAGTTATCGAAGTCTAGCGCACTCTCTAGCATTTCCTCTCTATTTATACTAGTCGATTCCTCTTCTACGTCGCTAAGCGCCGGGTACCGTATTATATTATAGAGGTTCTATATATATCGGTCCTCGATAAGAGTATTCGATAGAAGAGTAAAGAAGTATATATTAAACCGGCCGCTAGCTTCGTTAGCCTTCTAGTCGAAGAACTTCTATAGGTATAGTAGTAAGAAGAACTGCTTAGAGCCCTTATGCGGTATAACTAGGGCTTTCGGTAGGCGTAGTACCTGTTTATTCTATTAGAATACCGAGTCTAGATCGTAATTATAGATAATGTTATAGCAATCCTTACGATCTAGGGTCTGCTTAGGATCCTATAATCGGAGCTCTTCCTAGTATCGCTTATTAAGGATAGTACGTAGGCATCGAGGCGTCGCTATATACTAGCTATTAAATAGCAAGCGGAAGATGTCGGGGATCTTATTGCGCTTCTCTATATTATTCTTAGACTAATTCTTACGCCTAGGCGTATAGGCATTAGTATTAGCATTAGTATTAGTATTAGCATTAGCCTTAGCCTAGGTTTCTAGTACAGCTTTGCCTATGCCTATGCCTCTTAGAACGATAATAGTATCCTCGTTATCCTAATCCTAGTCTAGGTCCCTATTAATATCTTTACTAGGAATCTCGGTGTTACGTAAACCGCTTAGTCGGATCGGCTAGTATATAATAGCACCTTATGCGAGGTGCTTGTATTAGTCCGCATTAGCCGGTCTGCTATCTCGATTAATAATAGAGGCATAGTTAATACTATTCGGAATACGCTTAGCTATATCGTCGATATACTAAGGGAAGAAGAAGATAGTATACGACCGCTATCCTACGCTAAGCTTACGACTAGTACGACTAGCTCGCTATATAGCATCGTTAATGTCCTTAGTAATAGGCAGTTGCTATATAATAACGAATTTAATATCGCTAATATTAGTGCCTATAGCGATCGCTAGTGTACTAACTATAATGCGGGTTAATAAACGAGCGCTAGGCTTCTTAAACTCGTTATATCGGAGATCCTTGTCGTAATTAGCGATGTATACGGTATAGAAAGCGACGACTTTGTACACATTGTAGCCGGCATTGTTCTAGGTATACTTCTTAGTTAGATCTTCTTAGCCCTCTATTAGCTAAATAAGCTACTAACGTAGAATATAGGTTAGCTTATTAACCTTTCCCCGGCTATTAATAAATACGATCGCCTTGTCGATATTCGTAGGTATAGCTTGTCTATTAGTTACGGCCTTCTTTAGCAATAGGTATAGTAAGTCGAAGTCGCTACGATACTTCTAAGGAATAGTCTTAAATATATATATTATATCGATCCGGTCGATACTCGTACGGATAACCTTAGTCTTAAATGCATCGCGGCTATTAGTGCGAAAGCCTCTATACTTTAAGACGAATTCTAAGGTCTCCTATAATATAGTCGCTAAGGTACCTAGCTATAAGGTATTATTACGGAAGAGACTACGAAGCGTATAGATTTAAGCGAATTCCTCCTAGAATTCCTTCTACTTATATACTAAGTGCAGTTTATCGATAGTAATAAGGCTAATACGATCTCTAATCTTCTTAAAGACCTCTCGCAGTTCCGGCGTAGACGCTTGCTCTAGACTATAGAAGATATAGTAGTAGTTACTAGCTACGATATTATCGTATATCTTTAGATCCTTACGCTTAGTCTCTATAGAGATTATATAGCAACGTACGAGCTCGACATTATTATATTCGGTAACTACGCCCTACTAGTTTAGCGCCCGTATTGTCTAGTTAATATCGGCCTTCTACTCTTTACCTAGGCGATTTAGAGGGATAATCTAGATATTAATACGACTAGTTAGTATTATATACGCCTAGTATATAAGACTCTTACTACCGCTAGTCTTCTCGATTATTATAATATCTATACCTACGAAGACGACGTTATAAAGCACCTCGTACTATAGGTCTAATAGGCTATATCCCTTGCTAGGATAAAAGGCATCTAATACCTACTATAGGCTATTCTTAATAATATTCCGCTAGAAAGGCATTGCCTCTCGTTCTAGGCTAGCATCCTATACTAATATCTAAATCTCTTCGAGTATATGCTGTTTTATATCCTTAGCGGCTTTCTAGAAGTATACTATCTTCTGCTGCGCTATATCTAGAAGCGCTAGCTTAGCCGACGACTAATTTAGCTTCTAGCGAGTATAGGCTTTGCGAGATAGTAGAATTAGTATAGTCTAGTTTTGTGCGCCTTACTTCTACTATTGCTTCTTCTACTATTACTAGGGATTATTGAACTTCCGGCCTACTAGATTAATAGACTAGCCTTTCTAGTTAGCCTTCTGCTTGTTACGACCCTTCTCGGGCCTACGAAGGAAGCTCCCTCCTACGAAGTAGACTAGATCTAGTACGGCAATACGAGGTACTAGTAACTCTAAATCCGGTACTAGAGGCTAGCGTAGATATATAGTGAATCTAGGCTTAGGCTACTAATACGGCGGCTCTTGTTTAGTATTTGAGTTAGCTAGTATACAATCTAGAGCCTAGGTACGAAGGAAGCCGCTGCCTCCGAAGATAACTAGATCCGGCGTAGCGATTCGAGGAATAGGCAAGTCTGCTATATTATAGTAAATATAAGTCTTGCCTTCTTCGAAAGCTTCTACCTCTTCCTATTCTAATTCTATTAACGGTCCTATATCGCGCGGCGGTCCTTAACGAGCGGTAGTACGTATAGATTAGCGACGGTATATACGCTATCTACGGACTATATACTAGAGAGTCTAGCCTTTAGCCTAGCGCTTAGCCTAGCGCTAGCGGCGGTGCTCTTAGAAGCGGATATAGCCCTCGAAGCGGTTAGTAACAATAGGCTCGTCTAGATCTTAATATATAATAGGGTTGCTATCCCTAGTAGCGAGGCAAGCCTACTAAGGAGCCTCGATAACTTCGTCGGTATCTATATTATATAGCGATCTGTAGTTGCGCTATATAGAGCTTTATAGGAGTGTCGAGGGTATTAGATATATATATATAATACTAGAAACAGTAACGAAGGTATTAGATAAGTATATACGAAGTTGCGCGAAGTTGTACGTATCTAGTAAAGCGTATAGACTAAGAACAGCCGCGTTTTAGCCTAGTCTACCTAATAGGCCTTAGGACCTAATAACGCGATACTTTTACGCCTAGTAAATACTTAGAGGTTAGAGAGCGGCTAATTCTAAGGGTCCGCGTATCTCTCCTTTATTGTAAACGGTAGTTATTAGTATCGCTATAGAGGCAATCCGGACGCTGTTCGTATAGCGTTTCTTAAGAAGTAGTGTTTTCTAATTATTATTTCTATAGCTTTTACTAGATTTATATACAAATAGATAACTTATTGTCTTCGTATATAGACGCAGGTATATCCTTATATATGCTAAGCCCGTATTTAGGTAGTTATTGTACTATTTAACCTATTCTATATATATATAACGCTCGAATAGCCCGCTTTGCGACATTTGTCCTTAGGCTCTTCTACGAAGACTTCTCCTATATACTAGACTATATATAGAAGAGCCGAGAACCGATCGACGCTAATTGTACGTAGGTTAGGTAAAGGAAGGTAGAAGGTAGAAGGTAGAAGGTAGAAGGTAGAAGGTAGAAGGTAGAAGGTGGAAGGTAGAAGGTAGGATAAAGTCTACAAGAAGAGCCTGAGAAGGAGGTAGACTCTATCTGCAATTTGGCACTACGATCATGAGTGAGCTTTCACCTCCACCGTAATGAACATCACCAATTCTACTGTACAAGACCGTCAAGGGGTGTCACAGACCTTGCAAAGCGATATGTGACCCAAAACCGATTGTCGATTGATAGTCTTGCAGGCATTGATCATGAAGCACAATTGCTGGGCTGCATCCAATCCCGGGAACGCGCTGAAATGCGGCACCATAAAACGTCGCCCTTTGCTTCGGCCTCAAGACACGGTAGTCTCCGCCGACCTCTCACTCTTATTATCAAGTTCCTCTCTAGCTCTCAGCCGCTCCTCCCTTTCCTCAAGCGCCGCATCGCGATCCATCCTCAGCTCCTTCCTCCAAACTTCAAGCGCCAACATCCTGAGATCCTGCGTACCTACCCTTTCCTCACTCGTCAATCCATCATCCTCAACATCAAAATACAGCGCCCAAAGCCCACTATCTCCGTTCTCCTCCACCGCCACAAAGCCCTCCCAACCCTGGAAATTCAATCTCCGATCCGTCTTTGTGACATCAAATGGGCCGACAAGATTCGGCTCAGCTTCGTCTCGGACACCATATTTCACTTCATGAGTTTTGCGATCGACGTAGATCCAGTTGAGAAATGGAGGGTCGTGGGAGATGGTTGAGACCATGCCTTCGCCTCTTCGATAGCCTTGCTGGCGCCAGACTTGTTCCATGTCGTGAAATGGGAGGAAGTAGCCTGTGTAAGGATGTGCTCCGGCTCTACGGAGTTGGCCGGTTGTGTCTATCCATAGTTTCTTGTTGGCGAGAACGATTGAGGCACCGTCGAATCGGGCACTGTAGTCGTTGTGGTTGAGGAGAGTCACTACGAGATTGTGCTTTCTACCTCGATGTTCTTCTCGTTGATTGTTTCTCTGGCCATGCCTGATGGCTTCGGTTGTGCCTATAATTGCTGGACATGCTACCACGGCGGCTGAGGTTTGCCACTCGTCAGTGTGGGGTCGATGGCGGTGGGATGGATGGTGTTGTCACTCACTTAGAATTCCCAGGACCATTGCAAAAACGTTTTGTTGGCAGTTTGTGCGAACTCATATTGAACGATCGATCTGGCGAGGCCACAACAGAGCTTTGCAGCTTCTCCATACTAGCGTCCAAAGCTCTTGCCTCACTGTGATGAAAGCACTTGGTACGATTCAGGGCCGACTGCGTAAGTGGCAAACCTTATTCCGCGGAGTGCCCCAGATGCCGATCTGTTACGGAACAAGGAAGGAACAGCCAAGGGGCTGGCTGACTAATGGAGGAACGGCTACCTCTGTAATTAACCTTCCTCTTTTACCTGATCATCCACGATAACAACTTCATAACACGATCACTAATGTATCGCCCAAATGTGGTAAGGTGATGTGCATGGCGAGGCGTTTGCAAGCACGCAAGATGTACACACGCGTGTCCCTGGGGATTATTGGTACGAATTGTCGGTGAGATCGTCATCGTCATCGTCTGCTCAGAACTCTGCGAACTCAATCGCTGTGCCTGGATTGGAGAATGCAGCTGCAGTGAAGCTGGAGGATGATCTAGATAGCCAGTAGAGCTGATGGTGCGTACATGTTTTCACTACGTAGAAATGCTCCCGGGCCATTGTCCCTAGCTGCAAGCAATGAGCGATTGTTCCAGCAGGAATGCGTTTCGACGGGTTGCCATTACAATAGACCAATTGTGATATCTCCTTTGATTCTTGCTGTCAAATGGATCTCGATATCGATGTCGAGCTCGATGTTGATTCTCAAGCTGTTCTTCTTCTCCTCCTTGCCGACCTGGATTGGGCTCACGTTAGCAGATGTCGCGTGCTGGAAAGATTCTTGACCACTGACCGTGGGGCTATCATTTGGCTTGTTCCTGCCGCCTAGCACATCACCCTTGGCTGGATCTGTTTTTGCCAGATCACCTCCAGCACCGCCTGGAAGATTCTTTCTAGATGATTGTCAGTATTGTGCTGGCCCACGTGAAGCAGAATAGTCTCACGTTGCATCATTGGCCGTCTTCAGTGTGTCTGCCATTCTGCCTGCTTGCCAAACTGGTTTCCAGAAGTCTTGCTTATTGCCGATGTTGGAGCGTTTGGTAGGGTCGCAAGGATATTGGTGGTGAGAAAATGTCTCAATATGTGCTTCCTGCACGATGAAATGGGGGCGGGGTGGATGATCTGCGATTGATCTAATATGCAAGCTGGAATGGCCCAGTTGAGATTAGGCGGCTCTGGCTCCTGCTTTGCATCGTACCGCGGAGACCCGGCATCTCGAACGTGCTTGCGTTACGACGATGCTTGGAACCAATAGCCGATGTCTGTGGAGGCCTTCCAAGCGGCTACAGCTGCTGATGAGAAGTGGATCAACGCTATGTGTTTGGCGCGAATGTAATCCAACAAAACTCAATGCGACTTTGCTGCAGCTAATGGCACAGCTGCCAGCCACTTTCATAGCCAGTTGTTTGCGTAACAGTTTGCATGCGAAACCAGTTGTTCAGTAGTAACGTTCGAGAGCGTGGATGACTATTGCCTGGGAAAGGCCTTTTGTGTTGAAATCTCTCAATCCTCTCCTACAGCCTTTGCAGTCCGCGACCTGGAAGAGGTTGAGGCGAACTCGGCCTCTGTGTTAAGACCTTCACGATGAGCGATGATCCAGCATACTTCCTAGTTCCAGCTTCGAGTGGTCTCTGCATACAGCTCAAGAATGGCACAATTTACACCGCAGAGCCGAATGGCAGCGACGAACAGAAGTGGTTCATTGAGAAAGGCAATGAAGGCCAGATCGCTTTTCGGAATGGCAAAGATGGCCAGTATCTGCGTGGCGTGAGTGGCGGGAAAGGTGCAAGAATCGTGACAGGCCAAAAGCAATCTTGGAGTCTCGAGAGTAGCAACACGCCCAATGCTTTCTGGTGTGTCCCTCTATCATGATCGCAGTCGGCTCTTGCTGATAAGAGCAGGATCAAGTGTGTAGACTTTCCCAACGCATATCTCTGCAACAGTTACGGCAAATGGTCGATCAATAACCTGATATACATGTGGGCTCACGAGGTGAGTCCGGAGTCATTAACCCAAGACTTTGACAAAACGTTGACGAATTTATCTTGCTCCAGTTGCGTTGGACGCAGACGATGTTATGGTACGTCTCGGACTTCGGTACCTGGGAGGAGCACAAGAATTCGAAGCCTGGGTTTGATCCAAGTAAGCCTGGGTTCTCCGAGTTAGCAGCGAAGGAGAAAAGTGTCGAAGACAAACAGAAGAAGCTTGAGGCATTGGAGAAAGAACTCGCAGAAAAGCAAAAGCAACAAGAAGCAATGCAGAAAGAGCTAGAAGCCAAAAAAGAGAAGCAGGAAGCTGAAGCAGAAGAATTGCAAAATCAGCAGAAAGCTGCCGAGTCAGCGAGTTCGACCAAAGCTGAAGAAAGGGAGAAGGAACTTGCTGAGAAGTTGAAGGAACTCGATGCCAAAGCAAAAGAGCTGGCCGGTAAGGAAGAGCAGCTGGGCCAGAAGAGCAAATCAGCTGGCAAACAGAACTCGCCAGGTGTTGCCAATGGAGGGCCAGATGAAAAGCAGAAGTTGGAGGACCGCGAGAAGCAACTTGCTAAGAAGGAGATTGAGCTTGAAGAACGCGAAGCAAAACTCAAAGACAAGGAAGAGAGTCTTCGAAGCCAAGCTGCATCGGAACCGAGCATGGCCAGCGGTGATCTTGGTCCAGCCATACGTGCGCACCGAGTACAGTCGACGCGAAAAGAGCTCGAAGCAGCCACGGTCGGTCGTCGCAGTGCACCACTGAAACTTCGAACAAGCCAGAGGAAGGCGATAGAGAAGGGTGAGCTGCGGCCGATCACGATGCCGATGCATTTTGTTCATCTTCCACGCTTGCGCGCAGGGTGAAGATGTGTCCAACGTTGTTCATGCGTGTCGAATGTTCGACCCCCTGCTCGGGCGTTCGCGCCAAGCATGGCTACATCCTGTATCATCGTCGTCCTCGCTTTGAGCCGGTCGTTGCAGAGATTCCTACTGTGAAAGGACCGCACGCCAGCAGTGATTGTGGGGGAGGAGGTGTGATTATATGGGAATTGTCATTGAGGATGAAGAGGCGGGTGAAGCTGAGCGGCCAGGAAATTCGGCGGGTGATACCCTTGTCGTCGCTACCGAATACGCACTAGCCCCAGAGCCTAAACGCACTAGCAAAACCTCCTGATACAGCAACAGCGACACCAGACATTCGCTCAGCCGAATATACCGAATCGCTCCTACTTGTCAAGCTCTCGATGTACGCGCTTGCTGGCAGAGGCATGCGAGAGATGCCGAAAACCGTGGTGCTCAGTCCGCGATGGCCTCAAATTCTGGGATTGCGCTGACCAATATGGCCATCACGATTCACGACAACATTCGACAGGTAGGCACTGCCAGTACTGCTTGGAAGCAACGCTCTCTGCTGAGCGCTTGCCAGTCACCCTTATGTCAACAAAAGCCTCTTTCCTCCGAGCAAAGCAAAGCCCTTCTTCATCTGCTTCCATCTGCATTCACCATATTCTGCAGCCTCTCCAGAGCATCGCCAGCTTCAACGCCAGTATCTCGTGCTTGACATTCCTCTTCCACCAGCATCCTTCGAGACCAGCAGCAATCTACAGGACAGACTCTCTCCACCCGGCACTTCACCTCTTTCGATACCCAGCGATCCATCGATAAGCCGTCAAGATGTTCTCCAAGCAAGTCATGCTCTCGACTGCTTTGACCATGGCCCTGCATGCCTCTGCAGATGTGGCCTCTGCTCAACAGAGTAGTGTCACACTCGTCAGCAGCGGCCCAAGCGCAACGACTTGGGTCCACTCTTTCCTTCCGGAGTCAACAAACAAGGTCATCACTGCCATCGCTCCTACAGACCTCAACACTGGCCGCGTTGCGACGGTCGTCAGAGCCGATCCATGTGACACCGTACTGGCGGTGACATGCACTGCAACAGGCCCTGGTGAAGTCTGCGCTGGTCAGACTGACCAAAAGACCCTTGTATGTCCTCGTGAACTCGCAGCAACGAGCCCTGCTGACAATAACTCAGATCAACATTGGACCGACTGGGTAAGTTTCCCGCTACCAGACTTGAGCTACCCACTCGATAGTCCTTCAGACTCGACAAGCTCTGCAAACCCGCATTGCTTTGCTGACAAAGGGCTTGACACCAGGTTCGAGCTCGACTACGGAACGCGAGTGTCCGGCACCTCCTATTCTGTCACGCAAACATGCGATTTCCATGGTGCTATAAGCAAGAAAAGCATAATGGGTCCAGCCACTGCTGCAAATTGCCTCAAAACTACCAAGATCATGCGTCCCAATGGCATGGAGGTTGACACTGTCATTGCGGAACAAATGACTCAGCTTGTTTGTTCAAGACTCTTCTCTCACTCGTGTTCCATTGCTGAATTTTCTGCAGCCCACTGCCACAATCACAATCACCCGCAATGCCGACCACCTTCCTGACCCTACGGCCCAATGCGTGAAGAAAGCCATCATCTTGGACATCGCAACTGGCGCGGCTGCACCTACCAGCGTTCCAGAGGTGTACAAAGTGTTGGTTCCCGTAGGAGCAGTATTGGCTGCCGGCGTTGGCGCGATGGTCTGATGAGAAGAGTGGTCTGGCTGGTTGCTTTTGTACTTCCTTGGTATCCCACACCTACTACATCTAATGTTTTTGGCCGAGGAAGTGATCACGGCGGAGCCCTCAGACACCTTGTAACGATATCATGCTGAATGCAGACTTCATTTCATGTCGATGTCCATCACATCACACCGCTACGAGCGTGGACTGATTATGGTCATCCGCAGCATAGAGGCAGTGCTGGCCATCACTTGTTGCTACTGTCCTGGAATCATCCACGTCAAGCTGTACCTTGAGCCGTAGCCGTGGCCTACAGGGTTCGTGGTGTAGCAGAAATTTGCCGTTGAATAGTAACTTTGAGCGCGCCGACCTCGGCCAAGTTGGGACGTTGGCGGGGCAGCGGCGAACGTGAGCGACGACGTCCTCCATCTTTCGTGATGGATGATTTCTGATAGCAGACAGCAAGAAAATGTCGCACTCCAAATCAACAGTCAGGAAGCCATACAGGCTCGATGCAGGTGCGCTCGGCTTTCTCCAAGGCCTGACATTGCACAGCCAAGCTGCATCGACATCGACATCGACATCCTCTGGATCGGCATTGATCCACTACTTTGGTGGCATCCCATACGCACTTCCTCCCGTGGGACCATACAGGTTTAGACAGGCCAGGAGACTGCCACCTTGCTATCGTTATGGCACAGAAGTTAGTCCGGGACGATTTGATGCAGGAACAGCTGTATGCCCGCAACCATCATTTCTAGCAGAGAAAGACAAGAGCAGTTGGGATGAGAATTGTCTGCAACTCAACATCTATATACCTGCGAGGTCACGCCCGCAAAAAGGCTTTCCCGTGCTCTTCTTTATCCATGGTGCGATTAACTTCACATCAAGCCCTGGTGAATTTGCTAACCCGATGCAGGCGGCTTCTTACAATGGGGCGATCCCAATATGGCGCCTGAATCTTTGGCTCGACTATTGAGTGAGACTGCTTTCAATGCCATCATTGTAGCTCCAGCATATCGTGTTAATGCTCTTGGCTTCTTGACCAGCCGCGAACTCCAAGCAGAGGCGCAGATTCTCGGGGATCCCGTGGGAAATCAAGGCTTCTGGGATCAGCGAATGGCACTCGAGTGGACCTCCCACAATATCGAATACTTTGGAGGCGATAGCAGCAACATCACTATTTCCGGGTACTCGGCTGGCTCGCATAGCACCTTTCACCAGCTTGCCCACGAGCTCTATTTTGTGCCGGACTCCCGAGCCATCATCAAGAGGGCTATCATGTGGTCAAACAGCCCCGGTGTACAGCCGAAGACCATTGTGGAGCATCAAAAGCAATTCGATGAACTGCTCGAAGCGCTGAACATTCCACTCTCCTTATCTGCGAGCGAAAAGCTTCAGCATTTGAGATCCACCCCAGCATCACACTTGATCGCGGTTCAGGACAAAATGAAACTATCCGAGTTCCGCGCACTCTCAGATGGTCAATTCGTCTCCAAAGACACAATAGCGAATATTAATAGTGGCGACTTCGCTCGAAGGATGAAAGCGCGTGGTATTAAGTTGATGAACGGGGAATGCAGAGACGAGTACTCGCTCTATCGAGCATGGAGAACTCCGCCACCTTCGTATGAGGCAACGTATACACGGCTTTGCGCAGACTATCCCGAAAAAGCTGTCTCCAGACTGATGCACTGTTTCTGCGGCGACCAGAAAGCCCTACCTTACGGCATGAGAGACTGGCAGGAAGCATTTGGTAAGCTGTACGCGAATATGCAAGTGCATGATCTTGAGAGAGGCTTCCATCGCGCTCTCGTTGATGGAGGGCTAGAACCGGGGAAAGACCTTCTACGTTACAGGTTTGACTGGCAGACAAAGGCCTCGAAAGAAACACTTCCTCTAGGTTGGGGTGTCACTCACAGCACAGACCAGTGGATATGGTGGTGGGGACAATCCTATGACCATGGTCTCACTGATGATGAAAAGGCAATTCTCAAGACTTGGAACCAGAAGTTCGCTGCCTTTGTAGCTGGAGATGATCCAGAGTGGGGACCAGCAGACGTCAAGGAAATGCTACGGCTCAGATTGGATGGAAAAACAGATATATGGATGGACGATCGATGGGAAGAGGGCGTCAGAGTTTGGGATGCCGTCAACAAACCAGGCTCGACGGGGCTATTGGACTGGATCAAGTCGAAGCTCTAAGTCAGATATGTGAGATGCAGCGCTTCTGCGACAAGCATTGCACCCAGCTCACCGCCTTCATCAGTATTCGTCAATGCTCCGTGCGAGTTCAGTGTACTGTCTCTCTTTCCCGAACGCGATCCCTGCCAAAAGTTACACCATCGTCCGGCTACGTGCATAGAACAGCTTGACCAACGAGCTGTAGCGGCAGCCTGCATTCAGACAGGTCGAGCTTCTCTGCATCCCATTTTGGAACCGCGCACAGTGCAAGTCTGCATATCGGCTCTTTGTGTGTGCCAAGGAGCATCCAAAGAGACTTGCTTGCGACGCACTAAGACCAAAGGTTTGTGCATGTACACCAGCAAACCCCTAAGCCGTGCTTTGTCTCAGTCAAGCTGGACTAGGCCATGTGTTTGCGACTGAATGATATATCATCCTGACCTGACCGACGTGGACCTGCAATCTTTCGTACCACACGAGCTCGTAAGCCTTACATCCACCCGCGAAAACGAGACTTATAGCACACGATTGATGTACTCAGCTCGCAACACCAGAAAAGAGATGTCAAACACCAACACATACACTGCTATGCCTGGCTTTCTTCCAGGAGCTGGATACCAGCCCAGCTGCTTCAAACCACAACAAACAGCCGTTAACCCACGTCTCACCTACTTCATCACTCGCAGCAATGGCATGCCGGTTCCTCTGATTCCAGCAGATGAGCTTCCATTCAACGTAAAATTGCAAAATGTCGCTCGCGTTCTGTCTCCTCAGGATACCTATGGTCTACAGTATGTCGGCTGCGCTCCTTACAGTGGCACGACCTTCCAACTTGAGCGCGATGCTGCTCCTGGCATGCATCGCTCAAGCAGCCAGCCACCTGGCGACAATATGCATACACGCACCCAGAGTGGCTCCCACGTCAAGCAATACCTTGCTGCCGAAGCATTGAATCGCCAAGCTCTACCGCATTGCTCAGGCTTCACGACGTCCACTTTGCCAAAGAGGCCAGTTTCTGCTGCGGACGCTTCCAAGTCCTGGCGCCGCTCTGATGCAGTCACGCCGCCGCCAGCTACGACGTCCGACACTTCCACTACCGACACTACCCAGGCGGTAATTGATGCGATTCTCCGCTCCGAAGCCGGTGCAGAGACGGCTGAGCGTCTGAACTATCGACCAAAAGATACCACCCCTCCACCGTCAGGCAGAATCCCAGATCAAGAGAAGAAAGAATATTGCACCTATTGGATTTTACACGGCGACTGTGCCTATGTCCAGCAAGGTTGCCGCTACAAGCACGAGATGCCAGATAAGGCCAAGCTCTCGGAAATTGGAATCAATCATGTTCCACGTTGGTGGTTGGAGAAGAATGCTGCTGTCAAGTTTGGCGAAAAAGCAATCGTCGGCGAGAAGAAGCCTATCAGCGAGTGGTTCAAGATACGCAAGGATTCCACTTCTGATGGTGATGAGAGTGAGAGCGGGAGCGAGGATACTCCCAGCGAGGCTTCTGAAGAGCAGAAGAAGCCCATTCCTGTTGGATTGAAGAAGACTGCCAAGCCAATCGTCGGCTCAAAGCAGATTCTCACCAAGTCAGACACTACTGCACGTAGCAAGAGCCCAGCGGTACCACCAACTCGTCCTTCTACTCCGACCACAAACGACAACGCTCGCAAGACATCTACCGCCAACAGCGACCTGATCGACTTCGCCACAACCATTCCAACTCCATCTACCTCTACAGCTTCGACAGCACGTTCTGCTCCCGCGGCCAACAAGCCCACAACTCCGGAGAGGACCACGAAAGTCTTTGTTCCCGCCGGCGAATCCCCTGAAGCGCAGATCGCGGACATCAAGAAGCGGGCACGTGGCAAGCAGTCTCGCACTCCATCTCCATCTCACGTCGGCATTGGGAAATTCGCGAATGGTCTCATGGCGTCAAGGCACGCTCCAAAGCCAGAGAAGGAGAAAGAGAAGGAAGCTTCTCCAAAGCGTCAGATTCTGAGAGCGACTTGTCGTCCTCGTCGCGCAGTGGCGTCGAAGGACAGTGAGAAGAAGGATAAGAATTGAGTTGTGGCGCAAAGGGTTTCTGAGGCTAGGGTATGGCGTTGGTTGGCGCGAGCATCGATACTGGGATATAGATACGATGGTTTAGGGGAAGTATAATATTAGAGAGTATTTTAGCATGAGTCTATAATAGCATCTGGGTGGCTGTCTGATCTGATCTATCCATGGTATTTCCATTTCAAGTTTGGAATTTGTTGCCCATCTTGCTCTAGAGAGTATTCATGTCTGCGTTCCGGGATCTTGATCTGACTGATATGGCTAGAAGAGGGCATGCAATCTCCCAAGCATGAGCCAACGATTCGCGTCTTGCAGTCCGGACTCCCAAACATCGAATGATCATCGGAAAAGAGAGGATTTTCGAAGCCCATCGAGCATTTTGAAGCTATCGCTGGCCGCATTCTATACTATATTACACATTCTTCTTACGAAGCACACCGAATCACTCATCACCACCACCACCATTTTCCCTGCCCTCCTCCTACTTGCCAGCAGCGAAGATGCTGCGGAAATCCGCATTGCTTTTCTTGCCTCCATCGGCATTCTCGCCGGAGGCAGCAGCAGCAGCAGCAGCAGGAGCGCTTGCAAATCCGCCAGCACGCTTGAAGCCAAGTCCGCCTCTTCGGCCACCTCGGCCACCACGAGCTCCAAGTTGGGGAGGTGCAAAAGCAGGCTTGCTCGAAGATGACGTGGCAGGCGCAGAACCGGAGGCTTTCGAGCCATTCTTCTTCTTACTCTGGCGTGCGAGCAGCTCTCCGACCTCACCCGTTCTGACTTCCGGACCAAGACTTGAGACATCGACGCCAAGACGAACTCTGTTGGCAGCAGCAAGGTCGGCAAATTCGACTATCGCGCCTTCCTTCTCGCGGCGAAGCTGGATCTTGGTCAATGGACCGTAGTGCTCCATGGCGGCTCGGATGCGAGCGTCATTGACTGTGTCCGGGATGTTGAAAATGGCAATCTTCCGCTCTCTGGCAGTCTTGTATGCTTCGTCGTCGGCAGGACGAGACGAGGATGCCATTGAAACATCAGATCCGCGTCGTTCGCCTTTGCCAGCTGGCTCGACTGATCCTGCTTTCTTGATGATGATGTCTTCGTGTCTGGCCCGCTCGCTCGGAGCAGCAGTGCGGCCCTTGGGCTGAGCTATCTCGACTTTCAGCACCCGCTCGCGGAATGGCTTGTCATTGCTCTCCTCAACCGCCTTCGCAGCGTCTTGTGGTGTGCGGTAGACAATGAATACAGTACCCGTGGGTTTGCCGTTCACCAATTTGATGAGGTTCATCCTCTCAATCTGACCAAATTGTGCGAAGTGCTCACCTATCTCGCTCTCTTTTGCTTCTCGATCCATGTTCTTGACCACGATTTCCCTGCCTTCATCCTGTGGACCAGATCGCTGCTTCTTTGCATCTGGGTTGGAGATCAAGGCAGTGAGGGTATGCATCGAGTCGAGCTTGGTCTCATGCATGGCTTTCTCAGCAGCTTTGGCCATCTCTGGAGTGAGAAACGTGACATAGCAGAACCGCCGTCGGGAGTTGTACTTGAGTGAGGGAAACCGGACACTGACGATGTCGCCGTAGCTCTTGAAGAGACTTCGAATCTTCTCTTCGTCGTAAACGTCCGGATAGTTCGTGACGTAAAGCGTGCTGAGCGTGCCACTTTGGATCTTGACTTCCCGTCCACGCAGCTCTTTGCCATTTCGTGTCTTTGCGGCCAACACGTCTTCTTGGGACGTGAACTCGACGGTGGCGGAGGCAGTTTGCGCATCTGACTCCTTGGCGATGTTGATTGAAGGCGGATTGCCGACGTCTCGGAAAAACTTCTTGATCTCGAAATCGGTCACATCGACAGGCAAGTTGCGCAAGGTGATGGTGTTGTGCTCACGATCTCGCTTGATCTGTGCACTTGCGGAGGCTGACGGTTCCGCGCCTTCCTTTTCTGCAATGGTCTCTAGTTCGGTTCGAGCTCTCTTGTGGCTGTCGCCGTTCGTAAGAGGCTCATCCTCTCGCTTCCGCTTGTCGCCAGTGACCTCTTCCTCGACCTGCGCTGCGGCCAAGAGCTGCTCCTGTTGTTGAGCTGCGAGCGCGGCTGCTTCCTCGGCCTCCTTGGCGCGCTTCACTGCAATCTTATTTGCAAACTCACGGGCCTCTGCCAATGCCACTTGCAGTCGCACGCTCGACTCGTGTTGCTGGAAGTGGTTGAGATAGAGCTCCATGACTCTTTCTGGGTGATCCAGGTTCCGCTGCTGGAGAGCTTGTTGAACAACTGCTGTTGCCAGGTTCGGGCCATTGCCGTCGGTCTCGACACGCCGCGTCTCACGAATTCGATCGTAGCCCCACAACCAGATCTCCCAATAGTAGTACTTTGCCCAAAAGTCAGACGAATTGCCGTGACGAGCCGCAAGATGCTGGTAGATGTCTCTTGCCTCTTGGATGCGTCGGGCCTCTGCGTAGAACTTGATTTGAATCTGCTCGAGACGGAACAAAGGATCTCCGTCAAAATTGGGGCCGTAAATCTTCTTTCCAGCTTCTTGCACGTCTTCAAGCGCCATTGTGATGCCAACCTCAGCAGTATCGACATCGTCCTCGGTACTATTCACTGCGAAAGCGTGACGTCTCAGATAGCTGCACCACTCCTGCAACATCTTGACAAGTTCTTCCATTCCGCCGACGTCGAGAAGGCCGGAGTTCGTAGCGCGATGCTTTGTGTTCTCGATTTCCTCCCTTGGCTTTTGCTCGACATCAGCACGCAGAATTCGCCGAGCCCATAAGTCGCCCGACCAAGGACAGTGCCGAGTTGCTCGCTCCATAAGTGGCAACAAGGTTCGCGAAGCTGACTGCTCATAAGTGTTCAAGAAGTCGATATAGTCCAGCCACCACTCTGTGTTGGTAGGTTCGTGCAGGAGCGCACGCTCAAACAGGGCACAGCGCATGTCGTAGTCGAAATTGGTACGACGCTTGCGAAACTTTTCGTCTTTGAAGTATTTCACGAACTGGTGATGCACAGCTTCACGATCGCCGCTTTCGATGGCGCGCTGCAACTTGGATTCGTTGTCATTTCGAAGACCCATGGCTGTCTTGGCAGATTCCGCCATATGGTTGACCTCTGCCACACGCGCTTCCCACCTATCTCCGAAGTCTCGAGAAAGAATAGGCCAGTACAGCTGCCGTGTTTCGTCCCAGGTGATGTGAGGTACCATGAGTCGTCTCAAAAAGAGATCGTGGAGACTTTTCAGGTCAGCAGCCTCAGTCGGATGTTGTGAGATCTGTTCCTGGAAGACGTGTGCGTATTTATTCCAGAGGACATGGCTTTGGTCGACTCGCCACTGCGTTGCGGCAGCAGCTTGCTCAAGGACACTGAGGAGCACATCCATAGTGAAAAGCTCCTTGACCATCTCATTATCCTCGATGGACCAGTTTGGGTTCATGCCACCTTCATGAGCATGGCACGCTGCGCAGTTGGTGGAGACCCAATTTGCATACGCCTGCCATAGCTTCACCGAGGCGGGTTCATCGGCAACAGCCTTTTGGCACAACTCCGTGATGGCGATGCGCTCATCGGATGAGGTGGCCAGCAGCATCTCATCTGAAAGCCAGTCGAGCCAGATGGCTTCACCGACGGCGAACCTCGTGTCCATAGCTTCTCGAGCCTGGCGCATCTCGGCGAGCAAGACGAAGCTTCGAGGATCACCACGTGGCGCGGCATGTTCGTTGTCTGCAGGAGGATCGACGTGTGCAAGGAAACCTTTGTGGAGAAGATTGACCAGCTCGACGTGATAGGCGTAGGCATAGGAGTTCTCCTTCTCTGCTAGGAAATTGAGGAGCTCCGTCACTCTCTGCGACTCGGCGTCCGACAAGGCGTTCGAGGTGAAGTCACGCGGCGGCGGCGTCTGGGAAGGCGCCTCTGCCATGGTGATGTCGGCCAGGCTCTGGCGCGAGATGGTGCGCGCAACGGGAGGCGACAAGGTCCCAAGTTGCTGGGGGTGGATGTGCGGGCGTTGGTCTTGCCGCACGGAGTCTGCAGAGTAGGTCCGGGACACGTGCTGGCGTTGTTGCATGGAAGCCAGATCTGCACGAGTCAGGGAAGGTGATCAACACTCGCAGGCACCCATTGTTGAAACTTACCAGCCAATGTTTCCATGTGCGGAGTAGACACTGGTCGATGCGCAACGAGCGGTCTTTCGACATAGCCATAGCGTTGCTGGCCCTGCGCTCCGGAAGGCTGGATGGGCGTGCTGGTGGGCGGCGGCGGCGGCGGCAGCGGCAGCGGTCTGAAATTCGGCGCTGCGATTGCCGGGTGCGGGTGCGGGTGCGGGTGCTGCTGCTGGAAGTGCAGCGCGTGCACTGCTGGACGGTATGCCGAGCGCGGCGATGCGTGTCTTTCTGGCGACCGGCGGACTTCCTGGCTCAATGCTGATGGAGTTTTTTGTTTGCCACCAGCGGGCCGTCTCTGCCTTTGCACGACAGGAGGAGTCGCAGCACTCGACGCTTCGGGGGCCCTTGCGCCTGCGCCTGCGCCTGCGCCTGCGCCTGCGCCTGTGCTCGACGTCGCTCCATCGTCTGGCGACAACAGGGCATGAATGTCCATCGCCTGCCGCGCTCGACGAGAATACCAACGGCCGCACGCAAGAGTCCCAGCGTGTTGGTCGATATGACAGCTCTCGCCTCGCCTCGCCCATGCAGGGTCGTCTGCGACGCTCACGCGGCCTAGCCAGAGTATATCTAGCCAGCTGCACTCCACACGTACAGCAGAATAGAATATGAGACCCGACGGCTCAGCAGCCGAAAGTCTACGGGTGCAGCCTGGCAGGGCAGCCGGACACAGCGCACACTGCACAGCGGCAAATGGACAGTAGTGAAGCTGGCGTCACAGTACGCGTGCCGTGCACGATGCTCGGGAGAGTCGGAAAGTGATAATCATAAATCTACTGGGGAGAGATAGCTAGACGGAGCGATAGACATCCCGGAAAACTGTGCACATCCTTTTCATCAGACCTGCTCCATTTCTCTGTCTAAGCCGGGAGCCCTTCCGCCTGCCGCCAGTCCAACGGAACAAGCCGGCTTGGTCTTCTCCACCGCCGACCGCTGCTCCTCCGAACACCCCTTCCATTGACTGATGACATGCTTCCTGCCCGTCCCCGTCCCATTGAATGCGTATCTAGGCAGAATGAGTCTGCCAGCGCCAGCGAGGCGCATAGCCTCGAGATGTACGACATTCACTCATGCAACTTACCTCCCGTCTGGATGCTAATGGCTGCAGGCCTGTTCTGCCAGAATCTGCCCATACGCACGAGGCCACAACAACTATCGCCCATAGCGACACCTGGGCGCAGAGCGGCTTCAGATGACTCTTCTAGCGCGTCGAGATCGAATCCCATTCTTGATGAGTATAGAAAGAACAACCCCGAAACAGCGTCATCAGCACTGCAGCCGAGCCAGCAGATGCCCCAGCAAGGCGACATTGCATCGTCATCGATTTTCGAGGATCATCGCCGAATACAAGAGCAGCGCAGGGAGGATGAGGAGGACGTGGAGGAGGGCAAGACCAAGATTGGTGGTATCACACGCGATCCGAATGCCATCGCACGAGTGATGGTGCCTGATCCGGCGGCGCGTGAGAGATGGGAGAGGAAGAAAGTGATACAACTGGTGAAGAAGGGCGGCAGGTTGACGAAGCCGGAGTTCTTGAAGCGCACTGAACGAGAGCATCTGGTCAAGAGCCACAATATGAAGACGAGTGTGAAGAAGCTGGGCATGATCGCCAGACAGATCGCAGGGAAGACTATCGATGATGCCATCGTGCAAATGCGATTCAGCCCGAAAAAGGTCGCGCAGGAGGTGCTGAAGCAGCTCGAATTCGCGCGCGACGAGGCTGTCGTAATGCGAGGAATGGGCTTGGCGGGTGCTGCAGAGGAGCACGCCGGAGTGCTGAACGAAAGCTCGACCGATATCGCTGGCACGACCGCTGCTGGCCTCGAAGCGGCACGAGGCACTCTCGCCCAGCGTATCACATCAGACAATCCGATTTCCATCCAGCTCAAGGATGGCAAGAGGCATCAAATTGATGATCCGAGTAAGATTTACATCGACCAGGCCTGGGTGGGTCGTGGTCCATATGGCAAATTGCCCGATTATCGAGCGCGAGGAAGAATATTTATCATGCGTACACCGTGGACCAGCTTGACAGTGGTATTGAAAGAAGAGAAGACAAGAATACGTGAGCACGAGGAGCGCCAGGCAAAGAGACGGAAGAAGATCACGGCACAGGTGTGGGTGCCTCTGCCTGATAGACCTATTCAGACTCACAGACAATGGTACAGTTGGTAGACTTTAGACGCTTGCAAGTCACGCATGAGGCTCGCGGGAAGGGAGGTAGAGCATGCACAAATACAGAACCAGGCATCGCGATGACAGAGACTGAGAGACATGCGCACCCTTATTCTTATGGCCAGGCATTCTGAGATCAGCGCCCCTTTATTACATTCGAGGAGAGGCTGGAAGGAGGAAATGGCAGCTATGTAATAAGATGACCATGGGATAGCGTTTTCGCTTGACACGAGTCATACGACTTACGGCCGTACGCCGTTCGGCGCACTTCCGTGGATCGACCAGCCACGCGAGCTGCTTTTGACGACCAGACCAGTCCAACTTCACATCATCCTTCAGCTGCTGCTGTACTACTACTGGCGGGCCATCACCTCTCTCACGCCCTACTTTGATCTGGCCATATGGCTGGCCTGCGCATGCACACACCTATGAGATGGCGGTAATAACTGTCGTAAGTAGTGGGAGCCGGCAACAATGATTCCACCGCTGTCTGCATAAGAACGCTGCACCTCTTTTGAGCCACGATGTCGCCTGGCAGCTACGTTAACGTTACTATTTCTCCGTGTAGCTCATCAGCCGTTGGCCCACCTGCTTCCTGGTCACGCAGGAAATGTACATACCGGAACCGACCAGGGTCAATGCCCTCTCGGGAGATGCTTCACGGGCTAATACCAGGATTGGCGGGGGTCTGGACTCTGGAGACAGGCACAGGGTGAACAAGCTTCGGTATCCCACCTCTCAGCAGTGTCAGCACTTCCACTTTGGACGATTGTCAGAGCTCCTGGTGCTCTTGATACAGATTACAGAATAATATTAATCACACTACTGCAGATGCGCTCTCCTCACCTCCGACCGATATTCAAGCAGCGCTCGAAATGCCCCTCTCACTCGTTGTCGCGATTCCAACTTTCGTGTGCTCATTGCTCTCGCTTGTGGCAGACGCGACGTTTGTTGTCTTCTATGTGATATTCCCTCCTGAGCGGCACTTCCGACAGGCATTGATAGTCAATCTCCTGGCTGCTGGTGAGTCGCGTGGTGGGAAGCCTCGGAGAGCAGCACCCAAGAGGTCCACCAACACGCACTCAAACACGTGGGACTGACGCGCGTCCATCTCAGATCTTATTAACTCGGCGAACAACACCATTTCCGGCGCCTTTGCTCTTGCCCGCCGCAATGAGAAGCAGCCAATTCCGCCAGGTCCCGGCTGTGTCGCGAATGGCTACGTCGGCCAGTTCTCCGTGCAAGCGATCGACTTCAGCATACTGGTCATCTCCTTGTCTGTGCTCCTCACGATCCGGCAAAGCAGCATGATGCTCAAGCCATCGATGCGCCATGTGGTAGCAGTGTGCGCTATTCCATGGATCCCACCACTTGTCACCGGTAAGTTGGAATGAATACTTCCCGGTAGGCAGAGCTAACGTTTCCAGCCAATATTGCACTTGCGATGGATCTATATGGACCTGTCAGCGGGAATTGGTGCTGGATTGAAGCGAAATATTTCGGACTTCGCTACGCTCTTACGCATGCATGGCGCATTAGCATATTTGCAGCCACCATCGCGATCTACACGTATATATACATCCACCTCATGCGCACATATGGCAAGCTTGCGATTAGCACCGCGACTGGAACCGCCGACACGGACGACAATCTCACCGCCCTCTCTGACCTCCCTCCGGCCTCAGATGCGCCAAAACGGCACATTCGTGTGAGGTCTTCGATCACGACTTACCACTCCCACCACGCCGATGAGCAGCCACTGGCTCCGTTCCCGACCATCTCCGAAAAGGGCGACGCGAGCAGCGCAGAGTCACCCGCATGGCCTATTGGGCTCGCAGAGCGCGAGGATGGCACTCGAAATGGGCAGATCACGGTTGTCGCGAGTGCTAATCAAGCTCGGGCTCGGGCTAGAAAGCAAGCTGTGCGAAAGATGCTGCTCCTCAATGGATATCCAATTTGTTATATTATTCTGTGGATTCCCGGCATCACGAACCGCATTTATGAAGCATTTGGGCCATCGCCCATCTGGCTGAGAGCCCTCCAAGCTTCGACACAACTCGTCGGGTTCGCAAATGCGCTCACCTATGCGTACAATGAGCAGTTCAATCAGCGAATCCGAGGCCGATGAGACACCACCTAGTCATGTGCGCATGGTTCTTTGTCCAGTTGTCCAAAGGCTGTTGATGGCCGAGATCAGCACACCGAATCCCATGATTTTCCTGCCTCGCGCGCTCAATGTCTTGCGCGTCGGTTGTGATTAGTCGTGGTGGGTCGCTTTCTTGTCGCCACATATTATGCGACCGCATCCAGCACATCCTCCGGGTGTCGAGGCAATAAACTCGACCAATTCCTCCCACAAATGAACCGGAAACGATAACCTGTCCAGTGTGCATAGCTCACGGCGTGAATCGATACCGCTTGTGCCCCTTTGACGAAGGAAGGAGTTGATGAAGTCCTCCAGTTTATTACTATCCTCCGACCATTTGGCAACTTCCGCCGGTCTTCGTCCTTCTGCTGGAACCAATGTTATTCTCTTGCAACTTCGGCATACTACGCAGGTCCTGCACTTCTTGTGTGGACCAAAAGTGGTCGTAGTCGTAATCGCGGACGGACGCAGCCTCATCATCACCCTCTTCGGAAATATCGAAGATAGGTTCGAAGACCTTGAGCGGGAGAGTGCTGAGGCTGGCGCCATCTCGAATGCTATCGAGAGAAGAAGCAGTGCCGACATTGTTGCCTTCTACTGATGACATGCATTGCTTGCATTTGCTGCGATGTTCTCGAAACATATCCCAGGACACGTCCTGCTTCCTCGATGTATCTCATCTCGAAGCTCTCGCGGGGGAGCTTATTGAAGGAAGGGGTTACCGGGTAGCTGCGCCATCTCTCTATCTCACTGATCTGGGAGCGGCGTGGTTAGATTCTGGTCCATATTTTATCATCTATTGCTGATGGAGAGAGCCAAAGCGAATCTTGTACCTGACGCTGTATGAAGAACCGCCAAGAAGATCAAAAGGCCATATGGATTCACGCATGTCGCTTTGCCTGTCAAATATCAATGAGCCCTTGAAGACGTGAGCACAAATCAGATCAGATCATAGCAGCATGGGGTTGAGTGCGGATTCATTAATATCAAGACCAATTAAAATCGGGTTTTATGTATAAATAAATCTCTCAAACCTCCTTCCCCTTCCCACCTCCAGCCCGATGTTTCGGCGTAAAATCCCTCGTCCCAACATCATCCTTACTCCCACCTCTCCAATCCTGAAAGCTCATCTCCAAAACCCTCGACTTCTTCATCGCAAGCTCGTAAACACACTGTCCAAACAAGCCATTAGCCCAAGCAAACCAACTCCTCGTCCACTTCCCCTCATTATGAGCATTAACACTCTCATGTACCAAACCCAAACCATCCGTCGAAGTCAAAATACTATACAACTGCCGAGCAATCTCGTCATCGTTCTGAGAAGTCAGGATCCTCATGATGGCTGCCATGGGCCAACCATTGGCTGGACCGTTATGTGGACCGCCGACGGCTGAGAGCACGGGTCCATGAGCCCAGTATGGGTTATATGTGGATAAGACTCTGGCTCGAGTGTTTTGATAGACTGGGTCTGAAAGGGATGAGTATCCAAAGTATGCCGAGGACAAGAGAGAAGGAGAATTCGCATCGTCCATGAGGTTGACACCTCCATACCCGTCGATTTCATAGGCGTAGACGTCTCCGTGTTCTTTGGTCGGGACAATGGCGTGGGCTTCGATAGCGGCTCGAACGGAAGCAGCTTTGTCGCGCATTCTTTTCGCGAGGTTGGCGTCGAGTTTCGATGCGATCTCTGAGGTGCGGTCGAGGTAGTGTGAGAATTGCATGTTGGCTGGTATGAAGAGTTGGTAGATGACTTCGTCGTCGCTGGGCCGGAATGCGGATTTTATCAGACCTGTTCCGGAAGCTATAGGTGCGCCGAGTCCACCGTTCGTGAATGAGGAGAAGATGTATGCAGAGTCCTTCACGGTGCCGTCAGGGTTGTAGGTCGTATCGTCTGTCATGTGTTGAACTGTGTCGAGGATGAGGGAGACGGCTTTGATCCAGTTGAACTTTTGGAAGAACTGAATGTCGTTCGTTTGCCGGAAGTATGTGTCTGAGAGTTGTAGAAATGCAGCGTGCGAGTCCAGTTCCCATTTGCATTCGAAGACGATCTTGTCGCTGTAAGGTGGTGTCACTTTATACGAGCCGTCGAAGGCGTAGTTGCGTTCTGCGGGACGCCCGGATTCGGGTGGTGGTTGGAACGCTTGACAGTAAGGATATTGGAGAAGGTAACGAGCTTGGAGATTGATGGCACCGCGCCAGAGGGAAGCGAGAGAGTTCTTGTCGCTGGAGGCTTTGAGGAGAGGCGCGTAGGATTGGAGTTGATTTGCAGAATCACGGAGCCACATTGCTGGAATGTCGCCGGTGATTATGAAGGATAGCTCCTCATCTTTGTTGTCTGCTGCAACACCGCGCCAACTGACTGTGGTGTCTAGTGTATTCGGAAAGGCATTCTCGAAGAGCTTCTTCAAGTCTGGGTCCTTGATAGCTGCCACCGTCTCGTTGATCGCCTGCTCCACCTCTTCGCTGTGAAATGTGCGACAATTCTGGGGCGGCCGCATGGAAGGGAGCTTGAGGATGCCATTTGAGAATGGTGGTTGGCGGTTCTTCGACGTGTTGCCGTACAGATCGCATGAAGCCGCGCGCTTCTGCCAATCCAATGTCGATTCACTCGTGGCAGTGGCTGCTGAGAGGAAGGATATGATGTGGCTGAAAACCACTTGCCATTTCATCATCATGAATGCCTCTTCGCAGAGCTCCTCAAAGTCGGTTAAGACAACAATTATGGGCAATGGGAGCCCGTGTGACCAGCCCTTCCTGTCGGACCTTTCCCAATGAGGACACCATCCATGACCTTGTAGAGTTTATAGTGCACCACAAGGCGATCCCCGCGCAAGACGCTGCCTGCTGCTCGTATGAAGCCGGAAGTTGCACCGAATGTGGAACAAATGCATCATGTATGTCGTAGAACGTTGCAGTGCTGTGCTGAGTGTTTATCGATATGCTATTACAGTGCAACCTTTACGCGCCGAAACAGTGAAGGGCACTGTGTCCAGTCTCTTGAGAAATACTCATTTCTCATGATTCTGCTTCGGTCCTGAAATGATCAGCGAGGCTGCAATCTCATACCTCTCCACCACGTGGCATCAAGCGATTCTTGGGCTTTGACGCTTGCGATGCGCCAACTCAGCTTCAAATACTCGATGCAAGCCATGCTAGGCTTGCACAGCCAGTACTCTCGGCGCCTCGCTTGAGATGCTCAGAGTAGCCAATGCATTCTCAATGCCAATCAGTCCTGGTCTCTCCTTGTCCTCCCATCCTCTGAGTGGTCCCCAGACTAATCTCTTTCGGCGGTCTTCGACGTGCATCTTCAATGCTTTGATAAGCGGAGCGTCCTTCTTCACTCCACTCCACGCATCGATTTCGACGATTTCTAGGCTTGGAACTTGGTCCAAGATGCCTGTAAGCAGATGCACGCAGAAGCACATGTATGTTTCTTCTGTGGCGCCAGCGCCACGAAAGCCATTGAAGATGTCATCGCTGGGATCACACTCGACAAAAATCTTGAGAGTGCGCATGTTCTTGCAATCGGTCAGGCCGAGGCGAGGCTGAGTGTTCTGACATGTTGGTGGCTTGCTCCAGCCCGGTCCCAGGCGAAGCTCCATGGCATTGATGGCTTCACGGTATCTCGGCGGCAGACGCATCAGAAGCGGGTACTTGGTGGTAAAGAATCGACCATGATATGGGAAGAGGCGGACGGTCTGGGCGTAGAAGACTCGGTAGGCTTCTTCATGCATGCGGCGACAAACTAGGAAGCAGGAGAGGCGTGGGAGGATGGTACGATAGTTGTTCGGCTCTGCAGTTCTCGCATTAGTGTTGTGATCAGTGCAGGGCGGGCTTTTGGCTTGCCAAGATCGATGGGCTTCTGGATGTGAAGGACATTCTCGTAGACGCGGAGGCGCAGCTCGGGTGGTAGATCAAAGAAGCGAAATGCGCGGGTCGCAGTGCTATGGCTGTGGGTGGGTGAAGGCGCTCTCGAGGCAGCAGCCGATGTCATGCGCGAGGACATGGGCGTCGACGCGCTGCTTGACGCGGGAGACGACGGGACCTTACGGCGTGTGCTTGTCCGTGTTCGGCGCATACTGCTTGTTCTCCGCCGATAGTGATCCAGCACGCAGGCACAGCGGTTCAATGGAAAGCAAAGGCTCGGCTCCGTAGGAGGGCAGTACTACCAGCAGAGACGGCGTGCTACGGGGGACGGGAGGCCATGACTGCTCGCGTGACCTCGCAGCGCTCATGCAGCCATCTCGACGTTGGCTGCGGCTGCGTGGGACGAGTGATGGTTGCTGCGTGGGAAGGAGGAGCTGGCCGGGCGGCAGGAGGCAGACATGAAGCGGAGCAGGCGCGTGTGATGCTGAGGCAGTGGCGGGCAAGGAAAGGAAAGCGGAGTAAGGTAGCGTAGGGTAGCGTAGCTGGGGTGTAATGTGATCAAGCGACAAGCCTACGAGCGTCTTAAGCAGGAGCGAGCAGAGGAGAGGAGAGGAGAGGAGAAGAGATGGAGTGCTCTGGTGGCGTCAGCGTCAGCGTCAGCGTCAGCAGTCACCTGATACTGAGAGGTTGATGCCGAGTTTTTTTTTGTCCAGACCAAACGGGAGTCGACGCTCACTGCCATTGCTGCTCACGTCGCTTCTTGACAGCCGGGTTCGCTCTTTCCAAGATATACAACTGCCCGCCCGTGAATGACGGCGGGCGGCCTAATTTCTGCGCTTGGACACAATAACTTTCATGAAGAGGAAAGAGAAGAGTTTGCTGCGAGAAGGTGCTTGCAGCCATTTCGCGGCCGACGGGAGAGCACGGACACTTCCGTAAAGCTAACTGATCTAATCCCTCCACCTAAAGCTTCATTCCCCAAAACAATCCTCAAAGCTCCTGAACCACCAAATTCCACCCCGTTACATACATTCTCCCGAGTCCACAGTCAGCATAGGGAGGCAGCAACCGATCCTCAACTCTCCCGGTGCTCTCCTCAACCACATTGCCATCGGTATTGATGCTCACAACTCCATGATTGAGCAATCCACCACTACCAAAGAGATTCAAGCAAAACTCGGAGCTGCTGTTCTGCAAGGCAAAGTTTGTCACAACATCCACCAACTTCTCAAGTCTTCCAGAGTCTTGGTCGAACGCGGCAAAAGCTTGGTCGGCATCGTCAAAGGTAAGCCAGTGGAATGTGACGACGTATCCTTCCACCACCGAAGTGGTCAGGCGAATGTTATTCGTGGCGTGTGGAGACGCCGCGAAGAACGTGTTGATCGTATCGTTGACTGCAGATTTGAGGCACACCGAACTGTTGCCCAACGAGCAGGACGGCGCTCTGAGTAGAATATTGTCGTACGTCAGAGACGCGAGGTTGACTTCTTCTCCGCTTCGCTTTCCGAGACGATGTGTTTCGTGCTGCTCAGATTGTACAACGGCTGCAGTGAGCGCGCCGACTGTGTAGACGAGGAGCTGTATGATGATGTTGATCATGGTGCTGCAGTGATGGCCGCAAGGTGAGAAGCGAGATGTGATGCAGTGGAAGCAGGTTTGCAGCATGCTGAGGCCTTCTTATGCAACTCGTAGAGCTTGGTCGCGCCCATGATGAACGTTGAACAGAATTCGGTCATGACACATCATGCACCACCACGAATACGAGGTGCTCCTCGCCATCAGCCTGGGCGGGAGTTTGTCTGATTCATGAGAGGCAATTGAGAGATGCATGCAGGAATAATTGTATGATATGCTGAAAGCAGCATCGTGTTGCAAATAGTAAGCTCGTAGCTTTTCGTCAATGTTCTACAGCATGTCAGCTGCTATCATCTATGCTCTAACGTCTTACATGACACCGAGCTTGGCAAACGCTTTCACCACATCTTGATCAACATTGACCAGCCATTGCTCTTGGAACTTCTCGTAACCTCCAGCCGCCGTGATTGCTTGCTGGAGATAGTGCTTGACAAAGTCGGGTACTTTGATTGTATGCACTTCGTCTGTTGCCGTCATTGCTCGATTGCGAGTCTCTTCGGGTGATTCTGGTCCCCACTCAGTGTTGGGTCCGTCATCGCCGTAGACTAACGAATCTCCCGATGTGTCGGCTTCATCTTCTCGCAGCTCCACGATGAGATCCGTCCAGATAGTCATCAAAGACTGCAGCTGCAGTAGTATGAAGGATTGGTTGGTTTCTAGTAGCTTTGTCATTGCCAGACACATCAACTTCTTTCGAGACGGATCGCCAACGTCCTCGATGTGAGACGACCACTCTTCCAAAAGCCACTTCATCGTATCTTCTAGAGTAGCGCCACCAAATACATCACTTGCGGCCTTCTGGCAGCTGTGCAAGAAGCTGTCTAAGGATCCAAGGATAGCACGAGAGAGTACGGCAAAATAGTCGGTCTCCACGATGCCCTTGACTTCTGTGTACTTGCGATTCGGCCCTGTCGTGCAATGTGCGCTCCAAGCGCTGTGTAGACCATCTAACAGCTTCTGCAACAGTCCAAAGTTTCCGGCGTCTGGGTTTGTGACATTGGCGAGATCAAAAATGATCATGGCTGAAGCATTGCTGAACTGACCAAGAGGCAACCCAGATGCCACATCTGGTCGCTGAGCCATTCGAAGCATTGTCTCGAGCAGACCACACACCAGTCCAATCAGGTCCACACTTGGAGGTTTTAGTAGATGTACTAGCGAACGGAACATGTCAGCACGGACAGGAGCCGAGAGCATGTACTGCGGAGCGGCGAGCACATAGGATTTTGCGATCATCAGGCCAGTGCGGAGATTCTCTGAACCAAGCTCATAGATTGGATAGAGATACTGCACCAGATTCAAGAGCTCGGGCGATGCAGAGCCGGCAGGCGTTTGTTGCAGCACATTACTCCAAAGGTCGAGCGCCTCGTCCATCAAGTAAATTTGTGTTTCCGAACCTGGCTCAACAGCGCCTTTAATGATCGGGAGGACCATCGGATGCAGTGGCAGCGACTGTTCTTTCATGGCAGTAACTAATCTCGCGAGTATGGTGAGGATTGCCTGCTTCATGAGGTGCTCTTCGCCCGATTGCTCCCATAGTCCGGGTAGAAGGCTGACGATTCGCTCTGCGTAAGGTGTCACATGCTGATCCAATCGCTCGACAATGACACTGATAGTGTTCAGAAGCGCCATCTTGGTCTCGGTGAGCTCCACTTCTCCTATCAAAGTCATGAGCTGCGTAAGGATTGTCTGCGCGTATGGCAGGAATTGCTCAACTTGGAACTCCCAGTCGTTGGCAATGTTCGCCAGCTGCCTGCCGGCTGTGACCCTCACGACCTGGTCATTCAGAGCGTCTTCATCGTTGAGAAGGTGCTGGAAGATCTGGTAGACAATAGGTCTGCTGTCATGAGACACCTTGACACTGATCCATCGCCCCAGTAAGATTGCGATTCTTCGGCGGAGTATGTTGAAGCCTGCGGATGACTTCTGAACTTCTTGCACCAAGACGTCTCTGATAAAGGTGTCGAAATCAAGATGTTGATAAAGGACCGATGCCGAAAGACCTATTGCCGTATAGACCGAGTCTTTGAAGAGCACATTCTCGTTTCCGGGGTTCGCAACGGAGTAGAACACGTTGAGCAATGGCTCTACTATGATCTCCTTGTAATTGATTGCAAGGTCGAGGAAAAGTTTCTCGGAGCAAGATCTGACCGAGAACTCCCAGTCTTCCCCATCGCCTTCTTCTCTCTTTTCCCACTCTTCTGGCTCCTCTAACCACTCTTTCAAGTCGCTAGCTCGAAAGACGAAGAACTTGGTCACGAGAACCTCCATTACCTCACGCACGAATGGATCTATCAGAAGGGTCTGCTTGATCGTCTCTGTGGCTCTATTCTTCTCCTCCTTATCCTCTGGCGAGCGATATTTAAATGTGTTTGTCGGGTTATGGACCATCTTTACGCAAGCGCGGAGAATGAGCATACCCTTCAAGGATATCTTCTCCACAAACGGCTTCTCGTCTGAAGCGTCCCCATCAGAGCCGATCCCGACGTCTCCCGAAGCTGAAGCGACGGCTTCCCTAGAGCCGAACGCGCTGCCAAAGTCCTTGATCAGGGCCCAATACGAGAGTGTAAGCTGTAGCGAGTCCGGCAATAAGGCAAACGCCGCCGGATGGTCTCTGGCCATCTCATGATGCATCTTCGAGAGTTGAAGCGTATGACGACCGACCAGGCGAGCTGAGTCTGCTGAAAGTGTGTGGTCGCCCAAGAGAGGCAGGAAAGCGCTGACATGCTCCAGCGACAAGTTCCAAAAAGAAGTAACGGCTGAATCGCGATTGGGATGTTCGTAACCAGAGATGAAGAGGCGTCGTAGCAACTTTATCGCCAGCAGGCTTTGGTGCATGCTGTCGACATTGAGTGTTTCGCGCCACTGGGCAACAATGTTCGCATATGCATTCCCGACCACGGCAACAATCTCAGGTGCGGCGGCTTGCAGATGTTGCCTGGTGCGCTGCAGCCGGCCTGTAGATAGCTCCTTCACGATGTGCAACAAGGCCAGCAGACTCCGTGCCGATTGTGAAGGCGTCGCATTCGACTGCAAAATGCGGAGGAAGCTTGATATCGCGTCCGGCCAGTCACTCGGAAATTCGTACCTAGCAATTTTCGCCGCCACCAGAGCCGCTTGCAAAGCCAGGCGATTGTCCGACTCCTGTACCGTGCTCTCGACTAGACGGCCGCGAATGACGTCCTTGTCGTCTTTGGGGACAGCGTTCAAGGCCGTCTTCCGCCAATACTTGTCGATGCCATTCTTGAGCTGAATGATGGCAAGATAGCGAACCTCGACAGGCAGATGGCTCGCCAGGTATGCACTTTGTAGATGCCGATAGAAGAGGGGCGTCTTCTCCCATTGCACCAGCTGCTTGGTGCCGCTTTGGATCTGAATGGGATCTGACGATGCTGCAGACTGGAGGGTATGCACAATTTGTGCTTCCGTAAGCGGGTTGGCCTCGCCCGGCACCTCGATGGAGAAGGAGGGCATGCCGGGCGCAAGTCAGTCGGGTCGTCCCCAGTCAGCGCCTGGCGATAAGCATAAGCATGCGTCGTTCTTATTATTAGTGCAATGAGGCTGGATGTCCTAGAATTGAGCAACGAGTTGGACGAAGGCGCGGATCGGCTTTCGGCAGGTGCGGCTACGCCCGCACCATCCTTGCTCTTCTTGGCATCACTTTCCTTCTGTCAAGGCGAGCAGCTCTCCTCGCTTACTTGCCTCCTCCACTCGTACAGTATGCCGCTGCAGAAGCTGGAGCTTAAGCCATGCAAATCATCAAGCTTCACTTCAACGAAGCAGATCAAAGGCGATGAGGTCACTTTCGAGGTGCCAACGAGAGCAAAAAGAAAAGCCGAGAGGCCGCAAGAATTCGACTCGTCAGCAAACATATCACCCTTTCTCGATCACAGAGTGCTTGAAAGGCGACAACTGGCGGCGAGGAAGATATCTAGCTTCTGACTTCGTCACATAAGTTTCAGTCTGTGGTCTTTGCCAACCAGGAGCTTCGTGGCCCGGCCTGCTTTCCGCCGTAGCTGCATGCATTGCCTTGGTGAACGGATCGCCATTGATATGCATCTCTCACCTGGGAGCAGGGCCTGAACCTCTCAAGACGCCCTCGCCTCCGCTTGTGTCGTAACCGCAAGCCTGGCTTTGATCACAGCACTCGTCTGAGGGTCCACAAGTCGCTGCGACTGTCAGCCCGTAAACAGACCCCTCTCCGAGAACAATGGACAATATGGCCCTGTGCAGGCAAATGCAGCTGTAAAGAGTTGGGATAGCACGGCGGCACACGAGCGACATAGTACGGATCTCCCGTGTTGATGCATACATACTGCCCGCAATATTCACTGTCCTTCTCACAAGTGCTACAATACCAGCTGGAAGATACCACAGAGGCCAACTCTTGGCTGATATACTCCGGCTTCGTGAACTCAACTTCCGCTGGACCTACTGCCACCACTTCGACTCTGGCCATTATCGCCACATTTGAGACCCGAAAAACAATCGGAATTTGACTCGCAACCTGCATCCGAGCTGACGCATGATGGTGTGCTGCTCCCGCATTGTCCCACACAGATATATCCGTTACTACAGCAGTCTTTGCCGCACCAGGAACATTCGCAGCAGATATCATCTGGACCACACTCGACTAGTAAAGAGTCAGCGTTTGGGTACGAACGCTTGAAGAATGCAGATTTCTAAGACGAACGGCCGTAATCGTGAAATGCAATGGCACTCTTTGAGGACAACAGGAGTACTGATAGCGACAAATTGAGAATGCTCTCCATGGTGAGGAAGAATGTTTCATGCAGTCCACATGTCAAAGCAGGGAAATCAAGCAAACACCTTGCTGATGCAGTCAAATACGCTCGACCTGAAATTATCATATCGCTTCCCACCTGGGTTGTCGATGGTTCGGTGCTGCTGGTGGGGCGCTATTTTGGACGCAACGATTGTTACCTTGAATTGACAGAGTATTGATTTTGCTTGAAATCAAATCTTGCATATTGCCTTCCTTGATTCCTTGGATACAGCTAGGACATATTATCTGGATCATTCCGCTTTGTCGTCTCTCGCTCAGCCACAGAGGGCCGGTAAAAGCATAAGGAGGTCCAAGATACGAGGGCTTGTGTGCTTGACTTCACTTCCTACTGCATCGCTCTTTGGAGATTTGCGTTGTGAATATTGGTGTACTTAGCACGGATTGCGTGAAGCATATCACTTCGTAGAGAATGTTCGATAGGTCTGGCGATGACTTAGTCGATCGTTTTCTAAGTACTCGCCTGATTGAACCTACCTCCCTCCTGCCCTCTTTAATGCTTACTCAGGGACAGAGTTGAAGACATGGCAGACGGTAGTAGCGATAGACTCATTAACCTGGTTGACGAGCTGACCTAGTTGACGAGCTCTTTTGCGATCTTGGTAAGAGAGTGAGTGGCGTCATAGCAGACAGATGTCGAAAGGAGGACGGCGATGGTTCCTAAAAACATGAATAAGGTGCTTTGATGCTCTCTTGCTGGTCGACTCTTTGCCTTGCTTGTTTCGTTCCTGTCGCCGGTCGTGAAGTGAAAGTGGGAGAGTCGGAAGCAGGAAGACGGTCTGCTTGAAGCAATGCAGGAGTACCTGGTCCGCTGGGTGCGATGGGGTGCGTCAAAAGAGTCAACGAAAGCTCTCCTGGGAGAGACAAGCAGATCTAGATCTGAGGGTTCTCGGTCACCGAGCACCTTATAGCTTTCAAAGAGAAGAGGATAGTGTTGAGTGTAGGCAAGGGGCGATTATAAAGCATGGAGTTGTGGCTACATAAGTGGTGTCGTGTGCTGGAATCAGCCGATCATGTAGAGTTGTGAGAGTACTAGTTGCCTTTGGCTGGAGGGTTTGATGATGTTCTGCACGCATTGGACAGGGTCAATCCATAAAGTAAGCCAATCGGTCATGACGCCGGGGTGCTGCTTGAGTATTTCAAGCAAAAGTCCTTGACCATTCTCGAGCAGGTTTTACGAAAAGGTCGCTCGACAGGTGATGACATCGCATGCAGGAAGTCGGTCTTGGCGCGGTCGATCGCAGATGACAAGGAGTGTTTGGACAAGCAGGCGCGGCGAAAGACAGGTGCAACGAATTTATTTCTGGTGCAGATGGTGCTAACTCTTGGTCAGTAACCTTGAATGCTCTTCTGTTGAATGGTCTTGGCAGTGCAACTAGGCCTCCGTGCCTATGCCTAACATGCCCAGCAGACACTTCGAGATTCATGTGATGGTCGGGCTCACCACGGCATGGCTGGAGTACGAGGATTGCCGGCTTTGCCACGTCGAGTTCTTCGACACCGAAAGTGTGGAAGAAGTATTTTGGTCGTCGACCGAACAGGTTTCATTCAGCAGCTCATGTTACCGCAACATTCCTTCCAGAGTACTTTTTCATAGCCTCCGTACTTGCGACATATTCTCTCCGTGATGATGCACCCGTTCCTGCCTGCTATGCGCCGTAGAATCCATCGTGACTGAAGTACCAAAGTAGACTCAAGGTATCTATCGCTTGCCAGCCGATTTCTTCTCGGCCTCCTTCATGACCTTCTTGACAATCTTCTGCTCCTCGATCAGGAAAGCGCGGACAACACGGTCCTTGACGCAGTTGGCGCAGCGTGAGCCGCCGTATGATCGGGAGACGGTCTTCTTTGGGTGCGAAACGGTGGCATATTCACGTGGGCGGAGGGCTGGGACCTGTGTTTTTCGTATGTCAGTTTGCTATCTTGAATCGTCTTGTCCATCCTGCTGTGCCAATGTGTGCGCCTGTTCTCTACTTCTCCACTTCCAGGGCTTGTTGAGCTGGCTGATACGGGTTATGGGAGAAACATACACCTGGGAGCTTGGTGCCGCAGTCACCGCATTTTGGAGCAGTACCGCGCTTCTTGATGTGCAGGTATCTGAGCTCGCCGCCTGGAGTCTTGATCACACGGACGCGGTTTGACTTGGTATTGTATGATTGCCGGCGGCGCTGTTCAATATTCCATTAGCCTCCCATTCCCACGTTCCATCGCATTGCAAGTCGCTCGTGATCGTAGACGTACGTAGGTCAGTCTGTTGGAAGGCATTGTGACGGTCGTTGGGTGGTTCCTGGTGTTGTCGACTCGGAGTGCTCAACGGCGATGGCAGACTGGATTTTCGACGTGCTCAGCGACAAGCCAAAATCAAGTGCGGGAAGCGCCGCGTGCGACTCTTGGCGGAAACATGACTCGTGCAAGGTCACCCAGAACGCGAACACGAACTTTTCGATTGGCCTTCGCTTTGCTTCATTGCCAGCACCGCGCAGGCCACGGCGCATCTGCTGCGACATCCATACAACAACGAGCAAAGACAGAGGCATCCGGTGTGCGTGTGTCTCGGCAGGAACGAAGCAGTACGGCGAGCTCGGCGCCGTGAGCCGCAGCAGAAACTTCGATACTGTGTCCATTTGGACATATCACGACCTCCATGTCTGGTATACCTCCACCGCCGCCTCCTGGATGGGTGCCTCCACCACCACCAGGAGCTCCGCCAGGTCTATCATCATTATCCGCGCCGCCGCCTCCGCCTGGTTTTCAACCACCGAAGGATCCTCAGGCCGAGAAGTTGCAGCAGAAGAAGCAGAAATGGCTTCGACAGCAGAGACAGCGCTTCGCCGAGAAGCGGAAAGGGGGCTTTGTGGAGACACAGAAGGCTGATATGCCTCCGGAGCATCTGCGCAAGATCGTGAGGGACATTGGAGATGTGTCGCAGAAGAAGTTCAGCGCGGATAAGCGAAGCTACCTGGGTGCGCTGAAGTTCATGCCACATGCAGTGCTCAAACTACTAGAGAACATGCCTATGCCGTGGGAGAGCAGCAGAGAAGTCAAGGTGCTATATCACGTCAATGGCTGCTTGACGCTGGTCAACGAGGTGCCTAGAGTCATCGAGCCTGTCTTCCACGCGCAGTGGGCGACGATGTGGGTTGTCATGCGAAGAGAGAAGAGTGATCGACGACACTTCAAGCGCATGCGATTCCCACCTTTCGATGATGAGGAGCCGCCACTGTCTTGGAGCGAGAACATCGAGGATGTGGAACCTCTGGAGCCAATCCAGATGGAGCTCGATGAGAATGAGGATGAGCCTGTTTATGAGTGGTTCTACGACCATCGACCGCTCTCAGATTCTAGCCACGTCAACGGACCGAGTTATAAGGAGTGGAACTTGTCGCTAACACAGATGGCCACACTGCACCGATTGAGTAATCCGCTGCTTTCAGACACGACGGACAAGAACTATTTCCACCTCTTCGATATGCCGGCATTTGCCACTGCGAAGGCGTTAAATGTGGCCATTCCAGGTGGACCACGGTTCGAACCTTTGTATAAGGACATCGACCCGAATGATGAAGACTTTGGCGAATTCAACGCGATCGATCGTATCATCTTCCGCGCGCCCATCAGAACCGAATACCGAGTCGCGTTCCCATACCTCTACAACAGCTTGCCACGTAGCGTCAAGTTGGGGATCTACAGCTACCCACAGACTGTCTACGTCAAGACTGAGGATCCCAACCTTCCTCCCTTCTACTTCGATCCGGTCATCAACCCGATCTCCTCGCGATCGGTAGCACCAAAGAACCTCACGATCAGCCACGAAGACGAAATCTTCGGCCCTGGCAACAATGAAGAGTCCGATGAAGAGGATGGTGGCTTCAGTCTCCCTGGAGAGGTCGAGCCATTCTTGGATGACCACGACTTATACAATGATGACACAGCGTCCGCGATCGCCCTTTGGTGGGCTCCATACCCCTTCGATCGCAGATCAGGCAAGATGGTGCGCGCACAAGATGTGCCGTTGGTGAAGCAGTGGTACTTGGAGCATGTACCGCAAGGCCAGCCCGTGAAGGTGAGAGTGTCTTATCAAAAGCTGCTTAAAACCTACGTTCTCAACGAGCTGCACAAGAAGCCACCAAAGGCGCAGAACAAGCAAAATCTTTGCCGAAGTCTGAAGTCCACAAAGTTCTTCCAGCAGACCACAATCGATTGGGTCGAAGCTGGTCTACAAGTGTGCCGGCAAGGTTTCAACATGCTGAACCTACTCATCCATCGCAAGAACTTGACATACCTGCATCTTGATTACAACTTCAATCTGAAGCCTGTCAAGACGCTAACCACCAAGGAACGGAAGAAGAGTAGATTCGGAAATGCATTCCACCTGATGCGTGAGATCCTGCGTTTGACCAAACTCATCGTTGATGCGCAAGTGCAATACCGTCTCGGCAATATAGACGCTTTCCAGCTGGCGGACGGCATTCTCTATGCGTTCAACCACGTTGGACAGCTCACCGGCATGTACCGATACAAGTACAAGCTTATGCACCAGATCCGATCATGCAAGGACTTGAAGCACTTGATTTATTATCGCTTCAATTCTGGCCCAGTTGGTAAGGGTCCTGGTTGCGGTTTCTGGGCTCCGGCGTGGCGAGTGTGGCTCTTTTTCTTGCGTGGAATTATTCCTCTCCTGGAGCGATGGCTTGGCAACTTGCTTAGCAGGCAGTTCGAGGGTCGTCACAGCAAGGGTGTTGCAAAGACTGTCACCAAACAGCGTGTGGAATCTCATTTCGATCTCGAACTTCGCGCCTCGGTGATGGCCGAGCTCATGGACATGATGCCAGAGGGTATCAAACAGAGTAAGGTCAACACCGTGCTTCAACATCTCAGCGAAGCGTGGCGATGTTGGAAGTCAAACATCCCATGGAAGGTGCCTGGCCTGCCAAAGCCCATTGAGGATATCATTCTTCGTTACGTCAAGTCAAAGGCAGACTGGTGGGTGTCTGTAGCGCATTACAACCGAGAACGTATAAGACGTGGTGCCACTGTCGATAAGACTGTCGCCAAGAAGAATCTTGGTCGTCTCACTCGATTGTGGCTGAAGGCCGAGCAGGAGCGACAGCACAACTACCTCAAGGATGGTCCTTATGTCAGCACGGAAGAGGGTGTTGCCATCTTCACCACTGCTGTACACTGGCTCGAGAGCCGCAAGTTCCAACCGATTCCTTTCCCATCAGTTAGCTACAAGCACGACACGAAGATCCTCATTCTGGCGCTCGAGAGATTGAGGGAAGCATATTCAGTAAAGGGTCGCCTGAACCAAAGCCAGCGTGAAGAGCTTGCGCTTATCGAGCAGGCTTACGACAGCCCTGGTACAACGCTGGCCAGAATCAAGCGTTTCTTGCTAACACAGCGGTCTTTCAAGGAAGTCGGCATCGACATGAATGACAATTACAGCTCTATCAACCCGGTATATGACATTGAGCCTATCGAGAAGATCACCGATGCATACCTTGATCAATATCTTTGGTACCAGGCTGATCAGCGACGGCTCTTCCCAGCCTGGATCAAGCCCTCCGATTCCGAGGTTCCGCCACTTCTTACTTATAAGTGGGCGCAAGGCATCAACAACCTGTCTAATGTCTGGAGTGTGGACGAAGGTGAGTGCAACGTCATGCTTGAGACCAGACTAGACAAGGTGTACGAGAAGATGGACATCACTCTCCTCAACCGTCTCCTCCGTCTGATCATGGACCACAACTTGGCAGATTATATCTCGTCCAAGAACAATGTGCAGCTCAACTACAAGGACATGAACCATACCAACAGTTATGGTATGATTCGTGGCCTGCAATTCAGTGCCTTTGTGTTCCAGTACTATGGCTTGATCATCGATCTGCTACTGCTGGGCTTGCAGCGAGCTTCAGAAATGGCTGGGCCACCAAACGCACCGAATGACTTCTTGCAATTCCGAGATCGCGCAACCGAGAGTCGCCATCCTATCCGCCTCTATACTCGATACATCGACAAGATTTGGATTTTCTTCCGCTTTACTGCCGATGAGTCAAGAGATCTCATTCAGCGCTTCTTGACTGAGCAACCCGACCCCAACTTCGAGAATGTCATTGGCTACAAAAACAAGAAGTGCTGGCCTCGCGACTCTCGTATGCGCCTGATGAGGCATGATGTCAATCTCGGCCGTGCTGTCTTTTGGGATATGAAGAATCGGCTTCCGCGTTCCATCACCACCATTGAATGGGACGACACTTTCGCCAGCGTATACAGCCGAGACAACCCGAACCTACTCTTCGCAATGAATGGCTTCGAGGTCCGCATTCTGCCTAAGATTCGCAATATGAACGATGAGTTCCCCACCAAGGACTCTGTTTGGGCGCTGGTTGACAACCAGACCAAGGAGCGTACTGCGCATGCCTTCCTTCAGGTCACTGCAGAGGACATTGCGAAGTTCAACAATCGCATTCGCCAGATCTTGATGAGCTCTGGAAGCACAACCTTCACTAAGATCGCAAACAAGTGGAACACGACACTGATCGCTCTCTTCACATATTACCGTGAGGCTGCTGTGAGTACCGTCGAGCTGCTTGACACTATCGTCAAGTGCGAGACAAAGATTCAGACTCGTGTCAAAATCGGGTTGAACTCCAAGATGCCTTCGAGGTTCCCACCGGCTGTGTTCTATACACCAAAGGAGCTGGGTGGATTGGGTATGATCTCGGGATCTCACATCCTCATTCCAGCCTCGGACAAGAGATGGAGCAAGCAGACCGACAGTGGTGTCAGCCACTTCCGTGCTGGTATGAGCCATGATGAGGAGACTCTTATTCCCAACATTTTCCGATACATCATTCCGTGGGAGTCAGAGTTCACTGATTCTCAGCGCGTTTGGACGGAATATTCACAAAAGCGACTCGAAGCTAACCAGCAAAATCGTCGACTGACTCTTGAGGATCTTGAGGACTCCTGGGATCGTGGTCTGCCTCGTATCAACACTCTTTTCCAGAAGGACCGTTCCACATTGTCCTTTGATAAGGGTTTCCGCGCGCGTACTGAATTCAAGCTGTATCAGCACATGAAGAGCAATCCGTTCTGGTGGACATCTCAACGACATGATGGCAAGCTTTGGTACGTTAACACATCACCACATAATCCCCATGATCCGCTGCTAAACTTTCGCAGGAATTTGAACGCGTACCGTACCGATGTTATCCAAGCACTTGGAGGTGTCGAGACCATCCTTGAGCATACACGTACGTCAAGATTTGTGTTCTGATGACTGGATAAAATCGTCCTGACTTCTCTGTTTTTCTCTAGTCTTCAAAGCTACAGCCTTCGCGAGTTGGGAAGGCCTGTTTTGGGTATTGACAACTGAAATCCCGTGCATATGAGAGAGGTCATGCTAACAGCTTCGCAGGAAAAAGCATCGGGCTTCGAAGAGTCCATGAAGTACAAGAAGCTGACAAACGCCCAACGATCTGGTCTCAATCAGATTCCTAACCGTCGCTTTACCCTCTGGTGGAGCCCTACAATCAATCGAGCCAACGTCTACGTTGGTTTCCAGGTGCAGCTTGATCTTACAGGTATCTTCTTGCACGGAAAGATCCCAACACTCAAGATCTCTCTCATCCAGATCTTCCGAGCTCATTTGTGGCAGAAGATCCATGAGTCCGTGGTCATGGATCTGTGTCAGGTTTTCGACCAGGAACTGGACGCACTTGGCATTGAAACCGTTCAGAAGGAAACAATCCATCCCCGAAAGTCGTACAAGATGAATTCGTCTTGCGCCGACATCTTGCTGTTCGCTTCGCACAAGTGGAGCGTCAGCAACCCAAGTCTGTTGTACGACACAAAAGACAACATGGGCCTGACTACTACAAACAAGTTCTGGATTGACGTCCAACTGCGGTACGGAGACTACGACTCACACGACATCGAACGATACGTGCGTGCGAAGTACCTCGACTATACAACAGACAGCATGTCGATCTACCCATCTGCCACCGGTCTCATGGTGGGTATTGACTTGGCTTACAACCTTTACTCGGCATACGGTCAGTACTTCCCAGGCCTCAAGCAGCTCGTGCAGCAAGCGATGGCCAAGATCATGAAGGCCAATCCTGCGCTCTACGTCTTGCGTGAGCGTATTCGAAAGGGTTTGCAGCTCTATGCTTCTGAGAGCAACCAGGAGTTCCTCAACTCGCAGAACTATTCCGAGCTGTTCAGCAATCAGATCCAGCTTTTCATTGATGACACTAACGTTTACCGTGTGACTATTCACAAGACGTTCGAGGGCAACTTGACAACCAAGCCGATCAATGGAGCCATCTTCATTTTCAACCCAAGAACAGGTCAGCTCTTCTTGAAGATCATCCACACCAGTGTCTGGGCAGGACAGAAGCGTCTCGGTCAGCTTGCCAAATGGAAGACAGCAGAAGAAGTTGCAGCCCTTATCCGATCTCTGCCTGTCGAGGAGCAACCGAAGCAGCTCATTGTCACCAGAAAGGGTCTGCTCGATCCTCTTGAGGTACATCTGCTTGACTTCCCGAACATCAGCATCCGAGCTTCGGAACTCCAGCTGCCGTTCCAGGCCGCCATGAAGGTCGAGAAACTGGGAGACATGATTCTGCGTGCCACCGAGCCGCAGATGGTGCTCTTCAACCTGTACGACGAATGGCTGAAGAGCATTTCGTCATACACAGCATTCTCGCGTCTCATCTTGATCCTGCGTGCGCTGCACGTCAACCAAGACAAGACCAAGCTGTTGTTACGGCCAGACAAGACTGTCATTACACAGGAGCACCACATCTGGCCGACTCTATCCGACGATGACTGGGTCAAGGTCGAAGTGCAGCTACGTGATCTGATCCTGAATGACTATGGCAAGAAGAACAACGTCAACACATCTTCGCTTACCAACAGCGAGATTCGAGACATCATCTTGGGTATGGAGATCAGTGCGCCCAGCATGCAGAGACAGCAGGCCGCCGAGATCGAGAAGCAACAAGAACAGGAACAGCTTACTGCTGTCACAACCAAGACACAGAATGTGGCTGGCGAGGAAATGATCGTCACAACCACATCTGCTTATGAGCAGCAGAGCTTTGCCTCGAAGACTGAATGGCGAACACGAGCCATCGCTACCTCCAATCTCCGGACGAGAGCCAACAATATCTATATCTCGTCTGAGGACATCCGGGACGACGAGCATCACTTCACCTACGTCATGCCAAAGAACATTCTCAAGCGATTCATCGCCATCTCCGATCTGCGCGTGCAAGTGGCTGGCTACCTCTACGGTACTTCGCCACCAGACAACAAACAGGTGAAAGAGATCAAGTCGATCGTCATGGTACCCCAAGTAGGCTCAACTCGAGACATCCAGCTGCCACGCAACCTGCCAGAGAACGAAATGCTCCGTGGCCTCGAGCCACTTGGCATCATTCACACTACTGCTGGCAACGAGACAAACTACATGACTGCCCAAGACGTCACCCAACACGCCAAGCTCATGGCTGCGCACCCGTCCTGGGATCGCAAGACCGTCACGATGACAGTCAACTTCACGCCAGGCTCCGTTTCCCTTTCAGCATGGTCACTGACACCTCAAGGCTATCAGTGGGGCGCTGAAAACAAGGACCTTGGCAGCGACCAACCAGCTGGCTTCCAGACTAGCTTTGGCGAGAAGAGTCAGCTTCTTCTTTCTGACAAGATCAGGGGATACTTCTTGGTGCCCGAAGACGAGAGATGGAACTGGTCCTTCTTGGGAAGCGGCTTCGGCGACCGTGAAAAGGGACGAGTTTACGTCAATGTTGGTGTACCGAGACGATTCTATGATGATGTTCATCGCCCTATCCACTTCCAGAACTTTGCGGAATTGGAGGACGTATGGGTGGACAGGAGCGATAATTTGGCTTAGGTCTGGGAAGAAGGAGCTCGTGACGCATCAGCGAATGGAGTTCAGGCGCGGGTATGCGAGGTGGAAAAGGCAGACTTGTGTTTGTATTGCATGCATGATGAGATGCAGCATTGTAACTATGCGAAAGAGGCACGATGTGTTATACCTGACCACCGAGTCGTTGTCTTTTTGTTTCACATACGATGCTGCCATAACCTTGAAGTCATCGGAGATGGCTCCGATCCTGTCTGCCAATCGGTGAAGGGCCGCAATGATGACGTGCAGGCCGCAGCTCGTTGGCTCCAAAATTATCGAGCTCTCAGTTTCGACATTGTTTTTCATCGCACGACTGCCGTCCTCCTTGTCAATCTGTACCAAGCTTTGAGATAAGCACATCCAGGAATACGGGACAGCATAGACCCCGAATTTCTCTCACATCATCCAAGATCGGCCTCAATACTTCGAACCACGACCAGATCATCATCTCCAAAGCTCTGGGATTGTCCCAGTAAAGGTTGATCAAGCATAAAGATGTCGGCTAGTCTGCTACCTCGAGCTACACGATCCAGCTTGATCACCCACAACCGAATCCACACCCATCTCGCCCTGTCCAATCGCAGCGGCGGTATTCCAGCTCGACAATGCCAGCTATACAGCCCAAACAGGGCATCAGGAGCGGCGACGACAGGTCCCGCAGAACTGCGATTTCTTAGCAGCTCGGCGTCCCACCCGTTCGCCCTCACCAAATCGCACCCACCGAAAAGCAAAGACCGCGGCCCGAAGAGCGAAGAAGACACACAAACAGATTTCAGTGCCATGAATGTGCTGGGAAATACGCCTCCACCCACGACAGCTGTGGATGCATGCATGGATGACGGCTTCGCACTAGATTCTGGGTTACGTGTCGTCGGATCTGGCGTCCTTCTTGTAGGCGGAGAGTGCTTTCGGTGGAGACCTTGGGTGCGAGAAGGTCGTAAAGAAGGCACCATAGAGTCTGGAGCGTCAGGCGACGATATCAAAGGTGCTCCGTCTATTTCGGGACACCTGAGAAACAGCAAAGGACAGTTAGACATCCCCAGACATGCCTGGGGAATTTTGGACCTCGTTTGGCCGAAACCTGATTTACTGATTCTGGGCACTGGGGAGAAAGTGATCCCGCTTGCTCCGCAGACGAGAAAGGATATCAATGAGCTCGGCATCAGAATTGAAGTTCAGGACACCAGAAACGCGGCGGCGCAGTTCAATATGCTTGCTACGGAACGAGGCACACAGCAGATTGCTGCTGCACTTGTCCCGGTCGGTTGGAAAGAGGGAAAGTGAAAAATTTGCGCAGCAGTGGTGCAGAGCATAAGGTCGCCCCATAGTAGGCTCAGCAACGCGACAATCGCGGTGCAGGCGGCGAATCCAGGCTTCGCACGCTGGCATTCTCACGTATGATGCGATCGGAGGATCGTTAATCCAGTCAATATTGGGCATTGCCATGAAAATCATGAGCATCCAGGCGAGGCGAAAGTGCGCTATGCGATTCCTCGATCCACTTTGATAAGCTCAGACAGACGGATGGTTTATCGCAGATTGTGAGATATGTACGATCGAAGATGGCGAATCTTCTTTTTGCGAGAAAAGTCGGCAAGCAATACCTGGAGTTCAAGATTGTGAGTGTCCATCCGGGTGAAGCTGTTTCATCGCGAGCCAGGGGATGAACAGATTCGACATCTGGTTACGGAGACTGCGCCGAAGAAAGTCGGGAGTCTGGTAGAGGGCGTCAAGAATCAGATCTGGGCTGCTGTGGCTGAAGGTGGATTGGTGGAGAGTGGTGGGTGTTATGAGCCTACTGGGAAGAGAGCGGAGGAAGGATTGGCGAATAATGAGGTGATGGCGAGGAGATTGTGGGAGTGGACTAAGAAGGAGCTGGAGGGCCATGGACTCGACTGAAGGTAGTCCATGCGGAAGAATGTAGATGCTGGTCTTCGTGTTCTTGCGCATGGTCTGTACTCTGGCAGTGGAGAAGAGTGGCAAAATAGACCAGCCATCGATGGAGAATTTTGGCATGTCGGGCCCATGTTGAGCTCCTGAATTAAATACCAGGATCTGAATCTGGATAGTGTGGAGGATGATTGCCAGGAATGAGGGTATGCAGAAGTAGTATTACTGTAAGAGGACGAAGAAGAGATGCCTTGGCAAAAGCTGGGTGAAGGAGTTCGGAGCGACCTCCCGTTGGCCAAATCGGATTCGATTGGCTGGGAAAGGAGGGACAGTTTTGGTTCCTGTCCGGGGTTGCCTCAACCGCCACACCCCTCGCCTGCGCTCGGAGATTTCGGCTATACGTAAAATCGCGATTTGTTAGTAGGCCACACGTAAATCTCGACACTACCGTACATTGTAGAGCATGCAAGCTAGGAAGTTAATAGCAAGTATAATTACATTTAAGAAGTAGTAGTTTTCGAGTAAATCGCGACTATATAGCCTACTATAGACCTTAAATTAGACCGTAGAAGCAGACTAACGGCCTCCGCGTATACCTTGTATCTACTATATTATTAATTACTATACTTATTAGCCTATATATCTATTATATAATCGCTACCTCCTTATTAAATAATTAACTACTATCCTATATATCTTCTAACTTAGTAGGGCTATTCTTGCTACTAGTAGCTATAATAGTGCCTTTATAGCTATAAGGGTTAGAGACTAAGCAGTAAGAATAGTATAGTTCTATTATTTATATATTAATATATAATATATTATTCTGCTATATATAGCCTCCGCGGGAGTCCTTAAGATATTACGTTATATAGCTAAATAGGCGGCTAACTAGGCGACCTACTTCGCTAGGGGCCCCTACTACTAAGGCAACTTAAATCCGATATTACTTCTAAGTAATTTAGAGTTTAGTATCCGAATCTATAGAGATAGCGACGATAGTATACCCTAAGTAATTATAGGTCCCTTAAATAGTAGCGAGTATTAGCGGAATACTACCTATCTAGATCGATAGTAATAGGATTAGATAAACGTTCTCGCTTAACTAATACGAGGTATTTCTACTAAGCGGTATCTACTACTACGAGCGATTTTTTATATTAGGCTTCGCTGCTTCCTTCTATACTAATTCGCCCTTAACTGCCTACTAGTTCTAATTATAGTCTATAGCGCTATACTAATCTCGAATATAATAGTAGGGAAGCTCCCTATTAATTAGAAATAAGCCTATCTTTATTAGGGTTAAAGAGGCTATACGTAATTAGTATATAATTAGGCCGAGTAAAGCTAGGGTCTTAGTGCCTTAGGCAGGGCTTAGCGCTTAGCGTTAGGCTAACTAGCCTGCCTTCCTCCTTCTCCTCCTAGTTCTCTATCGAATACTACCTATACCTACTACTATCCTATCTACCTACTAATATAACCCTTCTTATATAGTATTCGATCTACCCTTTAAGGGTAGTAGCTAGATAGTCCTTATTTCAAGCTTTTAGCGGTATAGCTACGAAAACCGTTAATCTAACTATATTGCGCCCGAAGAACGGGACCTATATATGTACTACTCTACTAAAACAACCGTACTAATTATTAAGTAAGGCCTTCTATACGGCCTATTATACTAAGTTAATTGCACTAGACCGATACTCGCTAATTCCGCTATATCCGCACTATAGGGGCCTATAATACATTATTAGTATTACCCCTTATTATAATAGCCGGTTTATTACGAAGTAATAACAACCGTGCTGCCGCTAGTAGCGCTAGCAACGACAACGCTAGTAGTATAGTACCTACTAAAGTGCCTACTAAAGTGCCTACTAAAGTACCTGCTAAAGTGCCTCCTACTAAAGAGCCTACTAGAGGGCCTGCCGAAGAACCTACAATCGAAGGGGATAACCCCTCGTTGCCTATTAACGACATTCTTAGCAATATTGTAAACCGTCGATATAGCTAACTAGCCTTTAGCCCCTAGCTAGTAGCGAGACTTTAGGAAGCTACCTAAAACAGGCTTACTACTCTACGCTAAGAATAATAGCTAAAGGATAACCTCCTCGAAATTTACTACCTATAGGAAGCCCTAGCTACTAATACTAAGCTAATAGTAGGGCCTTCCTTACTAACTATTTAAAAGAAGGATGCTAAACTTAAGGACTGCACTGTGTTTAATAGCTCTAGTCGAAAGCAATATAACGACTATATTCGTAACTAATACTATATAAGAAGGGTTATGTTAGTAGGTAAGGCAAAAGATAGCAGCGAACAATTAGAGACGAAGGGAAGATAGTTAAGAAGAAAGGGAGGACGAATAGAAAGCACTATATACTAGGGTAGAGGAGGTGCTAAAGGCGGAAGATAGAAGAACCCCTAAGAGGGCATATAGGATAATAATCTTAGAACTCCTTAGAGGACTAAAAGCAATCTACAACTAGGTAAGCTACGTAATTACAAAGGTAGCTAATACAGTCGTAGTAAAGATTACGAAGAAACAATAGGAGACAAGCCTAAACTACCGTACCTAGGTAGTAGTAGCTAGTTAGGAAGCGCTAAAACCCCCGAGGACAGTAGTTAGAGTCTATATTACGGACCTATAGGAGCAAAAGGAAATCTAAGGACTTATAGGGAAAGAGATTATAGAAAGAATTACAGTTAAAGAGGTAATTAGGGCTAGGAACGAAGGTAAAGGGGTAATCAAGCTGTTTATAGTATAAGAGTAGGACAAAAAGAAGCTAGAAACACAAAAAGAATAGACAACTAAGATAGGGAAAACAGCAAAGGTCTCCTAACAGCAATTTATAATTATAGCCTATAGCATAATAAGAAGCTTTAAGGAAGAACAGGATATTAAGAGCCTATAGAGATAAAACTAAGCTATATACCTAGGCCTAAAGATTACAAAAGTAGTATAGATTAAAAGGAAAATCGAAGAGACTAAGAAGCAGTCTTCCCTAATTATCTAGGTAGGGAGTACAGAGCAAGCTAATATAGTGCTAGACTAGGGGTTGTTCTAGGACTTTAAAAGATTAGAAACAGAGATATATAGAAGTAACTATAGGATAATGCAGTGCTTCAAATGTTAGCACTATAGACACTTAGCGGCTAAGTGTACAAAAACAACTAACACCTGCTCTTATTGTATAGGGGATTACTAGGTTAAAGAATGTAAAGCATATAAGGGAGAAGCAAGATATGCATACTATACTAAAAGATACCCCTCTTAGGCGAAGGAATGCCTAGTAAGAATACAGGCAGCTAGGAAGGCAAAGGAAGCTAGAATCAATATACTAAAAAGATATACAACGAGCTAGGGCAGCTAGGTATAGAAGCAACCTAGCTAAGTACTACAAAAGAGGTCTAGACAAGATAATAGGTTTATATTTAGAGCCTTACTAGCACAAGAGAGTTACTAGCAACTAGGGAGACTAAGATACCTTAATATTATAGGAAAGGAAGTAGGGCAGATAAAGCTTAGTTAAATATTAGTCTAAAGTAAGGGAAGACTAAAGGAAAACTTATAGGGCAATAATATAGATAAAACCTAATAAACATTGCAATATTACTAAACATTATATAGTACAATATTAATAAGAGCAAAGACAAGGTATAGAGGAGCTTCCTTTAAGTACTAAACCTAAAAGAACATTACATTATTGCAATCTAAGAGCCCTAGCTCAACCTATATATAAAGAGACTAGCAACAGTCAAAGACCTAAGATACTACCTAATTATCTACAACTAGGGAGCCCTAAGGACATGTATCTATATTAGTAAGGAGATAGATACAGAAACCTAGTAGGCTATACTATAGGAAGATAGGGACCTACTATTAGTTTAAGTAGAGATATCCTAAGGTATACTCTAAGTCTACTGTATATACAACCTACTACTAGACTTAAGAAGTAGTACCTAACTGAAAACCCTAGAAAGACTACCTAGAGTTATCTAGGGGAACACCTACTAAATCCTACTTAGGGATTTTAACCTCTACTACCCCCTCTAAGGCTTAGACTTTACCCTAGCTTACTACTTCCTAGCAGGAAGACTAATTGATATATTAGAGAGGGAAGGAATAGAAATTGTTACCCTAAAGGGACTAATTACTTAGGAGGCAAGAGGAAGTAGTAGTACACTAGACCTATACTTTGCATTATATTAGATTAGGAACAGGATTACAAGATATAGGATCAACTAGGAACTAGAAGAATTATTAGACTACTTCCCGGTACAGATTGAGCTAAATATCTAAGCTAATTAGGAAAGGGAACTAGAGGAGAAGCTTAACTAGAAAGGTGCCTAATAGGGTAGGATTAGGGAGGAACTAGAAAGGGACCTAAAACTAGAGGAACTCTTAACAAAGTACCTACTAAGGCTAGAGGACATTAATAAGGCAGTGGAAGAACTAATAGGAATCCTAAAATAGGTAGCTAGAAAGCATACCTTAGTAAAGAAACATTTACTATACTAGCAACTATACTAGACTAGCGAGTGTATAAGGAAGGTTAAAGCAGCAAGGAAGGCTAGGAGGCAGTAGACACAAACCTATACCTAGGAAGTATAGGACAACTATAACAAAGCCTACTAGGAAAAGAAGATCTAGATTAAGAAAGATAAGATATAAGAATAGAGATCTATAATAGGAATAATTATAAAGAAACTAGAGGAGATATAGAGGATAGCTAAATAGGCAAGGAGACCTAAACAGGATAAGGATATGCTACTATAATTCCCGGACATTATAGACTAATAAGGACAAATATAGACTATAATAGAAGGGAAAGCAAGAGCCCTAGGCCAATACTTCTTCTATAGAAAAGTATAAGCAGACCTATTAGACATAAAGGAGACAGAATAAGAGACTCTACTACTAGGTATACTAAGAGACACCTAGGTTAAACCCGAAACCATTAAAGGGATCCTAAAGAAAATTCTAGGCAATAAGGTACTAGGAGAAGACAAGATCTACAACAAACTTCTAAAAGTATATAGGAAGGGGCTAGCCCTAGTACTAGCCAATATCTTTTTATAAAGCCTAGCACTAGGATACTACCTAAGACTATTTAGGAAGTCCCTAACAGTAGTGCTAAGAAAGCCCTAGAAGGAAGACTATATATAGCTTAAGGCCTATAGACTAATAGCCCTACTTAATACAATAGGCAAGATACTAGAAAAAATTGTCGCTAAAAGGCTAACAACCTTTACCGAGGAAAGGAACATCCTTCCTAAAGGCTAGATAGGAGGAAGAAAGAAGAGGTTAATACTAATAGCTATAGAACTAATTACAGAACAGATTAAGCATATCTAGTACTATAGTTAAAACTAGGTAGCAACCCTCCTCTCCCTTAACATTTTAGGAGCCTTTAACAATATCTCTTATAAAAGGCTCCTATATATACTTAAATAGAAAGCTATACTAAACTAGATAGTCCAATTTATCTAGTCCTTCCTATAGGAAAGATCAATATAGCTTATTCTAGGCAAATTCAAATCAAACCTAATACTAACTAAAAAGGGAATCCCCTAAGGATCAATACTCTCCCTAATCCTCTTCCTTATCTTTATAGTAGACCTACTCCTACTCCTAGAATTAAAAAACATATTAGCATTAGGATTTGTAGACGACACAAACATCCTAGCCTAGTCTAAGATAATAGAAACTAACTGTAAGATCCTAGAAGAGAAGCACTAGGAGTATAAAAAATAGGCAAGGAGGCATAGAGCAAAATTCGCCCTAGAAAAGTACTAGCTTATCTACTTTAGTAAGGCTAAATTAACCTATAATATAAAGCAATCAATCACTATCTAAGGCTTTAAAACCCAACTATTAGTAGAGCTTAGGGTACTAGGGATCTAGCTAGATCTAAAACTGAATTAGGGACTATAAGTAAAGAAGGTAAAGTAGAGGGCAGATGCTAATATATAATCTATTAATAGGCTTATAGCCTCTATATAGGGGGCTATATTCGAGAAAGCTAAAGTTATATATAAAGCAATTGTTAAGCTAGCAATACTATATAGAGTATAGATATAGATAGCTTAGGAGAAAACACTAAAGAGGATTGAGCAACTAGTTAGTAGGTCCTAAACCTAAAGCCTAAAGAAAATCCTAGGAGTATACAAAACTATACTAACAAGGGTAGTAGAAATGGAATTAGGGATCCTACTAGTTAAACAATACTTTAAGGGACTAAGACACTAATATATAGCAAAGACAATAGAATACCTAGCCTAACAGACTATCTAAAAGGTACTAGACAAGATAAAAGCCTAGTGCATTAGGACTAGGAGGCGAGACAGACTATAAATAACTCCCTAGAAAGTTAAAGACCTAGAGCAATATAGAGTCTTAATAAGAGAAATGCTAGAGAAAGAGCTTTAGGGACTAAATATAAGGCTAAAGGAAGACAAGCTAAAGGGAGAGAAACAAAGCCTAGTAGAATCAATTGCTAGATACCTATAGGAGCAGGAATAGAATAAAACATAAGTTAGACTAGGAACCCTAAAGGCACTAATTAAATTTGGTTAATATAACTACTAGCTCTATAAGGACCTAAATAGGGCCGAGGTAAGCCTAGCTATCCAAATCAGATCTAAACACATTAGACTTAGATCTTACCTGTTTAGAAGAAACGTCCTAGGAATTGAAAGTAGAGCTTGCTAATATAGCTACTAATCTTAGAACCCTGAGTATATACTGCTAGTCTGCCTTTAATAGTTAGAAGGCAGAAGTAATTAGAGACTAAAAGCAATAGAAAGGGAATACGACAAGCTAATCTAGAGCAAAGAAGACCTAAAGAGGATAGTAAAGTGGATTATTAAACAGGGATTTATACAACAATTCGTACTAGCAAGGGAAACTAAGGAGTAGATAAGAAGGAGGGAAGAAGAGGGGGAAAGAAGGGCAGGGTAGTAGGCAAGGTAGTTAGAGGGTAACAACTATAACACTAGTGTACCCTAGAGGAAGGAAAACAAGGAAACGAGGAAGATTAACACTTATAAATAGGATAGGAGGGAGGTTTTCACTAACTAAGTTGGTTTCCTACCTAAAAAACAATATATAGAAACAGACCTATATAGGCCGAAAGGCACTACAACAGGCAAATGAAATATCTATTTATCTATATTCGTAACTATAAGCTTAATTAGCGAAATGCACTAAGAGCTCTTCTAGATAACTACTTATTAGTCGTCTACGCTATATAGTACATCGATAGCGACCTAAAGCGCACCTAGGATAACTATTTCGACTCCCTCGATAATTAAACCGCTGTTTAGTAGCAAACCTACAAAACTATTATGCTAGACACCCTTAGAAACCCTATACTAAGGCAATAATACGCTTAGGACTAGTACCTTCGAGCTAAGCAAAAGACTAATTAATTAGCTCGTTTATTTAAGGCCTATTTAAAGACTCTTAAGGACGATTTGCTAGCTAAGACCGACTCTATCTAGATTTCCGAAATACGCCCTAAATTGCGATAGGAATTAGTCCTTAAATTAGACCGCCGCCGTGTATTCGAATAGACTAATCTTATACGCATTTAATTTATAGTCGAAGTAGAAACAGCTAAACGAGCTATATAGCTCTAATAACGACTAGAATTAAGGATCCGACTAACTAGTACCAACCGTAGTAGCCGTAGTAGCCGCGGAGGAAACTAAGGTTCCTACTAGAACAATAATAATGCTAATAATAGAAATAGTAACAACGACCGAGGAAGAGGCCGTAGCCGGCGGCTATATAGAGGAGGCCGCGATAGGGGCCGTAGAAGGGGCTCGTATTCTTATAACGCTAATCGCTCGACTAATAATAGCAGCAGCTATAGCAACCTCCTAACCGGATTGAAGTGCTTTAATTGTAATAGCACTAGCTACCTACTAGGCTAATGCGACAAACCTAAGGACTAGGCCCGGATTAACCGTGCTACCGCTAAGCACCGAAAGCACCTTTTAGTAGCTAACGCTACCCCTATAGGCTAACCTTCGAAAAAAGAATAAGCGCCGCACTAACTATTAGCCTTGTACGGCGTAAGACTATCGATATTGTACTAGCTATTATACGTACCTGTCTTATACGGGACACGTATAGCAACAATTATAAAACTAAGGTTATACTAGATCTAGGAAATTTAGTTAGTGCCCTTATTAGCTATCGCCTAGCTAAGCAATTAGACCTTCGACAATTGCCTAGAACTAATATACTAACCCTTGCTTAGTTTAATAACGCTCAGCACTTGACCTATAGGGCCTACTATGTTCCTATAGTTCTAAAAGACGACCTCGGCAATAAACGCTTACTAGATTTCACTGCCTACGCAGTAGATATAGACAACCTTCTATCCGATATTATTATTAGCAATCCTGTTCTTAAGCACTATGCTATAGTTATAGACTTAGGCAGCTAATAGTAGCGATTTAGAATCGCTAGGAAAGAGGATATTAAATATATCGACGCTAGCGAGTGCCCTAATAATATTAGGGTCCTATTTATCGGCAACCTAATACCTGCTATAGCTAACCCAACCGTCGACCTATTAGGTAATAACGATAAACCTATACCCCCTAATAGTATAGACCCTAATTAACTCGCTCGTATCCTATAGGTTATTCGCGAGACTTATATTAATATATTCAAATACTACCTAGCATCGACATTGCCTATATTTAAAGAGACTAATTATAAGATTAATATTATAGAGGGCAAAGAGGTCCCCTTTAGGCCCCTCTATAACCTTAGTAAACGAGAACTTACTATGTTACGTAAGTACCTAGATAAGAACCTAGCTAATAGTCGAATTTAGTATAGCAATAGCCCTACTAGTGCACCTATCCTATTTGTACCGAAGAAGGATAGTAGCCTACGCCTATATATCGACTATCGTAGGCTTAACGCTGTTACTATTAAAGACCGCTATCTACTTCCGCTTATTAATAAGACCCTCGATCGCCTTTCTAGCGCCTATTTCTATACTATATTAGACATTAAGGATGCGTACTATCGTATCTGCATTCGTAAGGGCGATAAATAGAAAATAGCCTTCCGCACTCGCTATAGCTATTTCGAGTACTTAGTTATACTATTTAGGCTAGCTAACGCCCCTATAACATTCTAGTCCTATATTAATCGGGCCCTATTAGGCCTATTAGATTACCTCTATATAGTTTACCTAGATAACATCCTAGTTTATATACACTTACCTAATATTGCGGAGCACTAGGCTATAGTCCGTAAGGTACTCGATCGCCTAAGAACATATAGCCTATATTATAAGCCTTCTAAATGCACCTTCGCTACTAAAGAGGTAGCCTTCCTTAGCTTCCTCGTATTAACCGAGGGTATTAAGGCTAATCCTAACCGGATTAAAACAATTACTAAGTAGCTAACGCCTACTAGTATTAAGGAGCTTTAATTATTCCTAGGTTTTGCTAACTTCTACCGTCGGTTTATTAAGGGCTATTCGAGGCATATAATGCTATTAACTAAGCTTACTAAAACTAAGGCCAACCTAACTAGAGAGTTTAAATAGACTAATAGAGTATAAGCTGCTTTTAACGGTTTAAAGGAGCGATTTACTAAAGTCCCCTTATTATACTACTTCGTACTAAGCAAACTAATTCGTATTAAGACTAACGCTTTACAGTTTGCTATATTAGCTATTATTTTATAACAATCGGATAAGGACTATTATTAGTACCCGATTGCCTTCTTCTCGAGGAAGATAATTAATGCTAAGCGTCGTTACGAGACCTACGAGTAAGAGCTCTTAGCAATCGTAGAAGCCTTTAAGCACTAGCGCTACTATCTCGATAGTGTATAGCACACTATCTAGGTCTATATAGACTATAACAACCTGCGTAGCATTACTAAGGTTATAAGGGTTATAGGTCGATAGGCTAGATAGGCCGTCTACCTCGCTAGGTTCGATTTTAATATATTATACTAGCTAGGCGTAAGTAACCCTACTAATAGCCTATCGAGGCGACCTAATTACGATAGCGAGACCTAACATATTAATTCTTTGTTTCTAACCCTATAGTATAAGATTGCTATAGCCTATATTGTTAATAAGCAAGCGTAGGATAAGCGGACCTCTAGACCCCGCGGCGGTAACGAATACTATAGCGGAGTTGTCGTTCTTCTAGTATACGTTAAAAGAAAGGACGTAGATCGCTCGAGCTATAATAACTCGATTAAGGACATTGCTATCTATAGTAATAGCCTATATAGCGACAGCACTATAGAAGAGGTTATAGTAGTTCTAGCTGCTAGTGCTATTAGATATATATAATGCGTACCTCGTTCGATAGCGAGGGTGCTATTAAATAACCTTACGAATAGGGATAGTTAATCGTTTATAGATAAGCTATTATATGCTTAGTAGAGGGACGCCTTTGCTATCGAGCGTATTAATAGGCTTGTAAGTAGACGAGCGACTCGATCTAGTAAGAGTAATAGTTAGTCGATCGACGATAAAGGTTACTTAAAGTTTAAGGGCAGATACTATATCCCCGCTAAACAATCGATTAGATAAGAGCTTTTAAAGCGACACTATAATAGTAAGCTTGCTAGTTACTATAGTATAGAGAGGTCGTACGAGCTACTATCGCGTATATACTACTAGCTAAATAGTAAGCGGTATATAAAAGAATATATGCAGACCTATATAGTATACTAGCGTATTAAAGTACTAAAGCACCTGCTATTTAGCGAGTTGTCTTTACTTCCTGTTCCTAGGAAGCTATTCGCAGAGCTTATAATAGACTTTATTATAGGCCTTCCTCCTACTAAGCGTAGGGGCAGCAAGGATATGTATAATACTATCCTTATTATAGTAGATCGGTTTACTAAGGGCGCTCGATATATCCCGGCGCGGAAGGATTAGACTGCTATTAATATAGTAGAGGCGCTATAGAACAATATCTTCTATACCTATTAGGGAACCCCTAAGGGGATAGTATCTAATTGTAGATCGATACTAATATCGCATTATTAGAGCGAGATATGCCTATAGCTAAGACTAAAGCATCGGCTATTAATAGCCTTCTATCTATAGACTAACAGTTAAACAGAGAGGCAGAATACTACCCTATAGCAGTACCTACGTAGCTATATTAATAAGAACCCCGAGGATTGGGTTAACCTCTTATAGCCTACAGAATTTGTATATAACAATAGTGTGCATTTATCTACTAAGGTTTTACTATATATAGCTATAATAGGCCAAAACGCCGCGTTACTATAAGATCTATTTACCTCGCTCGAGGCCGAGCGTAAGGAAAGGGAAGCGCGTTAAGTACTAGAGACACTATCGGCAATAGAACGTGTCTAGAAGATACGAGAAATCTATACTAAGATAGCTGAGAAGCTAACAAAGGCTTAAGAGTACTAAAAGACCTACTACGATAAGCGCTATATACTAATAACCTTTAAACAAGGCGATATAGTTATACTTAGTACGAAGAACCTCCGTATCCGCAAACACCTATTACCTAATAATAGAACAAGGCCTAAGCTCGCACTAAGATACATTAGCCTATTCCGCATTTAAGAAGTTAAGGGCTCTTCCGTATAGGCCTATTAGTTGTAGCTTTCCCCTTATTATACTATCTACGATACCTTCTATATATCCCTCCTTAAGCCGTACTACCTACGCGAAGGGGATAAAGCACCTGCTAAATCCGAGGACATACTAGCTAATAGCGAAGAGCTATAGTCTATAGAACGTATCCTAAAGCACCGGACTAGGCAAGGCAAGAAGGAGTACCTCCTAAGATAGCAAGGCTATTTACCTAAATAGGACTCGTAGGAGGCTAAAGACTCCTTCGAGGATATAGCCGAGCTATTAGATAAGTATTAGACTAGCGTCAAGAACAAGAAGAAGCCTAATGGCCTATAATGTTACTAGAAAGGCCTAGGATTAATGCTACCCCCGGGGTGCTATAAGCTAACTAATTAGAAGCAAGCAATTGTTAGTAATAAAGGATAATAAGACTATACTACTATAGTAAACGCGTACCGAGTAGCAACAAGCGCGCTATAACTATTAACTAATCGCCTACCCTTTTAAGGATTCTACCTCTTTACTAATGCGCCCTATAAGGCCCCTCTCCTAGTATTTAGGTCCCCCTCTTATTCCTTCCTTCTATCGAGGCCTTAAGGCCTAGGCGATCTGCGAGGACGGCGCGCGCGCGCGTAAATAGTAATAATAATAATAACGGCGGCGCGGCCGGCGCGGCTATATTAGTAACGGTGTTACGGAGTGTGTCGCTAGTTAAAGCGTTGCTAGTTAAAGGAAATTAAAGGCAAGGTAAAGTTAGCGCTAAGACGACTAGCGCCGCTATTATTAATATTACCTACTCGCTGCTATTGCTAACCTTACCTATACTACGAGCCTAAAGTACTATACTAACTAAGTTAAAAGATTAAACCTATTAAGGGTTTAATTAAAACCTTAACTAAGTTAAAAGATTGAGCGACTAATAGACTAACTAAGGGCAAAAACTATAAAGCTAAGCTAGCTAGGGTCGATCTTGCGGATAATAGGTTACTCTTCGATCTTTCCGACCCTTTAAGCGAGGCGAACCTTAACTATTGCACTTATAATAGCCTTTACCTATAGAAACTAGACGAACTGTGTTTTTTAAAAAGATAAGATAAGATTGACAATTAAAGGCTACTAAACCTAACTAATTAGGGCTAGTAAAACTAAGATAGTAAATAATAGCCCTCGTAATAATAAGAACAACCCTCGGAGCGGACATTTCTAGGTCTTTTAAGAGTAGACGCAAAGAACTTAGTATAACATTACTTAGAACGGAGGTAGGGCTATAATACCTCGTACGTCTACCTATTATAGTAGGGAAGACGCGCTCGTATTATAATTAGTCGATAGTCCTTAATTCTTATAGATATATATTACTTTATATATTATTATATATAGGGATAGCGTAGTTAGAGTTATATATTGTGTTATATTAGAGGTAAGGTTCGACATAGTTATATAATTAGGTAGTTAAGTGTTCAATTTAGCGCGGCTAAGCGGCTTATTAGACTCGCTAAGTTAGTAGTAATAGAGGTCGAGATTAGAACATAGATAGGCTACGAGGGCGCGGCCTTTAGAAGGGAAGCGTATATTAGGGTTAAAGAGGCTATACGTAATTGGCATATAATTAGGCCGAGTAAAGCCAGGGTCTTAGTGCCTTAGGCAGGGCTTAGCGCTTAGCGTTAGGCTAACTAGCCTACCTTCCTCCTTCTCCTCCTAGTTCTCTATCGAATACTACCTATACCTACTACTATCCTATCTACCTGCTAATATAACCCTTCTTACAATCTTACAGAATACGGCCCTTATATTATAGTTAGTAAACGTCTTTACTTAAATAGCTAGAAGGGCTTCTAAAAACTTAGGAATACTAGGTTTTCTAATACTACGATATATAGCCTCTAAGACCGCTTGTCTATAATTTAATCTATATACTTAGAATAGTATAACGCTAAGAGGCTATATAAAGTACGAAGTATATAGTTATAGGCCCTATAACTAAATTTAATAGCGCTTCGTAAAGGCCGCAAATTTCTTAAAATAATAGAAGCTATAATTGTCGTATAGTAGTATACTCTATTTGTTTAGGTCCTTAGGTCTTATCTTACGCTTAAACTAATAGATATAGTATATTATAGCATTGTCTATTATATAACTAGACTCGTTATTATTAATAGTAATTAAGAAGTTATCCTTAACTAATAACGATAGTATAGTTAGTAAGTAACTTTATTATTGCCTTAGATAATAGACTTAGTCTTAGTAATAGACTTACCTTCTCTTAGTATCTAGCGCGCTTAAACTATTATACTTTTAATAATTAATTAATATTTAATTACCTCGCCGTATATGTTAATAGTCTCGACTACGGTTATATACGTATACTAGTATTATATTCGGTCTAGGCGCGCCGCTTCGTATCTATTATAACTACGTATTCGTTACTACTAATAGAAATCTAAAAACCGGTTTCGTTAAAATTCTATATATTCCGCGGCTTTATACCTAGTTACTCTACTATCGCCTTAAACCGATTAAACTATACCTTTATTATCGAAGGATTATAGGCTTCCTTACGCTACCTCTTAATTAGTTTAGACTTTACTTTACTAAAGTTATACCGAGCTAGAAATCGTTTAGCCCAGTTACTACCGGATAGTAGTATTGCCTTATTAGGCGATATTCTCTTTAGTATATTTATAGTAATAACGCTAATAAGCGCTACTAGTAAGAATAGCCCTATTTCGGTCCTCTTTTAATAATAATCCGCTAGCGCTAGCTCTTAAGACTTACTTAATTTAGTACTAGTCGGCCTCTTAATCGCTAATAGACTCGCGATTATAAGTTAGTTATCTTTTTAGTCCTATAGACCTCTCGTATACTAAGACTTACTAATTTAGCCTATAGTTCCTAGTATCCTAAAATAACGCGTTCTACTATTCTTCCTACTCTCTCTATCTTAGTTAACTACTTAGTACGTACTCTCTTTACCTTTTTGCCTTTTTTACGCCTTATACTAAGTTTTATATATAATCTATATAGTAGAATAGAAGAAATAGAAGGAATATAAGGAATATACGCTTTAGAATAAAGTAGACGCGCCTACTAAGGATTATATAACAAAATAGCGGTAGTAAGGTCTATAGGTACTATATACTTAGATAAGTCTATCTATATAATGTTTAGACTTGCGGTTTAATGTTAGGGCTAAAGAGGCTATACGTAACTAGTATGTAATTAGGCCGAGTAAAGCTAGGGTCTTAGTGCCTTAGGCAGGGCTTAGCGCTTAGCGTTAGGCTAACTAGCCTACCTTCCTCCTTCTCCTCCTAGTTCTCTATCGAATACTACTTGTATCTACTACTACCCTATCTACCTACTAATATAACCCTTCTTATATAGTATTCGATCTACCCTTTAAGGGCAGTAGCTAGATAGTCCTTATTTCAAGCTTTTAGCGGTATAGCTAC